TAAGTTTCCGGTTGTACAATTGCCCGGCAGGAATCAGTGCGGGCCAGTGGTCTGCGCATGGCAGTGTGAAATTGTGGAAAGGGCACATGTCAGAACGCTATATTCACCAAAACTCCCATCCAAATTGCCTGGCTGGCAAAAGTTATAGAAGCTGAAATCTTGTTGAGATGCCCAGAACGCACCGGACGCAGACCAGCGAACGAGCAAAAACCGTCCTGAAGGGCGATATAATTATGATGCGCGTTGCAGATGGCGTGCGCATTCGATCTTTGCTGGCCGATCAGCCCAACCGGCCCATTACTGGAAGGAGTGCCTACTGCCTAGTACGCCTTTTTATGCGAACGCCTGCGTCATGTCAGATTGTAAAAATAATATTTGTGAACCAAAAAAGCTGTCCAAAAATCTTTTTCAGTCTTTTGGGGAAAAAATTTAAAAATAGGTGCCGATAGCCTGCGGAAAAAACACGTTACGAGAATTATCTAATAGAAAAGGGGTGCCTGTAGCAAAACAGGGTGCAGAAGGGGGTGCCTATAGCAAACGGGGATGAAAGGGGTGGCCTATAGTCTCACTCTTAATTAAAATGTACCACACACTGCCATGATTTATATGTAGCCGTAACGCCTAACGGATTGGCACGGTAGCATCTACGTTTCCTTAAATCCAGTTCAGCTTGATTTAAGCGCTAAAGGTACAGTACCTTTACAGGGGCTGACTATTCCAAAAAACCCTAATTCAGAGAATAGTCACATATCGGTGTATATTCTGTTAAGCATTACCTGTTGCGGAAAATTTCGCTGTTAACAAGTATTGCTAAATAATAAGTTATCATATCTTCATAATTCATACCCGTCTGAAAGGTAGTCAGAATAACCGCAGCGAATAAGAGCGACTTCCAGGCCACCGTCATACGTAATTAGAAAGAACCATTTATAAGAAGCAAATGACCAATGCCTTTAAAAATACCATCAGGTAGAAAGATAAAGAATGAATTAATAAGCAGAACGATCCAGTTTATCCAGAATCTTGCGTTTGCCAGTCAGACATTCATTGCCCAACGAGATGCCGTTACAAATATTACAGAGTATTCCTCACAAGCTTTAAAATGAATAAATATGGGTACTGCAGCTTTGCCAAGCTCATCTATTTCCAACAGTAAGGTATTACAGTATAATTCGGATCATGAAAGAGCCGCCAATCTGGGTGTTTTAGCAGTTTTGCAATAATACAGCGTACCGTATCACGGCTTAATCAAAACCACAGCCTAAGCAAAATTTTTAAAAGCAAGAATGACACAGTACCACTATACCACCATAGTGACGGCAATTAGTAGTAATGTAACATCTGCCTGCATTACAATACTTACTAGAACAGTATTACCGGGTTATAAGATTAAACTAGTGAGGTTACTAAATTTCAACTAGTACAGTGAAACCTCTGAGATACGTACACCTTCGTTCAAAACAAATCGTACTTAACCTGGAGGTGTACGTAACGTAGAATTGTCCCCCCCCCCCCAGCCCCCTGGGGGTGGCTGTATAATTAGGGGGACCTCCCATATATATGGGACGTTTCGTACCAAAGAATAAAACTGGAACGTTTTTTTCCTCCTTGTAGTCACTGTAGTCATCTGTAGATAACCTGTAGACACCCAGTAGACAACCTGTATACATCCTAAGAAAACCTAAGAAACCAGGTGACAACAGTGCGTCTACAGTGGTGTCTACGGGCTGTCTACAGGTGACTACCGGTGTATACAGGAGAGTATCCAGCTGAACCTGAGAAGGCCTGCCTGTATACACCGGTAGACATCTGTAGATAACCTGTAGATACCCTGTAGACAACCTGTAGACACCCTGTAAACACCCAAAAAAGCCTAAGAAACCAGGTGACTACAGTATGTCTACAGTGGTGTCTACGGGCTGTCTACAGATGACTATCGGTGTATACAGGCAGAGTATGAGCTGAACCTAAGAAGGGCTGCCTGTATACAGCGGTAGACATCCGTAGACAACCTGTAGACACCGTTGTAGACACGCTGTATACATCCTAAGAATTCAGGTGACTACCGATAGGTCTACAGGGTGTCTACAGCATGTATACAGATGTCTACTGTGACTACAAGGAGCGAAAAAACGACTCATTTTTTTTCTTTGGTACGAACCGTGCCACAGGTGCCTCCCAGTGTCCCGCAAGGAATACTGTGTACATACTACATAGAATTATACGTGCTGCAGTAGTAATTATGTAATTTACTTTTAGAATTGCATCAGTTTCAAAATTTTATGCATGTAAACTGGTAGAGAAGTTACTTTCGCACAACCAGACAGAAAAAAGCATGACAGTTAAGCCCATGGCAAGAGACCACGTACCAAATTTGAGCTAGCTTCCTTGATGCTTTCCAGATTTTCACATTTTTTCCACTAGAAGTTTAGAAAAACTCCAAGTCTAAGGTACGGGTGTACGCATTACCAGGGTGACTGCGTACAGTCGAGTGCCTAGGCGGTACGGAGAAAAGGTGTACGTGTACGCATCGCAGAGGTGTACGCCACGTAGAGGTTCCCCCCTGTACTGCAGCTCACGGAGTAATTCGGTACAAAATTTTTCGTACTTAATTTAGAGGTGTACGTAACGTGGGAGTGTACGTAAGAGGAGGTTTTACTGTAAGGCCAAAAGTGTAGATGAATTTTTTTCTGGAAACTTTAAGGGATTTGGCCCGGTACATAGTACCAAATTCGGGCACATACACGGGAACTTTCGCTGTCGCGCACTCCTAAACACGGTTTTTGCATTACTTTTATGATTTTGCAGCCAAAGGATTTGTATACGTAGTGAATTGCGCGCAACCTCGGTTCAGGAGTTATTATGAAATAAAATCTCAAATGGTGGAGGTGTCATTATGCACCGAAGTTTTCAATTTTACGAAAACATTATGAAGATCGTTTGGTACCGAACCAGCTTTTTACCAATTTTTTCAAATTTTAAAATGAATTTTGAAAATTTTAAAAATTAATTTAAAATTTGAATAAAATGGTAAAAAGCTGGTTCGGTACCAAAATGGTCTTCATAGTAATGCGCGTTTTCATGCAAAATTTGAAGAGCATCGGTTCATAATGAGACTTTTGGTACACCTCCGCGCGTTTAAACTTTTGGAATTTTTATTTCACTCATAACTCCCGAACCGGAGGTTGCGCGCGCAAACGGTTTTTTCGCCTATGTATACTAATTCTTTGGCTACAAAATAGCATAAAGCAATGCAAAAAAGTGCTTGGGAGTGCGCGACAGCGAAAGTTGCCGTGGATGTATACAAATTTGGTGCTATGTACCGGGCCAAATCCCTTAACTACAAAACTTTTAGATGAGCGATTGCAGTCACTTCTTGAACGGTAAGGCACAAACCTATGCAAAACGAGTTCTAAAAAATTGGCGGGCGGCATCTGGGACTGTTTCAACGTCGCTTACGTAAACTTATTTCGTCAGTGCTATGTACGTACGTACTCAGATACATTTATTAAGAGGGAAGTTGTAGTTGCGGGCGGCAGTAACGTGCAGTGCAATACAGTACTGTTTTAGCTACCGCATGCTTCCCCAAAGCAGAAAGATATAATCGAGATTTTTAACTTGAATACTGAGACACGGTAAAGTTAGCTGAAGGTTGTTTTTAAACAAAATGTCGCGAAACGATCATGGACCTGTACACAAGCTACAATAAAAATTAATTATATAACGCAATCCAGTTGAATGGTTAGCGCGTTGGCTATGCATTAATTTTCAGATGGCGCTGACCGAAAAGTTTGGCATTAACAATTATTATGATAACCTCAGCATTCAAAGAATGTCAATACATGTGCAGCATGCTTAGTACTTTGTACTTACATTAGCAACCAAAAGCCAGTACAGTGCTGTCTGTGAACAAAACCAACAACTTCAGTATCATGACATTTTCTTTAAATTACTGAGCATCCATTGCATTCAATTTGGATTAATAATGTTAAGCTGGCTTTGGGCAGAAGTTAGCCATTTCTATGGAGTAACGTGGACTTCGCGCAACATCTGCGGACTGCCTGCAGCATGCATTCTCTTACTGACATCCGTAGGGGGTGAACAGGTTAGATTTACTTCGCGCCACATTCGAAATTCCCCAACATACAGCGATATTGATTACCGCTTTCGGGACGTTGACGCCATATACATGCCCTATGAACATTATATCAACTGGTTCGAGCAGATAATGAACGAAGTAATGAAAGATCTGCCGTCCAGGTTCGTTACCCCGAACCAGAGGAAGGAACTGTTTGGGATATTCGAGGCACTTATTTCTGCAAGGAACGATACGTCCAAATTCGACAACGACCCCAGCATCAGAGACATGCTGCTCTGGCCGGATACGGTTAAGAAACCTACCGCTGTGGCAGAAACCGTAAACGTGGTGTACCGTGATGCAGGAGATGCCTGTGTAAGGGCAGCGATTGTAGAGAATTTCGAAAAACGTCCGCGCTCACAGTGGAAAGCGTGGGCCAACACGGGAAACGATATCACGTTCGGGCTGCAAGTTGCACCAGAAACCGAGTACTGTAGCCTGAGCACAATTCGATCCAAGGCAGATGGGTTAGGACCACGTGATGAGAGTTCTTACTTTTCCGGGGGATCACATGCATCACCTTCAGCGGCATGGCTTCAGTTTATTCGAACACTTACCAAGCCAGAGGATCTTATCGAGTTTATTCGTACTGAAGACCGTTTCGCACCGAAACGAGCTGTTTTAGTGCACATGAATTTTTTGTTAGTCAGAACAATGGTTACATACGGCGTTGTTCCGTAATGATAACTGAAGAAACAGAGATGCAAACCTGAAATTTCTTGGCGCCAGTTTTCCAGATATCGCGCAGTAGCTGTTGAATGGTCAAGATTATTAGATTATGTTTCACTTTTGGACGATATATCTGATTTTAACTAACCTCTTTTGTTTCGATTAGTTAACTGTTAAGTTAATACTTTCTTCCCATCAAGTGGCACTGTCGCCGACTGATATGCACATACTTATATCTATTCTACGCGGTATCCAAATATTACTTATCATAAGATTGATAACTCGAACATCTTAAAAAATGTAACGGTGCTTATTCCTTGATTGTTCTGTAGTTAACTGCAGTGCACAAGGCAGTTAGACTGCGCATGCTCTATCACACATTTTCACCAGCGCAACGCTTCAACATGGAACCCAAAATAAAAAATCAAAAGAACGGGATGCAGTAAGTTGTACGCGGATCGGGAAGCCATTATTTCATCCAAAGTTCGGTTGTTGCATAGGTCAGTATTACACAAGCAGTAAACATATGGAGCTTCGCTATCACCGCTTACTTTGCATCCTGGACTAGGATTGTCCATATATTGGCTGGCTCTGAAAACAAAATTCGAAAAAATTATTCGGAACGCTAGGGGCATTTGAAATTCTGGCAACAAACCATCAAGATATTAACTAGGTACAGATCTGTATGGTCGTTAGCGGCAGCACAAAGAAAGATCAAAACGATACTACCTGTGTTCTTCTAAAAATACTTACAGATCGTTATCGCCGAGGCAGCCTTTGCCTCGGAAGTCTTCTGCAACAGAAGAATTTGTCTTAAGCTTGTTTTACGGCACCGTTCTGTCGGTTTTAATGACCGATACATCCGCCGGACGCGTAAGTCTTTTAAATGATTTAGTTTGAGGGACTTCTCTAAATAAGTTTAAAGATACAGTGTATCTACACACTAGTGCTGTCACAAGAATATGCCTTTAATTGACAGTGAACAGTAACAGTGACATAAAAATGACAGTGAACATTGAACAGCTACCTAACACGGTAACACCACACCACGAGGCTATTTCACTAGACACTAGGTATTTCATTGCACTAACCAGGGCACACAGGGAGCTCCCCATTCAGAAAAATCTGAGTTTTTGCAGAAAGGTATTATACCTACGTAGCATATTTTAAAAAAATAATTTTCGCTGCTATAATTAAGATGGGTGTGGCCAAGCGCAAATTAAAAGCTTCCCCATACCACATACTAGTAAGTACAATACCAGCACAGGCTTTATGCGTCGCAGTCATTGGTGCGACGCGTAATGCGGTAGCGCGTTAGGCGGCGCCAGAGTGATTTACGAGACGGAGGGATGACCTCTTGATCCGACGGCCTAAGCGGCGGCCCACCGGCGCACCCACGACGAAGATTTTTATTATTTAAAATGTGTTATTATCATGTTTGTTTTTGCACATTATGCAACAAATTTCTTTTGCTAATTAGCAACACAAACACCAGAAAATGTTGAGTTCTGAAAGTTAATAATTCAGGCTATTATTCAGCGTTGGCAGTGACCACTGCACGAGGGTTTCACTTGCCTAGATGATCGGCAGATGCAAGAGCCCACGGCTAATGGCTAGTACGGCAGTGCCCGCAAAATGACTGCGACGCGTAAAAGCCTGTGCTGGTATTGTACTTAATACTCGTAGCACGTGCCTGCCATGTGGTATGGGTATGCTTTTGATTTGCGCCCATCTTGATTACAGCAGCTGAAATTATTTTTTTAAAATATACTACGTAGGTGTAATACCTTTCTGCAGAAACTCAGATTTTTCTGAATGGAAAGCCCCTCTATGTGCCCTGGTAAGATAGAGCTGCACTCAGTGCACTGCACATACCAACTGCTTTTACGGAGATTTTTGCTTTACTGTACCTTTACCACACAACTGTGTATGCCGCACTCAGTGCATTTTCTTTAATGCCCTTTGAGCACACCGGGTGGCCGAGGTGATATTACTGTACACTGTTTAATGTCTCTTAAACTCGCGCGGGTACAGTACTTGAATTTCTGTAATTTTTTATTCACCAGGAAGCGTGTTACGAAAGAGGAAGAGTACGTCCAAACCGGAAATTTCTGAGTAAAGTTTTCCAATGGGGTACCATTGCGCAGTTTGAAGTATCTTTGGTTTACGGGGTAAGGGCATTTGCCCCGGGACCCCCCCTAAACTCGCCACTCCCGATTGCGTTTGATTTTTTAATAGCAAAGCTTGCATCACGATAAGATACGCTGGCTGTTAAGCTTTGCGAACTTTTTGTGGTGAGATTTGGCTATTGCCGAAAAAATCAAATTAAAAACAATTTGGTATTTTTTAGCAACTACAGGTACAAGCCCGTTATAGAAAGTTGTGAACATTATTACAACGAAATAAAGAAAACTGTTGCTTGAGTCATCTGCTTTACTGCAGCGCGCTACGCCATTAAGAATTCTATCATTTCTAAGTGTTCTCACTCACTGAATCTGTTATTACAGTATAACATACTGTAGCCACTGCACCAACAGTTCTTTCTATGCGCTTTTTGCGAGATTTATGTGCTGCTTACGGTGTTCGCCGGTTTTTAAAACGGACTTGTCTTTGTCAGTTATCATCAACTAGTGAGTATTTATCCTGGGTTGCTGGAACTTCAGTGAGGCAACGTCGCTTTCGTATTCGGAACAATGGATGTGGCGGAAGCGTTAAATGTAATTTTAATTTTTGGATTACATAAATGTTCTTCGATTTGTAATTTGTAAGTGTTTGATGAATATAAAAAATACATCCTGTCCTGAGCGTGTGCGACTAGTTTAGCAGGCATTTCTACAGACGAGAAAAATCCGCTTCAGTTATGTTAAGATTTTAGGTAAATAGTTACGTACTGTACTTAACGTCGCCTTGATTCACTGCGTAGGCTACCTCTGCACAGTAACTTGTGCGTTTGCACTGTGTCTTGACATAAGCGCTCAGATTTTGTTTAGCGTATTGATTGGGGCACAGATGTTGTTGTGTAGCCGGAGACGAGCGTGTGCATTCATAACACATGATTGATGCGACCCCTAAAAGAACACGGAAAGACAAAAACCATGTGAATTACAGATTACGCGGACGATAATTGGTCTATTGGACAATTAGTGGTCTACGACTCTTAAAGTCTATTAAACAAAAATTTTGTTTAATAGACAAACGTGCACTACGCATTCTTCCTTTGAGTTTGAGCAACATCGTATTTAGTATGATAGTTTGCTCAAACTCAAAGGAAGAATGCGTGGTTCGCGTTTGTATATTTTATGCTCACAACATACTTCGACAGTTCAGAGTCAAAATTATCGGAGCCAATAACCAAATCATTTCGGGTCGGTGATATAACATAATAACTAGATAACGTTTTAAGTAAAGCAGTGTTAAATGACATTAAAAATCCCCTAAAAGCGATACTACGCTTTTGCGCACTGTAAGCACAATTAGCTGAAACTCGCAGCTGTCGTCACTGTTTTCTCCGCTGACATAATTATGCTGTGCAGTCTTTCAAAGGAACATTTCTCCAATAAGTTACAATGACTTACTTAAAACTATTTTCGCCATGGTAACGATGCTGCTTATAAACCAGAGGCTGTAAACAATTGGGTAATACCATAAATGTAGTACGTACTTGAGATGACTGATGACTAGTACAGTAAGGGTACTCAAACATCCTTTACGAACGGCTCTATAAGTTATAGATGCGATTTCTCTTTAACTCTCACTAGCCAATGATACTTCTCTAAATCGGTTAATGATAAATTAGGTTTGAATGGGTGTTTACGCATCCCACTTCACAAGAGGACAGAAAGTCTAAGACCATTGGAAACACATTTCAGTAGTCCGCAAAAGATATCTGCACATAAAAGCATAGTGTATATTCCAACTATGCTTAAATTATTAGATGCAGGATCCGTTTCAGTTTGCACTAGCGATTTCCAATTCAGCGGGCCCTATAACGAAAAGTAACGATTTTGGTACTTTAAGTAAAAGGACTTTAAGAGAGGAAAATTATAGAGCCTTTCGTCCAATGGTCGTGCAGAGGCGGAGCCAAAAGTTAAAGGATCTGGCCCCTTTAAGTTACAGAGCCATTCGTAAAGGATGTTTGAGTACCCTTAGTAAGTAAGTACTAGTACTTTTATCAACAGTACTATACTGCTGTAGAGTGGCGCAGTCAGTTGCGTAAGCACGGACGTAGTACTGTACTATGCTACAGAGGGTGAAAAAGTTTTTATGAAAGATGTTTCAGACGAGCGGAACTTTTAAAGATTCAGTTTGTGCAGTGTAACAACCGGGGTGGCTCACTCTCTGCAGATGGACCAGTGGATCATATCACAGCGTGTTTTTGTTTTAATTTAGTGTTATTACCGCTAGTTTGAATATTGTTAGTCTCTAGTGGTATTAATTTGCAATACGACAATTACAGCATATCACAGCCATAATGTGCTCCTACTGAGAGCCTGACACTTTATACAAAGGTAAAGGTGGTTAATGAGCATGCACATTGCACAGGCTAACTGACAGCACGCAGAGAACTACAAAGGCAACTAGCACCATAAGTTCGTTTGAGAAAGGGTATTGTAATTGTAAACAATATAAAATTGTAAATACTGCATAAAGTGCTTGCCAAACGAGGGCATTGCGCGGTGGGCCGCCAGCAGAATGTATGGCAGTTAATATGCAGTATTATATCGCTGTGAGCAAGTGCTTGCATGGTACTGCTGTAGTAGTGCCAATCAGTTATTATTTATGAATTTGAAAGACAGTAGGTTACTGCTTGCTCATTTTAGTTGGAACTGTCATAATTTGTTTGAGTAAAAGTTTGATTAATTATCGTCATCGTAACTAAAATTGTCGTTTTAGTCGTAACCTTGCTCCCATTGAAGATTATCCGCCAAGGCCAGAGAACAGAAAGGGTAGCCCTTTTCTTCAAGGAAATCCTAGTTAGGACGTTATCTGAAATCTGCCGACTGGGCTACACTGCGAGGCTGTTTACTCCTTTTCGCACTTGAGAAGCAAAAACGTTTTCTTAAGGTCTGCCACAATGCGTCTCTCATGTCGCGCAGCGCGCGTGAACTGTTTGCGGTCAGAAACAGAAACACTAGAAAGAAATTTTGCTCATCCTATGCGGCAATTCACCAGATTCAGACGAGAAGCGTGAAACAAATTAATATTAACATACAGTTTTGCATATTTACTGCTAAGGCTTTGCAGTGGTAGTAGTTAAAGAGCTTTCATTAAAGCGTTCAGGAAAGGTAATATTTGGCGTAGTATACGGTTCTCCCTGCCCGTTGCATAAAGAAGAACCGCAAATGGCAATTTCTGCTTCGACAAGGGACCGGGTACGCATTTGCGCATCAATCCATACGCGACTAAAGTAACCTTTTCCACAGTCCCGGGCATAATGAACTTTATCTGTAAATAGAAAGATAGAGATGTGAATTATGCCTGTGAAACTTTATCATAGTGCAAAACGCCAACAATAAAAAAGTAAGTTAGTGTTAATTTTAATGGCGCATTTTTAAAATGTCCCACTTGTAGTCACCCTTCAAAAACGGTGAACTGTTCTTCCGTACTTAACACCATTTTACATAAATACGTAATACGTATACATAACGAACGTTCACCAGAAGTGCAGTAGAGCTAGCAAAAGCTCTAGACTGGGGCTCCTGTCGTTTCAGTTTTTCTGCATTTCTCAAAAACCGTTCATTTTATTGTTAACTAATTAGTTCTCACATTTGTTTTGCCCCCGCCATTAGAGCAGCAACCTGTGCTTATTACACCCTGAGCTTCCAAGGCTAAAAGAATAAAAAAGTGTCCGTACTTAGACACGATTCGTTTTCAAAAGTCTTAGTGAGTTCGCATTAGCCAATTCCAGATTGCGGAAGCCCGCATAAGCCCACATTTGGCAGGTCTTAAAATGGCGTGTATGACTATTGACCGGTACAATTTGATAACTATACATAATGGCTCGCAGAACTTTTACCACAGAGTGCACAGCAGTACGCAGTACTCGGTATGTTGGGAAAACACCACCTCCATAATATGTGTGCTGCTCTTTCACGTGCGCCGCCGTGCACTTATACTTTGAGATTCAAGTTGTAGGGCCACTGCTGATACGTCAGGCCAACATCGCGAAAAACGTAGTCCTTTAACCAAGGGTTGACATAACGAACCAAAACGACAAAACCACTTTCCAAGTCAAAGAGTCAATCGGAGGCCTTGGTGCCTACTTGAGAATTCGCTAGGCTGAACGGGCTTTTTGATTTTCCCGTTTGAAAATCTGTTTGCCACCCAAGCAAATTCCTGGACGGAAAATTGCTTAGTTTTCTTTTAAATCAGCAATTTAATTGCCGCAGTGGACTGTATGACTCGTTTCCGGCGCAGATGGTAAACAGTTAAACAAAACATTACAAAAATTATCTTGGCTCAGTTTCTTGCCTCAGTTTAATTGATTCTTACCTCAGTTTCTGGACGATCACTTTTAAACAAATTTTGCAAAACACTTACTTCAAAGGCTTTCAATAACCGTTTTCCACAAAGCTATGATCTTGGTAATGCAGGCCCAAGGACGCGGCTCAATTGTCCGGTGAAAATGTTTGCCAGAAGGAACTTTTTTATAACTCTCAAACGTGTTTTTTTTCTCACCGCACCATGGCCAACCACATACTGTGGCGCGGTGTAACCGTTACAGATACCAATGGTTACTACTCAAAAACCATCGCCGGCCTGCACAGGTGCACTACAAGAGATCTCGCCACTACTGTACACTTGAGAATTCTGAAATCATCTCAATTTCATTCGGGATTGCAGTCATACCTCTGACGTACATCTTTAAGTTTATTGCCATGTTATAATGCCGGATTGTGGTGCAAGTCGTAGTTCCAACGTCGCAAGTCTTTTTATGATACTCATAGGCCCCTTTGCAGTCGTCCCCAGAGCCAGAACATGAATAGCATTCCCATGTTCTTATCATGCCTGAAATCAAAGCCAGCATAAAATACTGCAAAAGACTCTTTAAGAATTTGAATTATACGCTTAGGGTTGTTCGGCCGACATACACAAAGCGAAAATTTGAGAAGCGACGGTGTCTAACACATTTATTACCAAACCTGGATTTTGATCTTGACACGATTTATTCGAATTTGTTTCACTGTCTGTCTTCGTGTGTGCGGCGTGAGTTGGATATAAGATGTTGTTTTGCTGTACTTTAGCATGTGTCAGTCAGTGTGTGTGATATTGATCACTCTATCATTTCATCTACTATTCCTTGTTTCTGGCCATCTCACTACTGTGTGTGCTTGTGTCAGTTCAGTGCACTTAGGGCAGAGTGCGCTAAGCTCCAAAACCGATTAAGAAACCGATTAAAAACATGACCGATTAAGAGTTTGCCCGAGTCACTGAAAGTGACTCGACTCACAGAACGCTGCTATTGGCCAATTTCAAGCCACCTCCTAGAGAAGTTTCTTAATCACTACCGATTAAAAAATTTCCGATTTGCAAAATTCCCGAATTTCCTTAATCGGTCCGATTAACAAACCGATTAAGAAGTTGTCCGATTAAGAAATTTCTCCGAGGAAATGTCTTAATCGGAATCGTAATCGCTCGGAATTGCTTAGCGCACACTCCCCTTAAAGTTTTGGTCTTTAAAAACTATTATTTTTGTTTTCCATTAGCAAAGTGCAAGACTGCGAGTATATCACGCAGTCATACCCTGTGCTGCCCTTTCAAGTTTTAAGACTGCCGCCGCTACGACTCAAAATTCCACAGGTCGGAATGTAATTTTCGCTAATTACTCCTGGAATTCGCGTAGTACGACTCCGATTTTTTTTGCCATGTAAGACTCTGCGGCTCAGAGCAGGCCACTTCGGAAACCTGATCTGTCCACTGGCATACCAACACCACTTGCAGTTGAGCTACCATACTGCATCAAGCCTTGCTTGGAAATTGAGACATGTAATGTGAACAACCAATGCAAGCTAGCATCGAAGCGATTGCGCACCCCAGTACATGCAGCTGATAATGGCGATACAGGCCGTAGCACTCCACCTCCTTGGTTCACACATAAAGCAGGGTTATCTTCTGTATCAGAAACTAAATTATTTTATTTACGCGACGTTTATTAACAAAAGGTAATCAAAGTTTTATTTACACGAAAGAATAATAGTACGGCCATCAGAGCCTACTTAAACGACAAATGCAAAATAAAATAACGAGTAAAACCATAGTGTACGAGTACATCCTGGAAACTTGATTTTTCCAGAAGCAGCCTAGGATTATATCATCCTTTCCGCCATAGCAACTTCCGAGCGCACAAAAGCTGTTGATGTTGCCTACCGAGTCATCCTAAGTTATAAATCAGCATACAAACATCACAGATCCAACACATTCTGGAAATGCCGTAGCTGAAGCGGCCTAAGCAATCTTGTTGCGCTTCGCACAGGTCACAAAGCCAATAAATAATCCATTCTCGCCCTCCAAGTGACTGCAGAAGCCAATCGTAATACAGTTAGGAAGACGGACACATGTCAAGCCAGAACGCGACAAACGTTCGCTCAATGTGTCATGTGTGATATGTCCTTTCACCTCGACGCCTTAACAGATCCCGGTTGCCCGGTGGCTCGACTGGCAAAACGTATTTATGTTCCTCGTAGTTCTTAGATAAGAATATGCTGAAAACAGCTCGATTACGGACTTTAAAATTTAAAAAAAGCCAGTCAAACAGCACTGTTCTGTGCAATCTTTGTAATTAGTAATCTTACAATTAGTAAATGTGCTAAATTAGTAAATGTGCTAAAATATAATAATATCAATTCTTACTCGTAGAGATTGGTCTCCTACCGAACGGTCTGTATCTATAGAAGTAGTCCTGTTAGATGGGTTGGTACGGACGCACCGGGAGGCTGGAACAATCTGCCTACTTGGCCCTAGCATCTTCGTTGCACCGACTGATCTGCAGGCTGTGTCGCTGACGGTAACGGATGGTACCGCCATCACGCGTGCTTCGTGCTTGGAAGCGGCAGGCACGGATGAACTTCTGTTGATGCGATGCGTCCCGTCCAGAAAGTTTGAAGAACGCTTCCAGTGCTGCACATTTTCAAGGCTGACTGCACGATTGACCTCTACTCATCTGAAAGTGGTATCAGTTCTCTTTCAGATTTGGTCGTAAATTTGGTTTACGAGTCTGCAGTGCCTGTACCATGCCTCGGTAATCTGCTGAAGAACAACGCGTTGTTTTATGTGTCGCGTTGCATCTGAGAATGTAAAATTGTTCTCTGTTGTTCTCGTAACTAACTCCTCATAAGTACGTTTGCGGCTGGTTGGTCGATAACTTGGCCCCGTCATGGGCTGTGCTTTAAAATGTCACAGTTGCCTCAACACACAGGGTATAAGCAGGAAAGTCAGTTGTGGTATGGAGACGGCCGGTTTTCCAGCTAGAATAGAGGCAATAGGTAGGCCACTCCGTGAAAGAAAGGGTCGCAAGATCGCAGAAGGCCGTGCGAGGCCGCACTTGTACGATAGAAGCGTGGAAAACCGTTGGCTGTGGATTGGGGAGTGCGTAGATGGACTCGCATTTGAACAGCACTTTGTAAAGTCCGGATATTAGCGAAGCGTACGAAAAAGCGAAAACCGGGAAAACATGGCTGCCTGCAGCCAAAAAATCATCTTTTTATTTCAGCGTTTGTCGAAAATGTACGGATCATGGGGAGACGGAACTAAGAAGCTGGTGTAGAAGACTGGAAACGGTATGGAATGGCCACTGGCAAGAAACGGGCGAAACAAATTTTTCTTTCGGCGACGTCCTATCTTAATACAACGAGGACAGTCGGTATGCGTGATGGGTCCAACGACTGCTATCACCGACCAGGACTGGATAGTGGAAATGTTTTTGTTATGAGTTTTGTTTTTTGTATTTTTAACTTTTGGAAATAAATTTGTTTGCACGCGGATTGTACTTACTTATTCTAAAATGTGCCTTAAAGTACCATTACAATGCGAGACATTTTCATAAGCACTCTAAAGCGTTCTTTATTTAATTTGTAAAAACAAAGGTGGCTCGAGGATTAACAGCCTTGATCGTTCACTTCGAACTTGATCCTATTAAAAGCGTAAGTCTTGTTTCAGAGAAACAAATCACCGAAGCGGACCAACAGTAAAATAATAAACAGCTAGAACGTCATATTTACTGGTGCATCTGGTACATTAAACTGAAACGCGTTACATAAATCCTCTGTACAGACTATCTGCACGATTTTTACGTAATCCATCAAGGCACCGGTCTGGAAATACGTTTTAGATAGAAGCTCTGGTGTGTCGACGTTGTAAGGACCCCAAACAGGTGTTCTTTCTGGATTTCTTTGGCAGCCTCGACCCACTGAAGTCCTCACTACAAAAGTAATGGCTGTCTCGTGCGTAAAAATATTAGTCAACTAAACTGCATATTTTACACAATTAGTAATGCGAACGAGTCGTTCATATTACTAAATGCGCAAATCAAGCTAACTGTGGTTTGGAACGGCGATGTCGGCCTGCCTTAATTGAAGGAAGAATAAAGAAATATTTAAAAAAATTTAGAACGGTTGAGACCGAGTTGGTCTTAGTTCAGCGGCGCCGACAGCCGTATTTCTTCTGTTTAGTGAGTTTCGGTGTTATCGATGGTGTTTAGGGTGCTTGTAACTGCCCCTCTAGAAACTTCCACTAACCTGAATTTTTAAGTTTAACTTTTCTGGAAACTGCAAAACTACCCGAAGGGTGTTCGTTACAGTTCAACAACTCAGCCCTGCGCAATCGGTCCTCGAAGTGACCTCAAACCAAAGTTCGTCTCCCATGGACTTGTATGTTATACTTATAACACACCCGCTGAAGAATGCGGTTGCCTATCGCAAAGAAGTGGATGATTTCAAGTTGATCGTTTCCAGGGGCGAAACATGGATCAAGTTACACGATCTTAATGAATCAACAGCTATCTACCACACAGGCGGGAAGATACAAGTGCCGGACAACTGGGAGAAAGACCTAACAAAGCAGTGTCTAAAAAATGTTACGATTGATGTCATAATTCTTTGGGACGAAACGTATCGGGTTTTTGTGGAAATGAAAATATTTAAGTAGACGCATAGTCATCTATAAACAAAATTTTATCAAGTTTAGACACCTATGACAGCTCACGGCTGTACGGAAGCGCCAGTAAAAGGTCATCCTACATTTTGACGGTGCCCGCAGGAATGCTGCAAAGTCATGCAGTCTTAGTTGAAATAAGGCTGTTTTACGCACTTTCCGCAAGAGAATTGATTGGAAAACACCATGAAACTAACTAATCTAGACTAGAAAAAGTGTGGAATTTTTAAACGAATTGCAAAATGGGAGATGCATCCCAGCAGATGAGTCGAGCCGTATTTCCAAGCTGGTCCGTTCTAATTTCGACCTCACTGTAATTCGAGGCATGCTTCCAGTGTAAAAACTTTAAATGCAGAAGTTGCTGGACACATACGCTGATTATACAGAAATGAAATGCTATTCTAATTCTTAACGGATGACTTGTGATAATTTTTTGAGGAGTGTTCGAACTTGGTGTAGCAGGGCTGTATTTTAAAAATGCATTATTTAAGATGCTCCCACTGTAGAAATACCGTGAAATACGATCAACACACATAAATGTGACTCTTTCCACCTATTGCTTTTTAATGGAAAAGATTTTGCAAACTTGGCCTTGGTAAATAGCACAAGTTCTTTGTAGCACTTACTTTGAGATTCGCCTTTTATTCGATACGCCACAATTTGGGCGTAACACGCTTGTTCCGAGCCTTTATCACAGGACGTGGCGTCCCTCTCGCTTCCATCCCACTTAGTGCAGTCTTGAGTTCCTAGAATGCGCACCCGCAGATTTAGGCATCTGCAGAAAAAACTTGGGAAGCCGTGCAATTTGCTGTTGACGCACTTTATATCGTTTGTTGCCACTTGCTACCTTTTGATACTAAGTAGTAAGCAAAAACTTGTTACAAAGTAGCAGCAAATGCGTAACCCGCCAGAGTTAAGAGCTCATGCTGCGCATCATAAGGCGTAGCCACTTATCAAAAAGATGCTATCACTTATCATCATTGTAAATAGTTGTAGCCACTTATCAATAAGAGGTGTTGCTGATTACAGATTAGTTATGAACTTATGATCAATTAGCCACCGTGCTGACATAGGCTGCCTAGTCCTAGAGGTATCCGGTGGAGTGGTGAAATCTGAAACTATGTCAAGTTCGCAATGGATCGTTGATAGAGCTCCGCAGGAGCGGCAGCAACTATAGATCTCGTCGTTGCTTAACCTAACACGATAGTAGATTTTAGTCTAAAGATACCTGTATCAAGCTCGCAAGCTATCCCCAGACCCTGTTTAGTTTTGCTTACGCTGTCAGCATCAGATTTAGAACGCGCTACACAGTGCACCGAGCTTTTGATACAATGTCGCAGTCATAAGATATTACGATCTAAAGGTTTATCACAGAGGCCGCCATACATGTGGAATGGCTGCCCGTGGGGACCTCAGCGAAGGGAGGGCAACTGGGAAACCATAAATAGTACTTAATTTCCAAAAAATTCACTGGAGCGGAATCGAGCCGCCGGCTACCAAGTGTAATCCACGTAGCACACTGTATAGGGCCCACAATGTTGGCAAAGCGCCGCAATGTTGGCAACTTGGCAAAGACCATGACAGCCGTGCTGGAAGCCAACCAGGCAGATTCGCTCCAGTGGCGGTCGACGTGAGCTCAGGACTCATCCGTCCTGACAGGTCCGACAAACTTTAATCCGACAACCGCTCAGGAAAACGCTGATTTTCACTGCTGATAAACTCCAGCCTATCGGAATTTAGTAACGCGGATCTGTGTTTACAAACAAGCCGAAAGCGTTTCCAGCCACTGAGTCGTGACAATCGACATTCGACATGACTACTATTCGTACAACCGGACCGTGTTCAAATTGACAATTGTAATACAGACTGCACTTTGCACTGCACGTTATTCTATTACCGTCGCAAGTATAGCATTCAGTTTTTCCATTATACGATCCTTCCGTCTTTACACAAAGTATCTCTCTTATGACCCCTGCAAAACAAAATTAATCAATATGATTTGTCACCAATAAAACTGCTGTTTGGATTAGTCTATCTTAATACCATAACAGTATTAGTAATTTGCTTTACGGCGATTTTCTGGGGAGAAAAAAAAGCAATGCTGCTAACGAGTAAGCATTTAACTCCCGATGGCATAAAAACGGGTTCTCATGAGTCCGTAACCCATGTGGCTTTCGAGCATTTCTGAAGTCAACAGATCACCGCGTTTATTGCCTTCGGTAGACATTAGACAATAGCTCAGCCCGTCGATGCTGTTGATGCGACGACGTAGCTACTCGTACTTGATATAAATAATTAGGTTCCCGTGTGACTGCTAGCTTGCTCAAAACGTAGGTGGTGTGGCATTATACCATCTCCGCTGCTCAAATTATACTGTCAGTAGAGTCAGTAGATAGATTTCCTAAAGTTGACAACAGACATTTGAATATTGTCTTCATGCACTGACCTAATGCCAACGAGAAAGCCAAACTGATTATGACATTCTGCAACATCATGAGTTTTAGTGTGCGCGTCAAGAACTGTTTCGTATGTTTACGCATTACCTAGTTTCCCTTCGAAATTACCTAGTTCATAAACCGAATACTAGTCTTGTTGCTTGGAAAAGTTTAGAGTCACAAACTCAGGGGCTTTGGGAAACTACGTAATATACAAATTTTGAAGCATTGGCGCTGGCACCTGTTACCTGCTCAGTTGCTATTTCCTAAGGCAAAACACCAATAAAAGTCGCGAAGTTAGCGCCAAGATTACCTTTACGAGGAAAGTGCAATCGCTTTTTTGCGGTACTATATGCATGATGCGGGCACTAGCAAGAACTGGAAATGCCCGTTGACAAACGAACGGAAACCTCGAATTACATGGTGCGGGAGTAGATATGGCCACTGTGCATTTGTTACAAATTCTACCGTGCATATGCGCATTCGTATGCGTATTCTACCGTGCATATGCGTATTCTCGTATCTCCTTCGGGAGCGCTTGAGGGTTAATGCAAAGTGCCAGTTGGATTTTTTTATTGAGCTGCGTTGCTGGAGATTGCGAAGTCCTAACACTTGATTCTAAGAACAGGAATATACTACATATTGTACAAAATAGGCATACAAGTGTTATTTTCAACGAAAGCGGGTATTTGCATCCATGAATATAGTCGATCAAAACCTCTGGGCGAGCTCTGGGGGCAAAAATAAGCCCCGTCGTACATTCCGCCAGTACATTTCGTTGTACATTTCTGCCGCTGCAAACATTGCAGTGACTATCAGAGAATGCAATCTACGCGCTTGGTAGTGGCTGAGCATATTGCTTTCTTCTCTGGAACTCCGCAATGAACACACGCACCCCAGAATAATACACCTCGTCTCCCTGCGCCGGCTTTATCCCATAGCAATTCACTCCATTAAGAAACCCAATCTCACTTTTTTCGTCTGTCCGCGTTACTGGGAGAGTCTCATGAATAAGTGCCGCCTTCACTTTCACCGCATCCGCAATGCACATCTCCGGAGCATACGCTTCTTCCTGAGCTTCCCCACCACCACCACCAACTGAGGAGCAACTGCGACTGGGATGCATCGACACAACCGTCCCGTCTCCAGCGTCAACGTGCCCGGTTTTACACCAATCCCCGCCGTTAATAAACGCCCACCGCATATCTTCCGCAGTGGCCAATCGCGCACTTAAACTCTTACATAAATGCACGGCATGTGAGTAGTGGAACCCAACTTTAGTGATATTAGCCCGCACGTAATACACTTCTCGCATATCCTTTCCTAAATCACTTTTGCCGTTATCGATTGAGCCAACAGATTCCGCTAGCGTGTCCGTCACAGCCATTACAGAACTACTGTCGTCGACATTGATGTTATTCTTCATGACGACATTGGCCGTTGAGAGTCGTATGGAGCTGGTTTCGAAACTGGTTTTACTGACCAAGGAGGCCAGGTTAATCCGCCGCAAGTTCATAGTCTTCACTTCGAACTTCTCCCCGCGGAACTCGAGTAATTCTTGCTCTCTTGGAACGCGCGATTAAATTCCTCCTGGCGCTTTTATCCTTGACATCCGTCGACTTGGAGATGCAACCCTCGAGCGATCCGGAAATATCCCGCTCCTGGTCCTTCTCTTTCTCCGGCTTCTCCGTTGTGGTCGTCACCGGTTTCCGCGTAGTCTGTGTGGTCTTCGGTTGCGTCGGAATTCCCTCATCGTCGTCGGAGCTCTCCGGTGTCGTCGTAGCGCGTGTCGGTCGTGGAGCCCGTGTTGAAGGTGTGGGCGTGGTTGTGGGTGTCGTAGTGCGGCGGGTTGTGGTCGGCAGCGGCGTCGGTGGCACCTTGGGGACAGTTTCGCAATTATTTCCTACACAGTCAATCGCAGGACATCCACAATCTTCATAATTGTTGCTCGCCTGTCGCACTGCATGAAACGAGTCGTCCAAATTCTCCCCAGTTTGGATACTGGCGTTCTGATACGCTCTTTGGCGCGCTTCGTCCCCGCCATCTTCCTCTTCTCCTCCGTCATCCCCTCCGTCGCCTTTTCCGCTTTCATACTTTCCTTTTAGGTTAAAGCAGGTATTCGTGCCGTCCTTCTTTTCATACGCTTCCTTAATCAATAGTTTGGACTCCGTACTCAACTTTGAATACGCATCATTCAGTCGGTACGTCACCTTATCCGGACGGGCGTTCTCGTCCTTCCAGAACACGGAACCCCACTGTCGCGCATCGAAGTTCTTCGTCGACTCCGTCGTCATCTCCAGCGCGGTCTCGATCAGCTGCATCAGTTTCGGGAATTCTGCTGATCGACAAACTCGGCGTCGGAGATCTCCGCCGCCAGCAAGGTTCGTCGCGATTTCTGACGTGAGTTGCTTGGCGTCGTCACCGTTCAGGTACACATCCGTGGTGCCGGTGAACCGCGTCCGCATCTCCGTGAACAACTTCCCGCTGCGGACATGCTCGACGTTTACCGTGAGTCTCCGGGCGCTGCTGCTTTTCGACTGCAGGTTGAAGTACATGACGAGATCGGCGGCGAAGTGGCGGGGCGAGTTCTGGATGTCATCCCTCAGATCCAGGCATAGGTTCTTCGTTGCGCAGAAGATCCGGAAGCTGACCGACGTGGGCGCCATGGAATAGGGTCGCCAGTTGTTATCGATCTCGTATTCTGGGGGCCAGTCTGGTCCCCACCAGGTCGATGCGCACTTCCTCGATCGGGATGATCCGCAGTTTGGGATTCGGTACGTTGAGTCGCGCACTCAAAGTTTTCTTGATGAAATCCAGGTAGTCGCCATCCCACATGGTGATGGAGAACTCTACCTGGTACTTGCCAGCGAACTTGTTGTTGGAATGCACGGCGGATGAGGCATTTAAGATCACCGCGGGAGTGAAGTAATACAGATCGTTACGGCTGTTCAGTGGGTTCGGGTTGACCGCCGCCGCCGCTTGGAAGATGCGGATACGGAAGTTCTTGTAGGGAATGGCTTGGATTGCGGTCGCGGTGGGTTCGAAACGGCCCCAGTAGATCGCCGTCGGATCTGCGCCTTCTGCAAGGAGACCACCGCTTCTAACTTAGTCTAAAATTTCGGCACAACCGGTTATGAATTTACCTCGAGCTGTTGCGCTCCTATTCGTGGGCTTGGCTGCTCCTGCAGTGACAAGGAAAAAAATAATGATTATTTATTAAAACCGTTTCCCATGCAGTGAAGACAAATAACGGCGAAAAATATCTACGTATTAATTTTTCAATACTTTCAAAATATTCATTAATTTTAAATTATCGGTATCAAATTATTGAAGGTCTTCTCAGCTTAACTACGAGTTCCGTTGAAGTGCAATTTAGGACATGGTCCCGTTCCCGTTTCCTCGCAAGACCAATCGACCAGCTGAGCTTACATCAAGCTGGGCTTACATTCTGGTGACACTAGAAAATCAGTATTTTCGGAAGTCAGGAAACGTTCTACTGCGCCACGTGTGTCGCACTTACTTTCACATGCTTGCGCTTTCTACGACTGTGCACAGCATCGCTTGGTCACGCTTAACGCAATATAAATAAGTCACGGGAGGGGGAAATGGTCCTAAATTGTACAACATTCTTGAACTGTTGCTAATTTTGAACTGATAATTTTAATGCGTTAAACTTTAGACAGTCTAAAATTCAAGCAATTACTTACTAGGATTGAACGGTCACAACCAGAAAGACTCCTTACCGTGGGTGTTATCGCAGTGCTGGCGCCTGGTTAGGGCCATTCCCACAATCACCCCTATTAAAACAATATTGACGACACAGGAGACGACGAACAGCACACGGACCAGCCTTATTGTGGCCTTTTCACTCAGACCAGCCATGGAATATCACAGTGTAAAAGTATTACAAAATAAACTTAAAAAGGTCGCGAAATCTCATGTGGTTTGCAGGCTGCATTAGGTGTTAGATAAAACCTGAGCTTACGCCAACTCGCGACGCATCTCATTGTTTACGTATTTTTGATTCGCGTAAGGCAACAACCTGCGTGCTCTTTTAAGGTGAAAATATGACGACGTTACCACGGAGTCGCAACAAAGATTCACGGAAGTAAAAGTAAATAAACTACTCTCCAGCATCGGCTCTGTACAATCTGAGGCTATCTTGAGCTACGTTGAGACTCGTATCAAGTAAGTAAATACCTACATCCGTAATCGGAGTGCCGTAAAGTTTTGATTGACATTATGACATTGTACTATTTGTAACTAACATCTTTCGTTTATGGAAGACCCACAGGAACGCGAGGCTGCTGTAATACAAGACAAGAACACTTGCGCCTATGTGGCTCTCATATTCGCTGTTCTATTAAACTTGATACTTGTCATATTACTTGTTTATTTCGTAACGGATCCTGTAGAAGTAAAGCAACGTAAGGATCCGCTGAGTTTTACAGCTGACGCTATACCGGCTGTGTCTGTATAAGGACCTCGCTTTCCTAATTCCTTGATTGTTGCACTGTCTTATGTTTCTTTATTTTTTTGCAGAGTCCATCGCCGAACCATGCTCTCCGACCTTTTCCCCGACAAGTAAGTTTCAATATTATGCTTTGTAAATCACTTGTTTCGATAGTTCCGTCGGACGTTTTTTTATAAAGACGTGCAACGACAAAGGTTAATGCGATTGTTACTGTAGTAAACATCGTACGATTTTCACGTGGTAATGACAGAACATTTTCGCTTTTGTCGCATCGATGCGTTCAGTTCAAACGTTCAATAAAGTAAAAAACTGTACGAGCAAACGGAAGATAATATATTAACAATTTTATTTCACAAAATCTTTTTTATCGCTGAATTTGTTGGTTGTTGGTAAACTAATTCTATTTGCAGATACGACGCTCCGTCGAAATGTGCTCGCTGCCACCACCACGAATCCCATCCAACCGACCGCTTTGGCTTGGGGACAGTATCAAGTATCGCACTCGTACGTTATGACGGTACCCTACGAAAACCGCAATGTTCTCATCTACCAACAAGCCCCTGGCGCCAGACCCACCAGCACCGATGACCGCGTGCGTTACTTTTACCAACCGGCGCTGACAATGCGCGCGGATGCACCATCGATCGCCCTCAATCCTTTCAGCAACAATTACGAGATCCACATCCCGGTGCTGTTGTGGGATCGCGAGTACGAAGCGCACATCCGACAGAAAATCATGGAGCAGACTGGATCGAGCGAGTTCCTCTGACCGTCCTCCCACTGGAGGAGATCCGCATCAGTAGCGTCAGCGCCAAACCGCAGATGCAGTTGGTTACCCGTTGGATCCCGGTGGCGAACCAACCGTCGGTCATTACCTTCCTGATAATCTGCCGGGATAATGAAACATGCGTGACGAGTCTGTCGCATATAAAAGAGAATCCGCAGCAGTTCGCAGCGGATGTGCGGGTGCATTACAGTTTGGAGAGCCAGAGCAGTAGCGCCAAACGGATAACCGTGACGACGGAGCATGTGGAGAAGAGTTCCTCTACGCCGCGATTAACCAGAAACTCCCCAATAAAGACCCCATTTATTTAACCGCCGATGATGTGAATACACTGCAGCGGGAAATTATGACCAACATCCAGGCGACGGAGATTGAGGACGCGGATTTCGTCAGCGATGCGAGTCAGCCAAGCATCTTGGGTCTGATCAACGAGGCACTTAAATTAGCTACGCGCAGCTCTAAAGATTTCGAGGAGCACAATTGGGATTCTGTGTTCTGGAATGACGACAATGCGCGTCCCGATAAAGTGACGAAGAAGCTGAATGAGGTCGCACGGAAGCTGGATAAGGAGTCACGGGAGAAACTGAAAAAAGAACAGGCCAAAGCGGAGAATTCAGGGTGGAAGTTCGATGCTAGTGTCACGTACAAGAAGATCAAAGTGGGCGCGGGTGCAAGTGAAGAGCAGGAGAAGGAGCAGTTAAGTGAGAAGGAAGTGGAGGAGTTGAAGAAGGCGTTGGAGGAGTCTCGTGGTAAATCTGTCGTCGAAGGTGAAATCTACAAGGCACGACCGATGGAATTAAAGCGAATTAACACTGGTAAATCTCGCGTATTCCAATTTTCACAACTAGTGACCTTTTAGGATAAACCTGAACCTGCGTTCGGCGCAACGACTAGATGAGTAAAATCGTCAGACGACAACTGCCATCCTAAGCTTTACACGAGCAAAAGCGTTAAATGAAAAGTTTCGGTCAATCGTAAATGTTTTAAGCTTCCTGCCGTCTTCCGTGTTCCTAGACAGCATAACTCCTAAACAATGTAATGCGTCTTGAATTTACGCTTCAACTTAAGTGTATTCACAAAAAATTGAGAAAGAGGCTTTGTTTTATTTTTTCGCGTTAACGCTTTTCACGTTCAGTACACCGTTACCATCTGCACGTGATGCTCACCAGAAGCGCATTGCGAAACAATTCATTAAATTTAATAATGATTGTTTTGTAGGCAGCATTAAAAGCGGCGCCGCACTAAGCACCTCCCTCGTCCGATTAGCCAAAGCGACCGCACAGATCAGCGACACCATCAAGATCCACGACGCACGCAATCAGAACATAACGCCAGCCATCACTTTCAGCGGTACCGATCTCGAGGTCTTTCACGTCCGTGGCCGCGAGGACTACATCCTCTACCAGCGCCACGAAGCCCGCGAGATCTGTCAGCAATACAACGCCAAACTGGCCACCACCCTGCAAAGTCCAGGCGGCCTGGGTTGCCGGCGCCCAGTGGTGTTCGGCCGGGCATGTAGAGGACGACCGACTGGCCTATCCAGGTCACGTGTGCTACGTGAACCGGCAGGTTCACGTAGACGGTCGCCCCGTGGTTCCTTGGCAGCAGGAAAGTGCCGCGTGCCATCCGGACGGCGCACTGCAGAAAGCGTTTATGTATACGACCAACGAGCGGAATAGTACGCGGCACGCGTATAAAGATACCTGGAGGTTGGGAGTAAACTGTTGGGGCGTAAAGCCGGCGCAGGCTAATGAGCGGGAGTACAAGGGACGTATGCTGCAAGTGTGGTCGTTTAATGCGACGCATTATAGCCAGTTCGGAGCGTAAATCCCGATCAGCATCAGTTTTGTCGTGCGTTTGTAGTTCCGTTCATGCGGAAGCGGCAACTAAGCGCGATCGTGATTTTCTGCTGTACAATTTTAATTGTTGAGAGGCTGTTGTTGTGACTGTACCAAACAGCTGTTTGGTTTTCCGTTAATACCCCATCAAAACCTGTCAAATCATGAGCCGAGAATTCGCCGTCACTTATAATTAAGTATGATCTACTTGACTCAATATAAGCACTGTCTGGTTTTGCATTCAAATTAATATAGTATCGGTCATAATCGGTGTGCTATACATTTCATGGGCCGAATTATTTTTCAATAAGTTTTTACTGTGTGAAAGCTGCCACGCAATTAATATCGAACGATTTATTGAGCACCCCGTAAATAGTCGATCACGAAGCGCTTGGAACCGGAACCACAAATCACAGCAAAGCCAGGAGAACATAACAACCTTTCAAACAGAACACAGAGTCAACAAATACCATCATTGACGACTGACTAACGGTCTCCACATCAGCGCAATGACCACATGTTAAAGATAGTTTTCAGTGCATCATTCCAGTGCTCCGGGATCACTATCGTCTTGCACATTGAACGTACGAAAAAACTCTTCTATATCCGTTTCCGTTATGGTCTGAAACAGATAACACAACGCGTAAAAAACAGCTAATTAAAATTACTCAGAAATTAAAACAGTGTCAGGCTGTAAGCGAAGTACATATTTCATTACAAATTATAAATAAATAATAAATAAACTTATCATAATGAATATTTAAATTGCCATAATATCACTTTTTCCACTCCACGTATTAGTCATTTTAAGTCATCACAAAAAACTACGTACATTTACAATATTATTGCAAATGTCGTTTTTTGTGATGACAGAAATGAGTTCCACTAATGTGACCTCTTACTCGACTACATGTGGCCTTCTTTTAAAGTCTACATGTGGCCTACTTACTTGGCCGCCTTGTAGCCTGGTTTTAATGAACTCCACAAAAACTTCCTTAAGGTTATTAAACCCTGAAAGAACAAGGTGATAAAAAAACGTTCACCGAAAAACGTGCTAACACGCAATACATACAGTGTGCTAGTTCCACTTGCGTGACAGGATCGAAGCCTTCGCAGATATGCGCAAAGATCTCTTCCGGTGTCATCTGCGAAGCCCGCCGGACATTCTCCATTTCCTTGAGACCTTCACGTTCCTCGAAGGCCGCACAGGTGTCCTCGGAATCCAGCAGATACTCGATCTGTTTGTCTTTATACATCGTCTACGAGAAAGTATCATTGACGATTTGCAATGCAGATAATATGCACGCCGGAATGATGCCGAAACCATACCATACAATCTGTGCAACGGCAGAGTTTCTCGAACCATTTCGCCGGAAACACGGCGCCTTTGCTGGATAGAGTCTCTTCAATTTGCTCGCCGTATACTTTCCGTAGCTCATCTTTCATACACTTTACTGTTTCCTAATGAATAAAATGCAGCGTACTAAATATGACATCCTTGAATTATTTTTTTTATACGATTTATTAAACTTGAGTAATTATTAATTATTATTATTTTTTGTAAAATACGTAATATTTTTTAATTTAATGATGTTCAAATTTTATAAGAATTTCTTAATATGGTATTTTAACCCTTAATGGCCTGATATCGTAAAACTGATACATCACATTTAAAAACGCACTGTACATACCGTACAAGCTCAAATTTTGCATTTTTCTTCCGTGGTATGCTATGCCGACACCGGCAGCATACTGCTAACCATTTTTGCAAATTTTAAAAGATAATGGTTTTTGAGAAAAACAGATGTATCAAGATGATACATGTTTTGCCGGAAGTAAGTTAAACTTGTAGCACAAATTAATGGCACAGCACTTGCAGATTAGATAAATCCTGGGTGCTGCACAAACAATCGACGCTCCTAGCAGGCACGTTTCGAAAATGGTACGTTTGCTAACAATCGTGAAAAAAATTCTGATCCGCGATGGTGTCCTTATGCCGGATGAGAATACTAGCCGGCATCCGAAAATAAAATTTCTTTTGTCATACAGAATGGTCAGCGCAAGAGAGAGCATTTAAATTCTGTCCCTGTACTGGCTGCATAAGTAGGTCTCCATGCGCGCACTGTGTGCTGAATGCATAGAGGTCCAGTAGCCTGCCTGTGCCTCTTTCAGATTTATTCTCTCTCTCATTAGCTAGCAATGCTAAACAGACCAATGGCTATCACTTGTATCAGATTGATGCAGTTAGGCGTTAACGGATAAAAATATGTCAGGCCATTAAGTGTTAAATACCTGCTTTAGTATTAATTACTGGTTACTTTTAAAAATATTTGCAAAATAATAATATGTGGAAACAGAGATTAAGGTTATTACAAAGTGATCTTTTACCGAAATGTGAGCCGACTGGTTTTCGGAGAAATATTTGGAGTATAACTGTAGAAACGGGTGCTTGTTTAGGCAGGCCGTGCAGACCAGCTCGCCGTCCCATTCCTCGCCGAACTCCTCCGGTTCGACGCCGACATGCGGCGGATGAAACTGCTCTTCGCACATCCGGCACTGCACTGTCTCATGTTCATCCCCGAGAGCGTTGTTGTCGATGGGTTTCTCGCACGTGCAGATTTTTCCATGGAAATTCTGAAAGTATACCAAAATACGACTAATATAAAACTAACAAAAAGCGCACTATCTAAATGGTTACAATGGCGTACCCCGTTATACACGTTTTCCGTGTTTGTTGGTTCCTTGTTTAACTGAATAAGGCATTTTCTGGGGCCGAATTTGCTATTGCCGCAATCACAACGAAATTTTCTGGGAAAAATATACATTGGTACTTTTAGAATTTTGCTTACGGTAAAGGTCACAACGAGGTAAGTTCGGTGATAATCTATATATCAACACAATTAGGTCGTACCTTCTCGTGAGTAGTGCCACAATATCGTGCTCGTCATGGCAATTGAGAGCGCATGCTAAACCTAAAAATACCGAGGCAACCGTATTTTGTTGCAGCTTTATACGGATGGAATCACAAGCCTTACACATTCCGGCTGGTTCTAGCACGTCCAGCGTACATGTCCGACAAGCGTATACTAGCTGGCGTTTCACGTATCCCTGCAACATGACCAACCACTTCAGCAATTTCACGAAAAGTTTAAATTAGCGTACTACTTGATTTACGGTGCATAAATGGATAACGCAACGGTGTGGGTCATTTAGAGGAATAAGCCAAACCTGTGGATACGTGCACCGTCGCGCAGATGTATCGATTAGGTCGGCTAACACGCTGAAATCCGCTGGCTGATCCAGTTCATCCGCATCAGCGTCCGGATCGACCTCGGAGACGTTCTGGGTGTCCACAGACACATGCGTGGCGACGGACTCTTTGCTGGACTGCCGTTCCAGCTTATCGCTATCTGAATTGTCATCATTGCTGCCTGAAAACGCAAATAATTAAATTGTTTGCAATAAGCACCACCTGCGATATCAAATTCTTAAAAATATTATTATATTAAAATATTTGTGTTCCCAAAATATATGCTGTCCTGTGCTGTAAAATATATGAAAATATATGATGATGCTGTGATGCTGTGATGATATGATGTGATGCACAAGTTCAGCTATCTCTAAAAAAAGAGTAAATGAGCAATAGTCGAATTTCTCAAACCCCAAAAAAGGCCTAGCAGGGTAGGTTGAACAGGTAAAGTTCCTGCCGCAGGCGATTAAATAATGTATAAAAACACATAACAGATTTTGTAAACTACAGTAAACCGTTGACAAATCTAACCATTATCACGAGACTTAGAAATCAGCACAATGTTTTTACAACTAAAAAAAAAACCGAAATCGGTGGTATTTTTACTTTACCGTCGACAACATTCAGCACGACGGTTTCCTTCGCTTTGACCTCTAAGGCAGGGTTCGGTGGTCTTACATCCGTGGACACCGGGTCCTGCGAATCCCCGTTGGGACATGGATGCGGGATGATGGTGCGCACCTGTTTATTAGGATTGTGGTTGGGTTCGTCGCCGAAGGCCTGTTCGCTGGTGCGCTTCCGATTATCGGTGACGGCCGAATCGGTCGGGGAACCCGACGCGTTGTGCATGGCGTCCGAAGGGGTGGCTGGCGTATCAGTCATAGTATGAAGTACAAATGGGGGGCGGCGCGAATACGTCGGGAGTAACACAGGTTGGTCTAACACAAAAAAGGTGTATATGTGTAGCGGGCCGCGATAGGAGATATTAGAATGCAGTAGGATTACCGATGGTCTGTTGTACGGCTACATTACAGTACTTTCTGACGCGCATAGCAACAGCGACAGTGCTTTTCGGTGCAAGTGCCTGCAACTCAGTGGATGAGTAATCCACTGTCAATTCGATTAACAGGAACACGGCGTAAACGTGTCAGCAATCCTGAATAATGACTGTGCTGCAATGTTCTAGGCGTTTAATAATAATCTCCCTGCCCCTGCACCGCGACTGATCTTCTTGGCTGTACATAGCGGTGAATAGCAATCACTTTCTTACTCAGTTCTCTTCACGCCTGTTAATATTTTCTGTGTATGTTGTCCTTTTTATTGCTCTGCGGAATTCTGCGACGATCTGCGCGGCATTTTTAATTTTGTAAATTTTCAACGAAGCGTCTACATGCTTTTTTACCACGTGTTTCTATAGTCTATGTGTTTTACGTTGGAAATTATAAGCAGCATTTTCCATCACGAGCTGGTTATCATTTTCATCCTGGTTAGCTTCGGTAATTTCCATTTGTACGGAGTCAGGTAGCAAATCTGCCGGTGACCTCGCAAAGTGTGGAATGATCGACTTGTGTAAGATTCATTGCTCCCCTTATGATAGGGGTTTCAGAATTTTACTAATTATGTTCAATGTGCAGCTGCTGGGCGTTCCGGGCAGTACTATTTGTGGGCATGAGCATCGGAATTAATAAAAATATCGCATATTTAAGGCTTAGACTTAGAGTATCTGAAGCCCTCACTCCTCACTCCTCAGTGACTCTGTTGTGCATCTATCCCGGAAGGCCAGGAGAGGTGTTCCAATCGAACTGCGTTCATTTATGCCAGGGCACTTCGACAGAATGAGTGACACTATGAGCGTAAGTTAACACTCGCTCTCGTCCATGTGCCTAACAATAAGAGGCACATTTAATCATTCAGAAATTCGTGGAACGTTACACTGGCAGTTGACTTCTTCCTACCTGACCTGAATTCCTCAGAAAATTTGTTTCCTTTTCAGTTATGGAAACAGTTAGTAAAACTAAATTCACTGAAAACTTTAAAACCACGAATTCCAGCCGCTTCCGGTTGGTGAACAAATGGCAGCCTCCCAGTGTGGCAGCGTGATTTGGCTCTGTTTACCGATTCAAAAGCAACTCTTTCTACTTGCGTCCTTAATGAAAAGGAAGAACAACGTGTAGAAAACATTTCGCATAAGTAGCAGACCGTTCTACGCCAGACTGGGACGAACCCATGGGCTGCGCCTGCGCGGCACACAAGAAAACTCATTGTAATTTAACCATAGACGAGGGCGAGTGTTAAATTACTTTTATCTGACAATTTATTACCTATTATTAAAAGCTACCTATTATCTTATTTAATTAACCATGATCTTAACCCAGTTATCCAGTAAAAATGTCTTTAAAAATAAAGGTAATATTAATCAATCATTCGGGTGTTTCTAACTGCTTGCTTTACCTAAATACACAGCACATAATTTATTTTGTGTATAATATATTCAAATTGTATGACGACGTAAGTACAGTAATTAAAATTGTATTGCAAAAATAAATAAAAATTGCAAGAAAATAGCTTAGGATTTCCTATGAAAGACACCACTATCGTAAAGACGCTAAACGAGCACTCTTTCATAGCGCGTCCTAACTTCTACGTATTACTACACTGCACAAACCAACTTTCTCTTCCGTTATTAAAGCCACCTAAGTACTATTGTCATCAAAATAACATTCCGATACCAAGAGATCTTTGCGGCACACGAAGAGCGGCTGTTGACCCGTATAGCGCCAATTAGTGCTGTATTGGATACTGCATTAGTATTGTTCATCTGTCGTGTGTGAGAATAATCAAAGCGGCACTAGATGCCGGCCGCGCGGCGGCGCGCCGGTGTAGGTCAGAGAAACTGAGCTTGTATGCCACGAAGACGCGGGGCTAATAATGCGCGTTATATCTACCGGCATACTTCCGCCTTAACCGGCGCATTCGGATCTTCTGTAACGCTCGCATCTCTGCTGACTTTCCGTTTCTTCTCTTGGACGGCTATTGACTTTCACTTGGTCAACGCGGAATTACCTGGCATCTTTTTGCCGTGTTTACTGCGTATCGCGGATAGAGAATGCGGAGAACAGTATTATCGGTATCCCTGTGTTTTGCCCTCCTGGCTGGTACGTAGGGGATTATTTGCTGAAATTAAATTGCCCCGCGATTAGTTTATTATTTTCGGTGATGTAGGAGTCAACGGTGCTCCGGCCATTCCCTTCCATCATCCGGCTATTGAAGCCAGGTATTCAGGAGGCGGCGGAGATGGTAAGTGGTGCATCCATAGTATTTTATTTAAAGCAACTGAAAGTAATATTACGGCTTTAAGTGTTTTTCTTACGAGTACCGGAAGCATATATTCGCTTTATGCAATTAACAGATAGCGTCACTGTATTTTTTTCCTTTCGTCGACAGTTGCGGAAAATATTCCGTTACCGCCCGTATTGATTCTCATGTCTTTTTAGGATTTTTAAAAATTATTTTCTTATTGATCAAGAACTACGATGCTTTATTAGTATTTGTATTGGGATTTTGCTGCTTGTTTACTGTAAAATTATTTTAAAACTTGCGGTTGGAGTTTTCGGATATTATTACCGGTATCTACTTCATTCGTTTTTACGGAAGTAATAATGAACATATTCTCGCGAAGTATAGGAAACTGTGTACCGGTAGGCGGTGTCTTTTTGTAACAACAAATAAATTATTGTGCTTAACATAACAATTTTCAGAAAAGTGTGTACAGAAAAAAAATTTATTCATGCAGTTTTATGACTTACAATGCCGTACATTACCCAATTATGATGAAGCCCCAGTGTACAGTTAATATAAGCGAAAGTGAACGACCAAAATGACAGCAGCATCAGACATCTTTTACTTGTTTTTCTAGGTAATGTGGTCCAGAACAGCAACGACGCCGAAATGGGCCAGCTAAGTATGTCAAGCGACCATCTTTGAATACCTTCACAACTGGAATATAACCATAATAACCATAATAATAATTCAGCCTACATTTTTAATAACCACTGCCATCTTCTTTTGCAGGTGGAATATTCAGTAAGCCAACGATCACAACACCCACGCTATAAATACCAGCAAATTTACCCGCTTTTTTCTTTAAAAAGACGCCCTGGTCAACGAGCTGCAGACCGCCCCCAAACTGGCCAACGGCCCGCAGGCCGAAGCCCAACGCCAGGCTGACCAGGCGCACCGCGACGAAATCACCCCAGACAACATGGAGAAGGATAACACCACGCCCAACCCGGCCGTCACCGACGCCCCGCCGGAGGATGCGCCGCCCGAGACCAAGATGATCCGCCCGGTGTCCAACAACCAGAACCGCTTCGGTGAGAACGTCAACTTCAACAACTTCCAGGCGCCGCCGCCGCAGTTCAACCCGCAGTTTGGCGGCGGTCCCTTTAACGGACCGTACCAAGGGGGTCCCGGACCGTTCAACGGCCCGCAGTCCATGTACACGCCGCCCGGACCGAGTCCCTACGCCATGCCCTTCCAGCCCCAGGGACCCTTCGGGCAGGGACCTTATGGACAGGGTCCGTATGATAATGGCCCGTATCAGAACCAGAATTACCCACCACCGCCACAGAAACCGATCGGCAATCCCGGCAGCTATGGCGCGGATAATTCAGCGCTGCAAGAATCTGGAATGGGCCAATTAGGTAACAGAGAAGGCGCGCTTAAACGTTGGCATAATGTAATCAGTACAAATTTGTTATGTACTTTTATTTATTACAGAAGGCAAAAAACAGTTTCGAAAATTTTTTTAAATTATAAAATTTAAATCAATAATTTTATTAATTTAATAAATTATATAAAGCAGCCAGCCTTTTTATATAAAAAGGTAGCCAGCTATATACTTGCTGTTGATCCAACATACTGTATTTCACATATCGAATCAACAGCAAACATTAACTGAGTACACAGTAATTCCATAAATTTCCTTGTGTAAAGATAAAGTTAATCAACTGCGGAATTTAAATTTAAATCTTTAAAGGACGATACTGTATTTTCCATGTAAGTGCGTAAAATAGAATATGAAACAACGTTGCGCAATCTCCTGTTGTCGGTAAATAAAAGAATAATAAGCAAACGTATATTTTATTGAGAAAAAATTAAATTTCTTCATTTTGTTAAGAAAAGATTTTAGGGCCAGGACGATCAACTGAAAAAAAATTCAGGTTGGAGATATTGCAGATTTTGACAAGTTTAGTTCAACCGTAATACTCGTAATTCTGTGCCTAACCCAATTTCTTTTGTGCGTATTAGGTCAGTTCTTCAGCTCCATGGTGAGCGAACTGCAGAACTCCGGCTTCAACAACAACGTGGAAAGCGCCATCGCTCCTAAGAAGCCCGTGAAGAAGGCACTCGTCCCCCGCCCACCGGCCGCGACAACAACCACCACCACCACCCAGAAGACCACGACGACCCCCGATGACAGCTCAGATAGTTAAGCACAAGCGCTGGTAGCTTCCGCGGCGCAACGGATATATGTTTCGTATTCTATGTTCCTTTGTGATTCTTTAATGCACGGTTTACGTCCAGAAATATATGTAAAGCAGTTGAAATTAGCTAATAATGTGCAGAAACGGAATAGCTGCTGCAGGCAGCAGCGAATATTCCGAGAAAAAAAACTAACGCTATAAAAATTATTGCGAACGCGAAGACTTTAAACTGGTGCAAAAAATTAACAATTACTTATCACAGCAGCAAAATAAATTCCAATAACACGATTCAAATTATCGTTTTTGCTGGAATAATTATACTTATCGCTAAGCAACCAGTCGCTGTTGGCGTGACCTTTCCTGCTTTCCGTGTCCTGGTTGAACGACAATCAGGTTCTCGGTAAAGGCAAACAGTAAATCCACGTAGCGTATTTATCACAATCGTACTCCATCCTGTCTTCGAATCCCATCTCTCTCCTACGGATTAATTCGATCTCCTGTGAATCCTGTGATGAAGATGGTTCAATAGTTGTATTACAAAAACATATTTTGTTGTGAAGGTTTGGTTGGTCCTTGGATCGCCGTCGTGCATTATGCCGCCGGCCGCTGCCCACAATCGGACGATTAACTGCACATCCCAATCTGCCGAGTGTATGGTCCGTTCTGCCGCCAATGTTGCTGGTAATTCTAGGACGAGTTTATTATGGTGAAAATCTTAATGATTTCGCAAATGGTTACCTCCAAATTTCCAATAACTACATGGCAGTCTACATCTCTTTTCTAAATTTTAATCTATAAGAAAGAATTCCCGGCAAATCGCAAGATCCAGAGATTTCCAGACAAACAAAGTTGCTAAATAGTAGTAAATACTACATGTATTTTACAGATCAACAAGCGTATTTTGTTCAGTATTTATTTGAATTTTTCAGTGGAAATTTGTGTACATAGATACAGATGTAGACGTTCGCTCAAACGTTTCGAACCATTTGTTACGCAATTATTGAAGAAGATTATGTTCCTGTTTTTGTTCTTTAATATCTGCACAGTGCGTGAATTAGCAACGAATGGAAGTCGTATTTAACATGGAAGTACAAGCTTTCGGTTCATTTTAATTTTACGTTTGTTTTAAACAGCAATAAAGGCAATTAAAATGACACTTTCTGTTTAATAGCTTCCTCTTCCTCAGTGATGGCTCCCAGAAAGCGTCCCGCCAGTCCCGGCTCACCGGTCACCCAGAGCGGTGATGGTCCCGCTGTGAAACCGGCCCGTCGTGTTCCCTCTAATTATCGCCGTATCAACAAAGCGGCGTTGCGAGCGCGCCTTGTCGCCAACTTCCATGTGGAAGGCAGCATTGTTGACCTGGTTTTATCTTCTATTCTGGACACACCGCCACAAGTGACCTTTGATGATGTCGTCGGCCAGGAGCAGGCCGTGAAGCTCCTGCGCGAACGCGTTGTATATCCGGCTTTAAATCCTACAGTAAGATCCGAAAACAGTTAAAAAAATTTAGCATTTGTAGCAACAATTTTTAAAAATTGTTGAATTTTTAAATGTTTTTTAAATACAATTAACCAAAATTTCAATTTGGTGATCTGTGCAGTGCAAATATTTATTTGCAGTTATTCAACGGACAGAAATTCTTGCGTCCTCCGCGCGGCGTTCTCCTGTTCGGTCCCACCGGCAACGGGAAGACGTTACTAGCGAAAGCTTGCGCCGCACAGACCAATTATAATTTCATGAATTTAACCGCTTCGGTGTTGGTGTCGAAATGGGTAAATAAACGCTCGCATATTCCGCACTGTGACCTTTCTACAGAATATTTGTGTAGGTTGGCGACAGCGAGAAGATCATTAAGATCCTGTTCGAATGCGCCCGGGATATACAGCCGTGTATAATCTTTATCGGTAAGGCGCCGCTGGTAGACATCCGTAGCACCGTGGCATCGTGCCAATACACACGCCGTTCGTTTAGACGAAATTGACGCCGTGTTATCGCAGCGAACACACCTGGAGCGGGATGATACGCGGCGATTTAAGAATGAATTCCTCACCCAGTTTGACGGGCTTATGTGCAATCATGAAGAGCGGATTATGGTGCTGGGCGCCACGAATCTCCCTCAAGGAATCGATACAGCAGCTTTAAGGTAAAACCTAAAACCGTGCAGAACCGGGGGAACCGTTGGTCGCGAGCAGACATTTCATGAGACGTTTTATGAGAAAGCACAATAAATATTTCCATGCAAAGCCTAAGGCATATGTTAAACAAAATTATATCTTTTATTTATGGTTACTTAATAACATTGATCGATAAATATTACTTATATATTCCAATCAAATGTTTTATTAAAGATACTTATATACTCCAACAGATGAAACAAATTGTATCGAATTTTTTTTAAAAATGAAATTTGATCACAAATTCTATTTTTTTTAATGGTTCTCTTACTGTAAAAAAACTGTAAATTCTTTTCAGAAGTGGAAAACGGAAACTTATTATGAAATTTCATTCTTTATTTATCAGTTAGTCGTTACTTCTTCGGAACAACCTTAACTTTTCTCCTTATAGAAGGTTTGATTTGCGCATATTTTTGGGGCCGCCGGATTGTGGAGCACGGGAGGTGCTACTGCGGCGGATATTGCGCGAAGTCCGCCACAATCTATCGGATGCGGAAGTTCGCCATATTGCCAAGATCAGTCAGCAATATTCGGCCAGTGATCTGGGTGTGATTGTGAGGAATGCCGCATGGTTGCCGTTAGGCACGATTGATCCCACACGGATACCCAAGTTAAAAGAAGCCGAGGTCCGTTTCGCGTGTAAATCAGGAAGCATTTTATTACGCTTTTTAAATTAATTTCATCCATTTAGTTTTACTATCTTTATACTTTTAATGGTTTACTTGAATTTTATAGCAGATTTTATTATGCTTAATTAAGTAATTTTTCAAAATCATCAACTGGATATCAGCTTTCGCAAATATTTGAAATAACAGCTTTTGATAGCGGTGAAGAATGTAGGCGTTAGAAATGGCCGTTGTCAGTAAACGATGTGGTTGGTAGATTCCGTTGATTGGCATCCGCGACTTCCAGCGCGTAATGGAGCATTTTGTACCGTCAGGCTATCAGTCGGATTTGAAGCTCATCGAGCAGTGGACACAGCAACACCGGCGACAGCCGTTTCGACAGTGTACCACTAATAAGTGATAGTACCATGTCATACGTATGGACATGCTTGTTTTGATTGTCTAAGCGTCCGTTTCCCTCCGAAATGCTGTACAGCCGATCCACGTGATTATCCAGATTCAGATTTTATGTTGAATTCGTAACTCCTTGTGTGGTGGCATAATGATTACCTGTCATGTTTCGATGAATGGACGCAAACGTTGCCGAAAATCGCCAGCAATCCAACTGCAAAACTTGATGCTCAATTTTCCTCATGAAAAACTATTTTTGTTTTAAATTTATTGATAATCATCTTTTACTTTTTTTATTACACAAATTGTTTTTGCTTCAAGCTCTGCAAAAATCCCAACACAAAATTTGGACTTCCTCATAATTTCAAAACAGAACTATAACGATCAGTGCATCGCTGCTTTCCCCCTGAACATTTCACAACGGTCATCCATCAACTGCGGCTTTAGGGAAAACACTGGTTTTATTTTCAAGTAGTATTTCATGTCATCTTTAAACAGCGCTGAAACTCGTCCTCAGAAAACGCAGTCAACTGCCGCTGCTCCACAGTCCGCTGCTGCAGCTCCAAATTGCTCACCAGTTCTTCCTGTTTATACAACACTTTAACAAATTTCTCTAGCTGTTTTCGGTGCGACTTTTTCTCTGCTTCGATTTCCTTAGCTTGTTTGTCCTTCATATCACTCAACACCGCATTCGCCTCTCGCAATTCCTGGAGCTCCTTATTCAGCTTCTCCTGGACGACGCTCAAACGATTCAACGACACCGCCGACACTTCGTTTCTCTTGACATCCACTTTCTTCCTCCTCCGGTCCGCCAGTTCCTTTCGAAATGCTTCCAATTCCGATGTAAGTTCTTGCACTTTCTTCTTCGCCAAGCGCGCTTCGTTAGCAGCCGCGAGGAGTTTATTTTCCTGTTGCGTCTGACGAATCTTCAATTCACGGTACTCCGACTCGAGTTCTTCTTGTTCACTGGATTTACGGGCCAGTTGCTGCTGTGACCTTTCGATCTGCTCCTGTGCATGCTCCAGATCGGAGTGCTGCGCGCGTACTTTGGCTTTTAAAATATGCACCGCGGCGTCGCTTCCCAAAGTCTTCGCGGTGACGTCAATATAACTTAACGGGTCGTCTGGATTAACAATCGGCAAAACTGGTTTCTTCCGCGAGTCCGCTGCTCTGTTTTTCTCCTGGGTTCGCCGCGGATTTATCACAGATTTCGGAAGAACCGGTTTGTTTTTCACGCTACTCTTCTTTGAATCAGTATCTTTCGGTGGATCACTACGTTTCGCCAAGAGCTTCCCAATGGGCATACTGCGCACTCTGGCAAGCACATCGTCCACGGTTAACGACGCACTGGGGTACGTCACCGCAGCCAAGGATTTGGCGGGTTTAATCTCCTCTGTGATGAATTCGTCATTATCCGTAGAGAATTCGAGGGTGCTTTGCGACTGCGCGACGACCGGGAGGGATTTCGTCTGGAGCGTGGGGAGGAGGCTCTTTGGGATTTCCAACGCGGAAGAGCTTTCCGAGAGGAACCCCATGGCGGAGAGCTTGGCACGTTGTTCGCTGAGAAGTCGGTCGATACGCGCGATCCGGGATGAGCAATCGTCGGAGGGTGTGGCCGGACTGGTTGGGGATTTATCCATCCATCCACAGGCTGATTACGTTAATCATGCAAGGATGACCCTCTACTGACGCATTGCTTCAGGTCACAGCGTCCCTTCCGATTCAAACTTTCTAAAATCTCGTAATATTCAGGGAAGAGTGTAAAAGCTACAATTATCAGCATCAACGATCAGTTACATAACGAAAGGCTTTTTGATCTAAACGGAGCCTTTTCTTACAGAACATTTCTTACAGTCTCCCTAACTGGATTCGCTTCAGCATTTTCCCGTTTTTTTTATCATATCGCCCTCGTACGTTTTCTTGAACATGCAGCTTGTAAAATATTCCATGCATCGACAGGTAATTAACTTTGCACAGTTTTCTGATGTCAAACTGTCAAAATTTGTTTTAGCCAATGAAGATAAAACCACAAATAAACAATGGAGGAAAAATATAGAGCCCGGATATTTCTTAAAAATTAATTATAACTATGTACTTTGGAGTGATTATGTTTAGCCGTAATTTCCAGCGAAGTTTCGTCAGTCGTTAGATTTAAATACTTAATCAACAAAGTTTCGAAGTTTTGGAGTTCATTTTAATACAGTAATCAACCTGCGTAAAATAGCTTTAAAGGCCTTACAGCGCATGGCAAGGGAAAAGAAAAGTCACTGCATCAGCCGATCGTTGCCTGTTCCGTTCTGACACGTTTCTATGCGCCAGCAAAGGTTTTCCAGCATCCATGGGTGTCTCACTTACACGAATCATGACGCTGTATTCTAGCAACAACAACACGCCGAACAAACAGTAAGTGCTTCCTGGCTGACAGGAGAAACACTACTAGCATTGAACTATTGTAGAACATTCCCTGTTTACACTACACCTTGATAGTCAGCGAACTACATAATCTTGATTCTGTACGTATTCTTGAATTAGCTGAATTAATTGCGGACACAATTTTTTATTCCTTGTCCTAAAAATGTACCTGCCGTTTTTCGTGCACTCCATCGCAACTTGTATTATTACTAACCACATCCATTCTTTCCGTGCTGATAACTTAAACTGAAATACTGTAGTTACAATGGAGCTGTTACCTTCGGGGATGTTATACTCGTACTCTGATCTCTTGTCAGTGATAGGTTATTTTCTCACATGGCGCATAGTTTGGTACTACTTACGTCGCTGCCCAGAACAACTTTTCGTAATTTTGGCATGCGTGTACTGGATACATCGTCTACCAGGTAACGTCACTTTTAGAAAAAAACAGGTCAACAAAATAGTCTCAAGCTCGGAGTTGCGACCGGATACCTCTGTGTTTATTTGGCACATTTTAACATGTATGTAATGGTTTTGCAAAATACCCTCTCGCCGTTTTATGACAATTTCAGTTTTACTACGTATTCATCGAAGCAAAAAGTGATCCTACGGTACCAGCGCTTATACGAGTATAAAAACACAGTGACCCGTGCAAAATCAACTTAACGCGCACTCAGGCGCAGGCCCTGTCTTGAATTTTGTAGTTTGACAGGATAATCATGTGGTGACGCTGCGTGGTGACCAGGGGCTCCACGAGACCCCTGACGACCTCGGGACATTTTTTTAGAGCAAATCTGACCTCGGGATAATTTTCAGCGCATTTTTCTGATATAGAAACCATTTTTCAAAATTTTTTTCGGAAGAAAAAATTTCTGACTGCCGGTGCCCCATACGCCCCTCAAATACCTTGGGCGGTTGCAATGGCGCCACAAAAAAATCTTTTATTTTGGCGTTTTGAACACTTTTTCTAGGTAAATCGATATCGCTGATTCTGAATATGTTGTCAGAAAAATTGTGTTAGTTATGGGAAGGAAGAATTCTAAGTTTTAAAATTTTTGGATGGATTTTGCAAAATTTTGTTTTTATCGAAAAAAACCACTTTCTTCGAACTGAAATATTTTTCTGATAATATAATTATTCAGAATCAGCGATATCGATTTACCTAGAAAGATTGTTCAAAACGCCAAAATGAAAGAGTTTTTTGTGGCGCCATTGCAACCGCCCAAGGTATTTGAGGGGCAAATGGGGCACCGGCAGTCAGAAAGTTTTTCTTCCGAAAAAAATTTTGAAAAATGGTTTCTATATCAGAAAAATGCGCTGAAAATTATCCCGAGGTCAGATTTGCTCTAAAAAAATGTCCCGAGGTCGTCAGGGGTCTCGTGGAGCCCCTGGTGGTGACGATAACCATGTGGTGACACGAAGACAGATATGGACGACTTCGTACACGTTAAATTTTTTCAGGCATTTTGTTTTGCTTGTATCCGCAGTATCCCGCCGTATGCTACGGTATCTCCTACGTATCCCCCATGTATCCTCATAGGATTTTAACTTCGTTTTGGTATTTGCCGTATCCCACCGTACCTCTGCAGTATCCTTTACGTATCCCACATGTATCCCGTTAAAAAACCTGAGAAAATTAACGGGATACATTGAGGATACACGTAGGATACCGTGAGGATACTGTGGGATACGATAATAACAACCACATTAACAATATTCGCTGTACGTGGAGAATATCTACATTACAGTAGGAAATATTTTCATGCGCAACACCTTTAAAAACCACAGTATCCTTGACGTATCCTTAATGTATCCTGGTGAATACAGCTTTAGGACCAATGAGTAACTACGGTATCCCCACGTATCTTAACGTTTCCCTACCGTATCAGCGTTGAGTATCCATAAAAATATCCGGTTCTGCTAGGTTTTTAAAAATTATTAGTTTTGCTAGGTTTTTCTAGTAGAATGCATTCAGGATACTGCAGAGATACCTTGGGATACGGCAGTGATTAAAAGAATGTATAAAACGTGGAGGATACCTCAAGGATACATAGAAGATACGGTGGGATACTGTGGATACATGCCAAAACAAATGCCCGAAAAAAAACTGATGCGTACTAACCGTGTAGATCAGATCAGCACGAAGAGGCACAAAGTAACTTACCTGCCAGCCGAGCGGTCGAGCGCTGTGGATTTTACACAGGGTATGCAATGGCCTAAAGGTTTTTCGCTCGTATCGCATTTGTTCGAGCCACGTACATTCGTCTACTTCACACCAAAATGTAGGAAATTAATTTCTCGCCATTTATGCATCCAGCTTGCCAAGAAAAACTCAAACAAGCGTTTCAGGACGAGTGTGACCTGGAATATGCTTCTCCAACCTGCGCAAGAATGTCGCTAATTTTTTCCTCTATTTACTGTATTTTCTAAATCTCGTTATGCCGGTACAGTGTACTTAAGTAAATCATGACATTTTTATTATGGTGAGGTCTCCGTTTACAACCTTTCACTCGGTTCACAAGCTCCTGCTCCATTTTCTTTAACTCCGCTTAGTTTTGCACCCAGCCATAAAGGAACACATTTAGCTCTGAAATTCCGAAAAACTTAAATACGTAAAAAACTCAAATCCGAAAAAATTACAACCCGAAAAAACTTAAAATTATTCCGCCCCCCAGCGGCTCACCTTCGACCAGGTTTTTCAGGATTTTCAGTCGGCCCCCGCCGGTAAAAAATCTCAAACAAAGGGAGGCGGTCCAACCCCACTCTCTCTTGTGCCGACCCTGTCGGACAGGGTCTGTCCACCACAGGATACTGCGCTTGCGCTAATTTCCGCTAACTAGTACAAAAAGCGCGCTCTGAATTCCACAGAAGCGAAACGTCGCAAAATTCGTTGTAGCGAACAGTCGCGAAATTTTTATTGTGCACTAATACGTAGTACCATAATATTACTAAACTAAAAGGTATTCCATCGACTTACGTGACGTCACGATAGGCAACACGCACAGTGAGACGCAATGGGCAACCCCTGCGGGTTTTGTGTTTATCAAAACGTTCAAATTCGTACAACCCGTTCGTGTTATGGCTCAAAAAATGCGGAAAAAATTCTAAGTTTGTGAACCAAAACTGACAAGTGAAACGTTCTCAAGGAAACGAAAACTTTATGATTCTCGTTAGCATAGAGGTCTATGAGGTGGTTTGCCAGTTCAGAGACCTCCATGCTAAAGGAAAATCCTTGGTTCTTGATCTGTGGTGGAACGAAGTGACCAGAACCTGATCAGTCAATCAAAAGAAAACAATTAAAATTTAATCATTCAATGAAAACCATCAAACAATTCAGATCTGATCAAAACAAGTCATTTTTGTTTAGCGTAGAGGGCTAAGGCAGACTGCCTCATAGACCTCTAGGGTAAACAAGAATTACGTAAATCGTAAACTTTTCGTTTATGTGACAACTTTTTACTTACCAACTTTCACTTTCCAAACTTCAGATTTTTTTCCGCATTTTTTGAGCCATAGTACGAACGGATTGTACGAATAAAAGTTTTGATAAACACAGAGCCCGCAGGGGTTGCCCACTGCGTCTCACTGTGCGTGTTCTCTACCATGACGTCATCGTACAAGGTGCATGCTCGATTGAATACCTGTTAGTTTAGTAATATTATGGTAGTACAGTATAAAGCAGTTTAACGACAGCGCTTAACTAATACTGCAGCCCTGATGCATCCTACTCTGATCTACTCTGATAACTGATAGGAGTGCAGACTGGTTGGCCACGATTTGCCTTCTTCGATGATGCTCGTTTCTGCATAGGATGCCGTGAGGCACCGGAGAACTGCACCAGCCCAGGATTGACCGGACCAATGTGCCGGCACGAATACTCTTTATGCGTCACCGTCATGGGCATGCGCAAAAATGCTGGAAAGTGGGGTTAGTACAACTGCACGAGTATATTGCTAGTGCTAATTCTTCCCAATAAACTCATACGAGATTGTCGAGAAATTATGGGCGCATACAGACAGCGAAGAATGCACGCTCATGGGTTACCGGTTACGCCAACATCCATACCACGGCGCGCCACGTTGTATTGTTTACACGTTACATAAACTAGGCATTGCTGGTGCGCGTCAAATATTAATTTTATATATGCATATTTATCATACTTTCTTTGTTGCTTAACTCGTAATTTATTTACTTCACAGCTTGAACTTATAATACCGGGATACCCACTTATTATTGCAAATTTGCAGGTACTGCATTCAACAAATTAGTATCGCGACAACTTTTCTACAGTGGCTAATGGCTGTCCTTCTAATGTCAACGCTGCACTTACCAGGGCACATAGGGGTCCTCCAAATTCAGAAAAATCTCATCTTTTGTAAAAAGGTAGTATACTACCCAAGTATGCTTAAAACAATATTTTCAGCTGCTGTAATTAAGAGAGGCGTGGCCAGCGCAAATTAAAAGAGCATGCAATACCGCATACATACTATGTTATTATTGTACATGCACAGCTTTATGCATACGAGTCACAACTGATCACAAGGCCATTAGCATGGGTAGTATACTACCTTTATACAAAAGATGAGGTTTTTTTGAATTTGGAGGACCCCTGTGTGCCCTGGTTAGTGTACGGTGCCCGTACCTTTACGCCCTCATTTCCTTGTACAGACGCTGCTTTATGTATGCAGTCGGCACTCGATAGAGTGGGTATCCCGGTATTAATATAACCCCTCAATTCATCGAAGCCGGCACTCATCAATAAACGGAAAAATTATGACCAAATTAATAATGCTGCAATGAATGCTTAACTGCACTGTTATTTCAAGACATTTTTCTTTGGCTTGGTAACTTGCTGTCGGACGCTGTCACTTGCCCATGAATTTTATATTCCAGAGCTGCAAGTAGAGCGGATCTGCTCCGATCATGATGATATGGTCGATCAAGATAACGCTCTGTTTCGTACGTTTTCCCGCGGCGACGATATGGCCACGGTGTGCACGATGTCAACGCTGCCTGTCGCGCAGTTCGGCCTGGGACCAGATGGGACGCCGCTGCTGAGACGGCGATGTGTGTGCGCTTCTTTTTTTTGCAACGATAATCTATGGGATGACTACTGGAAGATGCCATTTTTACCCGTATGTAAAATTGTATGATCAAGATAAATGAGACTTCTAGACCACTCTAAAGTTGCAGTTACGTAAGGACGTACAGAGTAGTGCAACAACCGTTGAGAGCTATCCAGCATCATCGGGAGCCAGCAACTGTGTACACAGTGAACACGACGCTGTGGTGCGTCATCATATCTTTTCTGTCGAAAAGTTTTGCGAGGGGGCAATGCATCGTAATATTAAAAATTTATTTAGCGTTAGATGGCCTAGCGTCGGAAAATGTTCTTTAAAAAACTGCTTTCAGAATACGAATGTTTTATAGAGGTATCAAAAATTAAAATTTCCTTCGAACAGGTCTCCGGAAATTCACGCGTATACGTGCACAAAGTATATGCAAAGATATAGCAGTTCGTATTGGCTAACATTAGTTATCTTACAGACAAATTTTTCCTTTGAACGTATTTTTGTGAGCGATGCTCTTCTCTGTACATATTGCAAATAAAGACAGTAAAAATTAGTTATAAAACTTCGGTTAAAACTTGCTTAAAATTTGTTTTATTTCATACAGGTCATTCAAGAAATGACTGGTCTCACCACCTTTACCATGTTTTGGCTGTTCGCAGTTTCGTGCCACTTATTCTTATGTATTTTTTTAACGATTTTAGACTTTTCTCATCCCCAATGACGCTGTCTTTCATTTTATATACGTCCATGCAGTGAATTGCCACGAAGAGACCTTTCAAAATAAATTCATAAAAATAATGCCCTTTAGATGCCGGTAATACCGCAGCGGCGCCATTATTAAGCACAGGCATGTACTGGAGTACGTTGCGGCGATGTACAAACCCGCTTGGACATCTCCGATCATAAGGAATGTCAAGTCAGCAGCAACGGCTCACTTGCACCTTAAACGAGAACTTCAAAGAGTAAAGTATAAGAAAAGACATGTCAAACCTTTTGTAACTGATTGGTCGTAAAACCAGAATGCCAAAAACACCCGTAGTTTTCGGTCTGCAGTTTAAGTCGCACACCGCAGGGAGTAGGTGGCCTGGTTTTCGGAAAAAGTGAAAAGAAGATGTTTGACGTAGAACTTCAGGCTTCAGCAACTGTATGCAAAAACACTGCCGCATTTGTATATGTCCAGCTTATACTAGTGACGCTCTAGCTGTACGAATACTGGCTGTTTCGAGTGCTGCGAATAGTCAAAAAAGGGATCGCAGTATTATGATTGTAGGAAAATCCCAAGCTATCGGATACTCCCCAGTTTCGTCCGCCGGGAAATTATTCTCTGGATAAATTGAAGGAAATTATTGCGAATGCCAACAATCCTTTGACCACGCGTGCGCCAACTACCACCGTGTTACCGTCATCAACAACCACTGGTCAGTGCCAGAGAAAGAGCAGCATGTTGATTTGCGCACTCGGCGCTGAATTTCCTTTGACAATTGACAGCACATCTTATCACGTGCTTCTGAGAACGTGTGCTTACAAATAGTGCCTTACCACTTACCAGCTCAGTGAGCTCACCTACACATTGTCCAGTAATCAGTGCTTAAATAAAAATTATAAGTAATCGTCAGTGATTGAATTACTCACAAGATTCTGTTTCGCCAGTTTTTAACTTTGACTGCGCTTTTCGCTTCTACAAAAAACATTTACTGACAAAATTGAGAATGAATGTATGTACGGACTCTGTATTTCGATTTCAAGCTATTTAACGGAAATGATATCAGGTGTGCCATTGTTGTAAATTCATTACATATATAAAAATCGTTTAACCTTCATACACGGGTTGTGTATTTGTGGAAAATCAAGAGCTGTAACCAATCAACTGAGTTTTGTAAAACGTTGTTTTGGTATCATGTGTCGTCAGTTAGTGCCGCAGCAGCGAACAGTTCGTACCCAGATGGTCGTTTCTGGATTACCCTCTCCAGTTGCACTGCTGTACATGTCGTACATGTTTTTTCTCTTTCAGGCACCCTTCCATTTTCCTGCTATTACTGCATTGGCTCGGAACTCACTTGTCGTAATATTACCCAGATCGCGGTATGCAAACCCGGAATTAAAACATGCATTTCCGCTACCGGCGTACGGCGGCAGCCATCCAGTGGAAAATGGGGTACTATGTCGTAATGAACATATTTTGCCAAACGAGTGTTCGATATACACTGTACACGGGAGTAATTTGGCAGCTGCGTCACGTTTTAGTAACGGCTTACTGTCATTTATGCGGATGCCCAACAAATGAACGTAAACAAATACGAATTGCCGGGCAGTTCGAGTTAAGTCGCTGACCATTGACCTTAGATATGTTTTAGCGCGTCTAATAGAGAATTAATTCTGCATGCGTGAAAATTTATCTAAGCGCTTAAGCGCCAGAGAGGTAGGAATTAAGTATTCAGGATTTAATGTGTAAGCTTGAAAATTTAACCAGCGCCATTTTCCCGGCTTTAAATTTTCTTTTTTTTCGCACAGCGACTTAACAGTGATCAGTGTGATTCGTTGTAATCGCTTTTATTTAAGCAGCCTCAAGAATCCAGGCATCTGTGAAAGTTTTTGCGGTGTGACATACTTTGTTTTAACTTAAAAGAACACCGTTTTATTTGTGGCGACTAAACTGCAACCAAAATCGAAAGCGTATTAAGGCGCATTAAAGCTCTTTAATAAGCAGGCTTCCTTTGTAGCCCTGAGTCTGGACCGGTATTGCTCTGACGAGGGCGATGCGGCAGAGGATTTTGCGGATTTCCACACACTGTCCAAAGGAGCCAAGATGGTCTGCATTCTACTTGAGCGTGATAGGGAAACATTCGGTCTGGGGCCGGATGGGAGACCGTTAATTGACCATCGATGCATCTGCGCCGAGGATAAATGCAATATGCCAACGTGGAACCAGATCATGGATGGCCCTTCGATTCCTTATAAGGTAGGATTATGACCAAATGGTGGTTCCTTCCGATTAGGGTGCGGTAGCTTCCATATGCCAAAAGCTTGAGTTGTTCTTTAAATAAGTTATAATAATAATTACGTACCTAATTATAATTATGAGCAGTACACCGTACAACTGGTGCGCTCATCTAAAAGCATGGATTCTTCCGTTTTGCGCGTTATTCCATAATACGAGACAGATATTATAAGTAATTCTCTAATCGGCGTCTGCCAGTACACATAATAATACGCCTGCGCGGGTTTACACTAATGAAAGACAAACACGAGTATATGAACACATTCTAAAAATCCTTCATTGCGAGAAAGCAACCCTATTTGGCTCTTTGTGCAGCCGGTGTACACGGTGAATGATACGCTCCATGTCCAACCTCCGGGAAACTATTCTCTGGAAGCCCTAGAAGAGCTGAACAATGATGACAAGGGCAACATCACAACGACTCCACCAGGCGGCAATAATCATACCGTTAGCGGATGTTGATGCTGGTTTAACCCATACGTGACTGTCGCATTTACTGTACTGCTGATTTTCAATTAAGAAAGAAAAATGACACCACAATCGATTTGTAATATAACGAATTCTATTAGTACTCATAACCTTTGTGCCTGAATGTACTCTGCTGAATAAAAATTCGTTTCTTTGGCTAAGGAAATGCTGGAAAAAACTGCTTGAAAAAACTGTGCTTCGAAATAGTGAGCAAAAATAATAATCGAAGTTGGGAACATTAGCTGCGTCAGCCTGTGTGCACTAGTACCGCACGGGATGGCGGTTATAACACGAGTGTAATCTGTTTACGAGTATGCAGTAAGTGAGTACTACATTGTTATAAGATGCACGGCGTCATTTGATTTCATCTCTGCACTAAATCAGCCATTTTGATGTACTTCTATCCTTGACGTATCATCAACTCTGTAAAGATCATGGTCGGTTCCAAATACCGTCCGTACATCCAGCCCCCGTACAAATACCAGACCACCAACTACGAGCGCCGTATGAAACGCATCCGTCGCTTCACACTGCACCGCGCCCTCCACGTCTCCAACCAGGTCCGCGCGTCCACCTTCGACCAGGACGAACTGGAAGGTATCATGCAGGAATTGCACCAGCCCGACACGCTAGACAAATTCGCTTGGATCGAAGCTACCGTGGCCGAGATGGAGCGTCAAGTCGAACCTTTAAACTACAACGGATTGACACGCGCTCGGGTTCGCCGTTTAAAAGACATCAGCCAAGGGTTCTTGGACGTTCTGCACAACGAACAGAGGAGGCGATCGCGGTGCTCGACGACGGTGGGACGATTATCAATCGATCGCGAGGGCGCTGTTGACGAGCCCGATCGTTTGAAGGACCTGCTGCACGCGAAAGCCTGCTATGCGGATTTATTGGAGAGTATTGCGCTGCCGTTCTGGCCGCGAAAGAAGACCGTCGCGACGAAGGAACGGAAATCGATTTATAATCAGGAGGTGGCGGAGAAGGAGCGCAAGAAGAAGGGGATCAAGTTGGTGACGAAGATCAGGCGACGGCGGAGTCGGCGCAGTACACAGATGCGTAAGTAAGAAACGCTGTCACTGATTGGATTTCTGTCTGACTTATTATAATTTTATTTTTTTGCTACATTGAGGAAAAAGTCAAACGCGTTCCAGCCGTCCGCTTATCTCACCAAGAGACGAAAACGCAGCAACACCCGAAAAGCTACCTGATGATGCGATGGAAAGGCAGAAAGGTCACTATACTGATTTCTTAAACAAATTCATTTACATTTAAAATTTTACTTATTCTCGGTTTGACGACAAAATTTTCTAGAAATTTTTCCGTAATTAATTTTGTTATACTTAATTTAATTTTCTGTTATTAGTGAGCCCGCTTCCCAGTCCCAGCAGTCACGTGCACGTTGCCGCGAGTAAACACCACATTCCCACGACACCATCCCAAACACCATCGAAATTAGAACTGGTGACGAAAGCGGCCAGCAGCGTGCCCTCCATTGGTAGGATTAATTTTCGTCAGATAAAGACTGAAACCTGGACGTTATGCTAACTGTTAGTTGCAGATCCTACCGAGTCAGATCCTTCAGATCCTCATAAGAAATTACCGCGCTTCAAACAAGAGACAGTGGCGTCGCAGGCAAAATTAGGTGAGTTAGCTTTTCCTTCGCTAATCACCGGATATTACTTAATCACGGTGTCATACAGCGCGCTTCCTGAAAATAATCTACAGAGAAAAATGTTGTATTTTTATCCCAATTGTGCATTGGTGTTTTTCTTATACAGTAATTTAAATCTATTACTTCTTACATTTGTATTTATTAGTTTTTACTGACTTATTTTATTTTCATTTATCTTTATTCTTTTCTAAGTTTATTGCTATAATTTTTATTTAAGCTGGAGGCTTCGATTTTAGATGCAAAGGAAGCTGAGCGGCAAAGGCTCCTCACCCATCTTCAAGAAGCAGCGGTCACCGTGGCGCCGCTTAAAAGCCACAAGAGCGCCCACGGTAAAATAACGGCAAATTCCCTAAAACCTCAGTACTTATTTAGCTAGACTTCGTTTGTAATGATTGGGTGTACTGTAGGGAACAAAGAATCCACGCACTCGCTAGAAAAATCTCATTCAACGGCTGCCTTGTTAAACCCCAGGACATCCGACCAACAACTGCTGTTGGAAGGCAAACGGACAACGGACTCTATCGTTGCACTAGCCGAAAGTCAGATAATGTCCGATGCCGAAATTGACGCTTCTCTAGGTAAAACATCCGAAAGATCTTCCAGTTTGCTGGCCTTTTGAATCGCAATGACTGAGTGCTCTTTAGGGAACAAAGAACATACGGATTTACTAGAAAATCATCATTCCACGGCTGCTTTAATTAATCCCAGGCCGTCCGACCAACAGCTGCTGTTGGAAGGCAAACGCACAACAGACTCTATCGTGGACATGGCTGAGAGTCGGATAATGTCCGATCCTGATATGGATGTCTCCCTTCGTAAGCAGTCAAAGACCTTCCAGTGTCCAAAGAATAAGAACGTATTAAGTATAATACAGCCGTAATTTACTGTTGCAGGCATCGGTGTGAACCGCCCCACACCCAGTGGACCGAACGCCAGTCAGAATGAAATATCATGGCGCTACGGAGGACATTAACATTTTTGACCTTTTTGTTGGTGTGAAGCTGGTATTCGTGCGGACGGTATTTTGGTTACACATTTGAGATCTGGATTGATACGATCATTACGACTTGTAGTATTTCCTATTCTTTACTTTTCTGTTGTTAAATTGTTGAAATATGTATAACCTATGTAGCGTGTGTGTGTGTGTTATTTCTGTTACCTTGTGTTGTCGATGTTAATAAAAAAGTCGAAGGACTTATTGGCTTTACGCTACAAGTATGCTGCACTTACCTCTAATCGGTTGTGAGAAAATTTTGAGCATGCGTATATCCCTCAACAGGAGAGTTTGCAAGCAACATATTTACTAGTGGTTTACATCTTATTAATTCTACCCGGGTAGGAGTTCAATTACATCCATTCGTTCTGCGTATGTAGTACGTACTTTTGCATAATGCTAAAACAATTTTTCCCTTTCATCGGGCACCATTATCCAGCAAAAGGGTTTTACTCAGTTTAAAACATCTGATCATGCCAAGTTTAAGGGGCATGATCCCCTTACTTACAGTTAGGCACTGCGGTAACCTTCTGCGGGTGGGCGACGTCGATCGATGTTCAGGCATCTCGCTATGCCTGGAGAAGTACGACATGAGGCTGCCTGATATGAGCCCGTAAGATCAAAATCATTCACCACGATGCCTGCGGAATCCAGCGCCCCCAAGACGCTTCGCATCAGTGTCACGCCCCACGATAACCTCCCCCAAGAGCCCGCGGAAGACGCCCCGGTAGTTCTTCTCGGCGAAGCTATCGAGCGCTTCCGCACGTACGCCGAGTACCTTAACAGCCAGATCTCCGAAGAGGACATGTTCTACTTGGGCGATCACCGTATGGCCCAGAAGATCGTCGAGCAGGGTCTCCATAATAACCGCGAAAAGTTCACCCGTAAAACCTTTGAACGCGAGCAAGTGGCGGCCGCCGAACGCCGCCGGCTGGAACGTGAAGAACACCAGAATAAAATTACGGCGACCTTCACAGCAATCCAGGAGGACTGTGTGCTTCAGGAATTAGTGAGGCGGAAGGACGCCAATGAAAACGGCCAACTACTGACGATCATCTTCATTCGGACGCGATCAACAAAAGGTCAGGAAATCTCTGGGTACGTGGATTACGCCCACCGCTTAAAGACCGACAAAACCTGGAAAGAGGTTTTCAGCGGACGGCGTACTTTGGCGCCGCGGCCCAGCGATTTGAGTTACTTCAACTGGGACACACTGGAGTCCACGTTAAACGACACGCCCAATTTTCAGGTAATTATCGGGAAAGATTTATCCGTGCATTTTCGCTGCCAGAAGGATTTTCGGATTGTCAACGTGAATTCCCAAGCCAAGAATAATTCCGACGCCTTGTCGACGGTTCTCCGCTCCAAGAAATACGTACAGATTGTGTTGTACGATCACTGGATTCGCTTGTGGTCTCCGGAAGACGAGGCTATGGATTTCGCCAGCGCTCCGTTGGAATCAGCGCAAACCGAACCGGATTTAGTGGATAATGTTTCCGCAGCGATTTTAGAAGAGGATTTAGTAGAAATTGCCAAGAACGCTCTTGGACGGCCGCGAAGAACCCTGAAGGGTCTACCAACTGTAACTGAGAGGGAAAATATTCTTGGACAAGCGCAACAGTTCCAGGAGAATCTTGCGGCGACCTTGCGCACGGTACGCGACATCGAGCAGACCGATGTCCGTAACGAAACACTAGGAACGTTTACATATGCCGATTTGATGGAGAAACTCAAAAAACTTCTACCCGCGAATGTCACACAAGAGAGACTCATAAGCAGCACGATCGCAGCCACGCCGAAGCAAAGCGCAGTTACCGAAGAGCCCCAATCAGAGAACATCGAGATCGACGAAGATGCCGTGTCGCCGTTCTTACCGCAGCCGCAAGAATTCGCTCCGGTCATGCACCAGTATCAAAAACATTCCGTCAACAAGAAGACCATCGTGTTCAACCAGTTAGCGTATCCGGTCAGCGGGATTCTCACGGAGACGGCACGATTAGAGCGTGATACACCGGAATCGGAGAAGATGCTGAATCCGTTGTACAGAAAATCGCAGGTTTCGACCAGGGTACGATCGGGGCCGTACCAGCATTTGAAAAACAATATTCTTCAGGCGTTTGTCAACCACCGTACGCCGGAATGATTCCCTAATGACTGTAGCGCAAGCCGTTAAGGACGCTTCTTTCTACTTATATCTACAGGTGAAAATATGCGAGTGCTTAACAAGCAGCGCAGTCTATAATGTTTCGAGCGTCATAAGACCATTTGGCTGGATTTTTTACTGCCTCTTTTGTGGTTAATGCTTTTGGTCCAGCAGCTGTACGTAAGTCGGTGATGGACAAATTTACTGCTTAATTTACGCATTGTGTCTCCTCCCACGTTGTAAATATTATGCACGTCTGGCATGCAGCCATCTCTCTTGCCTATAGCGGACAAATTATACCGCTTTCGTTTGCTGAGAATAAAGCGCAGGTCGTGCCGTTATCAGAAATAGATTTTCACAGATAAAATGGGTAAACAAATACCGCTTATCGTATAGTACAGTAAGATATATAAAGTACAATGGATTCGCTCGAACTGCATATGAAAAATATAACTGGCATCTGTAGACATTCATTCTAATTAAATGGCAAGCATGTACTGCATAAAACTGCAGAACGCTCAGAATCTGCCACGGGAAAATGTGCACTAGACGCTAACAGCCATATAAAACTGAGCACGCAACCGTCCGGCGTTAATGGAGCCGTGACAAAGGCAGTGTGAATCAATCGTCTTTTTCTATCGATTTTCTGATGTACGCATAGTGCTCGGTCGGTGGTCGCCTCCGTTGGCATTATTGCCCGGCAGCCGCACTTAAATAGGGGGCTGGTAACGGCGAATCTGCAGTCATTCTTGCCGCTCGCAATCCGCATGCAGAGCATGGTATCTACGTTTCCTGTTTACGTTTACCTGGCGTGTTAAAGCTCCGTGTTCTAAGTACACGGATGAAAACCGGATCCCGTATACCCTTCGCGTCGGTCCCAGTGGCTTGTCTGCGACTGATGCGAAGGGTACGTGGGATCCGGGCTGTCCACGGACCATCGGTATCCAGGCAGTGGACCAGGCAAACAACAGGACTGTCCGTGAACTTCTGCGTTGCTTTATGAATTACTTCTGCTAAGTACCCTTGTTCTGTTTACCGAGACCATTGTAGGAAAAGTCCACTCAGTCGAACCGTTTGTGTCGACTGACTGAACCTCATCTTCCATGGTCCCACGAACTGATCCAGTTATAAATGTCAGCCTGCCGTGTTTCTCCGGGTTGTTTTGTTCTCCCAGGTCACATTCTTCATCGGTACTGGTGGGCGTCATTTGCGACGAGTCTGTTGTGAGACAGGCTTGTACCGCGCTATTACGCAGTCCTGAGCTTTGCCCCACAGTGCGTATGATTTCCTTGTCAACTGCACAGTAAGAAAGGCATAACCAAGCCGATAACACATTAGAACGCAGAAATGAAAGTAGGAAGTTACCAAGCCGATAACACATTAGAACGCAGAAATGAAAGTAGGAAGTTTTCAGGAAAAATTGAGCGATGATTCCTAGAAAATTGCAATTAGGCTATAATGCGAAAATCCAACTACAGCAGTAAGTATTATTTCGTGTAATTGTAATAATAATAATAATAATTATTATTATTGTGTTTTGCTGCATAAAATGCAGTGTTTTCATATGTCGAAATTGCACCCGGAATAATATTACAGCATCGACTTACACAAAATTTTATTGGCACAATTTACGATGATCACTAGACGCGTTTTCCAGCAGGTTTTTTCGTTTTGGCCGCCTGTTTCCGGCCGCTAAAGATGGTAATTTGCCAGCGCCGCTCATTGTGACTGATCGTAAAACGTCCGATCATCCTCATTATAGACACGAGCATCATCATAATATCCTCATGAGCAATAATTAAATTATAATGCGCACCAGCCTCTGTAGTAACTACCTACATACTGTATTAAGCTCGTTGTTGCGGTTGTAATGACCTGGTTAGAGCAATAAACGTAATAAATCGACTGATGATAAAACCATTTCCTTGTTCTTTCGACGTCTAAACAATACGTACGACGGTCCGCGGTTATATAAACGACAGCTGCACTCATTCTATCGGCATCCACAACGATCATATTATGGTTAATTATTCATACCGAATGACAATAACACGTTCCGCTTCTCGTCATCATTCGCATAAAAGCGGCCTAGGAGGCAGACGGAAGCGGAAGGATTATGTAAGCTTCTAAAACGGAAGTAATAATACCGTCAGCAGAAACCTTACGCATTCATGTACGAGTCGTGTATGCCATCTGTACTTCTATATATCGTGTACTCGTACAATGTCGAATTTGATGTATTTCTACCTATTTTGATGTGATTAAAATGAAGCAGTTATGAAACAGTATAAAAAGTACGCCGCATATAAGCGCTAGGTGATTGAAAGTGTCTTTTTTCGGGAGATCATGCGACTCGTTATAGCTGAGCATTTCTTATGACACTGATGAAAACTGGGTGCCCTGTATCCCTCAGTGCGAACCCAGTTGTTCTCCTGGGAATATCGCGAAGGCCGAGGGGATGTGGCTGTCGAAGGCGGATCGGATCAATTTAGTCTAGGCTACTGACTGGTTTCCGATCACATCGGTAACCAGCCAGTGGTCAAGGCTAACACCAAGACGCCACTGTGGACACATGCGTAACATGGATTACAAGTATACCGTCCTTCCTTATTGATAATTAACTTCTAACGAAGTGGCTACAAACTTACTTCGTTCCGATCTGATCGGCGGTCGCTCGCTCTCCAGAATAGGGATTATACAAGCTTGTCCCGTAAATGCTAATACGCTATGTCAATCACTATGACATTGTTTTTAGATACGGACCACTTCCTACACGGTAAATTTTTCGAGGCAAGTTGTTATGCTTGTATCCGCAGTATCCCGCCGTATCCCACGGTATCCTTTACGTATCCTCCATGTATCCTCACAGTTTTTCACTTCTTTTTGGTAGTTGCCGTATCCCACCATACCTCTGCAGTATCCTTTACGTATCCCACATATATCCGGCTAAGAAACCTAAGAAGACCCAAGAAACCTAAGAAAATTACCGGGATACATGGCGGATACACGAAGGATACCGTGAGGATACTGTGGGATACGCTAGCTAACAATAACTACCACATCAACAATATTCGCAGTACGTGCAGAATACAACCCGGAATGTGATGTTTTCATGCATATCACCTGAAAACCACGGTATCCTACCGTATCCCACAGTATCCTTAATGTATCATACAAAATTTCTACATAATAATCCCTACCGTATCCCACAGTATTCCTTGCGTATTTATCATGTATCCGGCTGAATACAGCTCTAGGACCTATCAATAACTACCGTATTCCCATGTATCTTAACGTATCCCTACGGTTACCGTACTGTATGCGTCGAGTACCTTTCAAGTACCCGGTTAGTTTTGTTCGGTTTCCTAGTAGAATACGTTCAAAATACTGCAGAGATACGGTGGGATACGGCAGTGATTAAAAAACGTACGTAGAAGATTATTTTGGGCACCAAGGATACGTAGTAGATACTGTGAGAATGATACGATGGAATACTGTGGAATCGCGATAGTGTGGATACATGCCAAATCATATGCCGGAAAAAAATCATTGTGCACTACCATAGGTGTTGTTTTACTCCTAATATTTAAAGTACTTATAATTATTAAGGAAAAAAGGTAATTAAAGTAATTATAAAGAAAAAAGCCAATATTTTATAATTCACCAAGCCATGCCAAATGCATGTAAAGCGTGATTAGTGTGTATTGTGACGCATTGTAAGTACGTATCGAGTTTGGCGTAACCTATGAATTTCTATTTGTCACTGTGTTAACGCGTGGGAAATTAAAGAGGCTTACTCGTATACAAGTTAGCTGTAGCCTGTATGCGCACTGTACCTATATAAACACCAAACGTAACCAAAATCAACAAAATACAAGAAATCTAGTTTTCGCTGAATCTTATCACATATATTAATTTTCATCGCTGTTTATTGATTCAACTGTTAATAATAAAATAAAAATAGTTCCGTAAAACCAACAGCCCTTCCCGCTGGGAATAAGCATTACACAATTCCAGTGCAAGCAGCAGTCATAATATGTAAAAAAAAGTTAAAAACTCTAAACCAGGCGAAAATAGCAAGCTAAAACTAAAACAATTGTAGACCGAAACGAACTTAACCGTATATCAAACAAACAAAGAGAAGGGCGCAAAAAATAGACAGTCTTTGTTAAAGAAAATAAATATTAAAGAGGGAAAAATGTTGATAAAAATGGAGACTTTATTGCAACAAAATGGCATTTACAATCGTTTTCGTGGTGTCACCATGCACGACGGCAAACTGATTTCGCTAATCGCCGCCGATGCGCTGGCACTGGGCCCTTTCTTCCCCGGGGAGAGGGAACGCGGCGAGTAGTTGTTCTCTTCCTGATACTTGGCGCACAGCACCGCAATTTTATCCTGCGCTTTCAGCGTCCGCATCTGATCCAGCATGGCGGTGCGGTTGGTGCACGCTTCATTGCCATCCATCAGAACTGTCAAACATAAAACACCGATAAAGCTTGGCGCACGATAACGGAGAACCGAAAGCCGGTTGAACAACGGTTTCTTCCGTCCAGGTTAAGTTCTATTTTTAATCAAAATTATTTTATTACAAACGCCAAGTATTTTGGGTTATAAGGAAAACATAGTGTAATGTGCAATATTTTTATTACAGTAATATTTATTCAATATTGACGCACTCCTACGTACTGTGCTATTAAGTTTTTAGTATTTTCTTTGCTAATAGGCCACATGATTTCTTTGAATTTTCTTGTTGTTGTACTATGAATGTTTATGATCCGCTGCATGATTATGTCCATTAATCAACGGTTTATTAAATCATTGCTTATCTTGTTTGAACACACTGTGGCTATTGGTCAGCCCACCTTTTTTCGGTTTAGCTTGTTGACAGCACTTTTCCTGGCGTTTCTGTGCCGGTGATTTGGCACGCTCCCGTGCCGCGTCGCCGGTCGGCGTGCAGGATAGCGGCAGCAGCCGGCCGAACCCGCGATCGGTACAGTACACTTCACAGGTGCGGCATTCCGTGTTCGGACAGGTCTTGTCGAACTTGGCGCCGTAGTTCGTCTGCAGGGCGCACGGCAAGCCGGCATTACAGATATCGTTCTTCGATTTGGGACGCAGCTCCTTCAGTTTTTCTCCGCGCGCTATGGAATAACATAATCCTCTTTACGTTACGCCTAAAACAACCGTCAGCGTCAAAGGCAACGTACTGTACACTTTCCGCTTGATGATCTCGTTACGCGGCGGCCACGGCGGATAATTGCACCATTGATCGCCCATGGATTCCATGGTCGCGTACCTGCAATAATTAAATGCGATAACCACCAAACTGTTAATTTTTCTAGGTAAAATAGATGAACGCACATGTCGGCGTCTTCCAGCATTTTCTGTGCGTCGGGATGTCGGCGGAACAGATCGTCCTCCTGCATACAGCTGATCAGCTCATCCAGCTCCATGTACGCAAACCGCACTTGTCCCATCAGTTTGAAGAAATACTTCTCGCGGTTGCCCCGATCGTGATTAATCCAGTTCAAAACCGGTTTGAAAGCTTCGTACTCGGACTGAAAAAGGACTGAACTTAACCAAGAGAACTGTAAGAGTTTGACAGATTCTATAGCGCTAGCAATGTGGCACCGTAAATTGTTCGTTGTTGCTTTTATCCATGCCACTGCACTACAAGATATTCAATTTTATTATGCGGGCGTGTTTTACAAACGCGCTTACAAACGATAAAAAAACGTGGACCGAGCTGGGATACATACAAAAACGACAAAAATCTAAAGTATAATATAAAACATAAGATGAAGCGAAACCCTAATAAAAAGCGGCAACCGTTAGAAACATGTAGCAGTATTTTTTAGTAATTGCCGGTTGTTTTTTCAACATTCGTAACTCACATTTTTAATCAGTTAAAAATTAATTTAAAAAAATCATCAGTTTGAATTAAAAACAAATCTAAGTAAAACTTCAATATTATTTAAAAATATTTTTATTAACATAATAAAATTAAATAAATTAAGATTTACTACGCATCGTAACCGCGCTCTTGTTATGATGATTATTGTCTCCTAAATCGCTGCTTCGAGACACGTTTTCATGAAATTTTTATGCAAAAAGCAGACTGATGAAAAAACCATAAAGGTCATCCTTTTTCTGATAGGTATAGCCGTATAGGTATAATGATTACCTCAATATTCAGTTTATCGGACGCAATCAGCAACTCCAAATGCATCGGATCCATCGTCAAAAAATTCGTATCATGCGAAATAAATCGAAACCGTTTCAGAATCTTCGTCCACGCCACATCGAAAAACTTGTGATCCACCGGGACATTTCGCAGAATAATAAACAAATGAAAATCCGCGAACACATAATCCAGAAACTCCATGCAGTGCTGCTGCAGCCGGCGGAAACCGAGATTCTTGGCGCCCATGGCGATATCCGTGGCGTTATCTAATGTAAGCTGGAAGAGTTGTACCAATCAAGAACGCATGACAGCAAGCGAAGCGAAGCGTATAAAGGAGTTACCTTGACGGCGCCCGTGTAGGCGAAGGTGATGATGGTGCGGAGAGCGCGCGGCGTCACCATCCCGCTGAGATCCAGGACGAGTTTCCCTTCACGCCACAACTTCTCCCATCGGCTCACCAGGACGACTTTCTCGAAGAACTCGGTGTGCGCGGCTAGCATGTGGAAGTGGACTTCTTCGCGGGCGTTCTCCGCCAGCAGGATCATATCCGTGTGGACTTTACAGTGCCAAAAATGGTAGATTTTCTGCAGCATTCTGTAAAAAACCATGCAAAATTACGGTAACCCAAAATGCATCGGATTTTAAGGTTGTAATCCGTATTCGCGCAGCGCGCTCTATTTTTTGTCGGTGGCTCTTCACAAAAAAAGTAGTTGTTGACCTTTACAATAAAACTTATTACTGTGACAGGATGACACTACGACGCTTTTTTATAATGTGTTCACAACTTTTTAAATTTTCTTAACAAATATTATTTTTTTTCGAATAACCTTTGAGTTGGAGCTTTTATTACTGAAATACTCCCCTTTTTTTGGGCATACCAATACGTTTAAATCAGTTCTAGATTTGGGCTGCTTATTCGATCAGTTTTTTAGTGCTGTTGCAAGAATGCTTTTTTACAGTTTTAAATTGCTCAAATTTTGAAATTCTGGAAAGAACAATTACACGTAGAGATACTGCGCTATTTTATCGGATGCAAAAAAATTGTTTCAAATAATATATTTTCCAGTAAGAAAGACCTCACGAAATAGTAAAGTTTTAGTTCGAAAAACTCACATTTTGGCATGCAGTTTACTGGCTTTATCGATATGTGTGCCCAGTCGCACGGCGAGCTCCTCCGCGTCAAAGTTATACGTGCAGGTATCCTGCGCATCCCCGCCCATCTGGCTGACCCACATCTCCCAGCCCTTCTCGAACTTCTTCTCCAGTTCCTCCACATGTTTATAGCGCAGCTCGTCATCCGTGGGACAGCGGCCGTCGCCCTCCTCCTGGCCCTCCTCGCAGTCATTGAAATCGAATGACACGTCAGCAATCGTCGACAGATCCCGCGGTCTGGAAGATCCACGACTGCACGCACTCCCTGCACGACTATATGAGCACATTCGTCTATACAATTAACGTATTTAAATAACTCTACTTGAATATCTTTTAATCGTGAGAACGGCAACAAAGATTTTACAGTCAGAATGTGATGAGAAATGAGAAGCTTCAATGTTTACGGTGTCTTAACTAAAGAGAGTTTTACGTTGCAGTTTGTTTTTCGAATCATGTGTTCCGTGTCAGCGCCGAAGCGGTTGCTATGATTAGATTGATATCCCGGTGGATGTTACGTCATCAGATCGTACACGTTGCGCTTACGCATCGACTACATAGCACATAAACAAAAATGATAGGTTTTGGTGCGAAATTGTCGATCGAGCATGTTCTTGTGGTATTCATTGCGTTTTTTCAGCTCCCGTTGGGTTTCACAGCCGCCGGTATCCCCACCGATTTTGCGGAGCAGATTACATTAAACACGGATGATCCATACGTGCTAAAATCCTATCAGTATCCTGCTACATTCCCATCAAATACGAAGCATACGTATCAGATATCAGCTCCAGGAAAGGGAATTCGGGTAAGCAGAATGAAATTAAACTTTTGAGATCCTTCCAGTGTAGATTTTAGAGCCTACCTTTATACGAAATTTATATTTTGGCAGCGTTGCAGTATATGCATTCTTGGCGTTTGCATATACAAAAAAGGTTTCGTTTTTAGGTAAACAAAATTGTATTAGTGTTTAGCTTACGTAGATTAGCTGTTAATCAGTTTCGCTTTTAATTACATTTTTAGTGGCGATTTTTTATAAGATGTGATATTATGGAGATTCCCCTGCTTATGGTTACTCGTAACTCCTATTTCTGATTACATGAGTATAAGCTTACTGTACTTCTTGCGACTCATGCTTCCATTTATCTGGAGCTCTGCTTGTATCGAGAAATTCAGGTTATTTGTTTATTAATGACAGATCCGTTCGACGGAATTCTTGTTTGGTCAGCGCTCGATTCCGGCTGTGCAGGGACGGCCGATTGTGGACAGTGATCGGTGTCGAGGCGGGCGCGTCACGATATGGGATACCAAATGTAAGACACGGCACTACGCGGCAATCGCGCGCCCGCTCTACGCGCGTTTACGCAGCGTAAATCTTATCCGTTTATAAGAATTCTGTGTTGTATAGATCCTGCGTCACCCGTCAAACTCGCGTGTGGCACCGACACCTTCGATCTGCTCTCGGCCGGTGATGCCATAGTAAGGACTACAGTTACTGCTGTCAAATGATGCAGTCCTGGATAACGATATATATTTAGCTTGACTGACAGATCATCGAGCCGGTGGCGTCCGGTTCGGGCAGTAGTACGGTGGATCGATTTCAGATTGAGCTAACGCGTACGGTACATTTTGACGTCATCGCCTAGTACCATCGTGTAGCGTTGAATTGGGATTACATAATTTACATTTAGGCGTACCATGCGGAAGGGATGCCACCGTCCTGTGTCCATCCGACCAGCGAACCTGTATCATGAACGAACAGATTTGCGACGGTATGCGAAACACGGTTTTACTTGGACACTTTTACTGGCGAAACTGTCTTGTACATAATAATTATATTCGTTGCAAGAAAAGAAGCCACATTATCGCTATGCTGTATACGATGCCAGGTGTGCAACAGTGTCCTAAAGGCGAAGACGAAGTGTGCAGTATGGACTGCGGACGCCAGTCCGGTACCATTTACGACAACGAAAACCTCCGCATCTTGGGCGGCAGCACGGTTATTCGTCACTTTTCCGCGCTTCGAAATGTTTAGTCTATTTAACGGTGTGTCTGTTTACAGACCAGCAGCGGCAGTTGGCCCTGGCATGTGTTCTCGATGCCGCCTCCCTGCGGCGGCTCTTTGGTATTCCACGCCGCTTCATTCGCTCGCACAACTGGTTTAATCTGATGTCGTAGATTGCGCCACGATGGGTCCTTACCGCCGCGAGCTGTATGAGCAATTTTATCGGGTAGGTGACCGGTGGCGTGCGTAACGCACGCCTCGTCTTGACCATTCCGGGTGATTTAAAAACGGAAGCGGAACATCCTTCTAAAATTAAGTTATTTCAAAATGTTTGCGCAACTAAAGAAAATTATTTTAAATCAGACGTTAATTTTTCAGAAACCAAACTTTATTTTGAAATTTGTATTTTCTGCTTGTTGCTTTTTCAGGTCAAGCGAGCAACTTGGGCAGATACCTGATAAATTTGAAATTTGACGCAGATCCTAGTTGATTGTGCTTTGCAGAAAAACCCAGCCGCTCTCGCTGTATCTCCAGCCGCATCACTGCGCCAGCGCGACGAATTTGAGTACCATCCCCCAAATTGCCGTACAACAGATCTTTACTCATCCGCTGTGGAAGACCACCTCCGACGCGACCTTCATGAACATCGCGCTCCTACTGTTAAAATCGGTTTGGCAGCTAATCAGCGCTCCTGACCCGCGGCTATTGCTGTGTTTCTTAATTGACTTATGGAACAGTTTACCCGAAAAACGGGCATTCTTCTGTACTCTTATTCAAGAAGGACATCAACATGCTAGACTAGTCAAGTCAGCCCTAATCCGTCGTATTATTTTACAGGATGTCCCGTCGTCCTCGGATATTCGGCCCATCTGTTTGCCGCGGCCCGATATGGCACCGAATATCGGTGAGACCTGCTACGCGGCTGGCTGCGGCGTCATCGACGGCGCTAACAATGTGGCCAGCGATCTGTTGCAAGTGGGACTGACCGTCAACGATGGCCAGTGCACCGCGGATAAGATTTGCGCGGGGAAAGCCCGAAACGGAACGTACGTATTTCATTTGTAACCGGCCAGCGTGCGTGATTGAATGGCGGGTGGTTGCAGTTGTTCGGGTGATACCGGCGGACCGCTGGTGTGCCAACGACCGGATGCGGCTGGTACGACTGCAATATCGCTGCAATATCGACTGTTATTGTGCTTTTCAGAATTAAGAACATTTAGAAAACACGTGGTGATTGAAATTTCGAAAACTTTTTATAAACCATGAAGAGCATTTATTAAATACTGTAAAAGAAAAATAAGATATTTGGCTGGAAATATGGATAAAAAAAAAATAATAAAAGAAGGCTTAAGAAAGTTCAAAAACATATATAAAATGCAAAACACAAAGGCAATTGAAAACGAATTAAAGTTTAACAAAAATCAATAAACAAATGAGCAGTACTAACAAATTAGGCAAATAAATTACTGTACATTATTTATCACGAGCAGTTTTATTAAAATAAAATTAAAAAATTAAATACAGGAAAGCGTGTCGGTACTGTTAAGTTTAGCAAAAATGCCTTGGGTGTTGTTGCATGTTAAGAAATCTACCATTTGCAGGTTTGAGCCAATGGTATCTGTTTGGCGTGACGGTGATACCTGCGGGAACGTAAGCACCAATTAGATGCGCATGCAGGCATGCATGTTTAGTAAACACGCTGTGTAGGAAGACGCCATAAATAATATTTATCGGATGATTTTATCCATCAACAGAGACTGCGGCTCCACATACAGCAGCTTCTCCGCCGTGCAGATGTCCATGCGGTTCATCATGGAGACGCTGAATGCGCAGAACTTCCAGGGCTGGTTCCAGAATCGCACGGTGCCCAGACTGTCGCCCGATCAGCTGCCGGGTCCTGGGCCCAATCAGACCGGCGGGTGCGGTGACACAGCGCGAACGGATACACTGCAACCGTGTAATGCCGGAACCCATAACAAAATAAAGGCGGGAGGCCCTGTTGACCTTTTGCTGTTCTCTGTTTTTACTCTTTTACTTTTTTAGTGGGTATGAAAATGTAGTGGACTGCTTTGCAGTTACTTGGTTGTTGGACTGTTTACGACAGTGTCACCCTTTGTTTTACCCAACGCATGCCTTTTTTACGGAACCGCCCAGATGTAGCGGCAAATTGGCAACGACATAATTCCCTTATCATAGACAGTATTAGAAAATAAAGAAATCAAAATTAGTAAAGAAATTCTCCATCAAACTGAAAGATTTACAATCAATCTGAAAAGTCGAAATACCGGTACAGTCAAAAAATTTGGAAAGTAGCAAAACATTCACTATATAATTACACAAAAGGAATTAATAGAAGAGAAAGTAAGAAAAGCGATTGAAATATCCATAAAACAGTAAGAAAAGGGCGCGGAGCAGCACAAATGATTCATCTAGCCTTGGCCTTGGCGGATCCGGGATGCACAGCGCTGGATGGCGAGGATTTCGGCCGGGACTCGGCCGGCGCGACCGGTGCCGTGGCAGACATCTTGCCAGCGGCATTATTCGGCGGGTTGGTGGGCTTGGACGGCGGCGGGCCCGGCATCCGTTCGTTGATGCGATCCAGCGCTTTAGCTTGCTTAAACGACTTGCCGCCCTGGACTCCGTTGAGTGCTGTAAAAAACCAGCCAATCACTGATTCAATATGTGTACGGTACTACCGTGTATCGGAATGAAATTTAACATTTGCTGTGAAAAGTATGACGCAGACTGTGCATGTATCACATGCAGGGTTTAATTTTGACTGCTTTTCATAACGGGTCTCGTGTTTACGCAGCATGCTAATCTACGAATATTTTCTAAAGGCAATGCAGCAGTTTACGGCCCACTGGATTTGCATCGCTAGAATGACAAATGGCAAACCTTGCAAAAGAGTATCCCGGCCGCCTGCCAAGGCGCCTACAGGAAGCGATCCAGTTCCAGTTAGGCCTTTTAATCGGCTGACATACTCTTCTTCCACTCTGCACAACGCGTTACTTGTCAGTTGTGACCTCAAAATCAATGCGCAGCCGAATCAGCACGTACCGCAATATTTCGTAGAAGCGCATCAGTCGCGCCACTGCCAGAATCTTGGTACGGATCATCTGGCGCTGCTCCAGCGGAACGCGGGTAGGAGATCGCGCGGGACGCTCCTTCTGCAAGCGCTCTGTTCGAAAAACATGTCAAGTAACATAATTTTTGCAATATTACTCGTATTTAGCACAACACTTTCTTGGTCTTATGTGACTTTACCTTTTAAAGTCCGGTATTCATTCATTACTGCAAAGAGACCTGCAGTGTTTTAGGTAAATGTGACGTGTGTAGTACAAAGAAGCGAGCGTGCGGCGTCACTTTTGCTGCTTTAAAAAAATCACTGGCAATGTGCTTACCTCGATTATATGACACCCCTTCCCCAACAACGGAAGCTCTACGAGGCGCTTCTTCCTGCAGCTCTTCATCGCTGCACACGCTGAGAAGAGCCAGCAGCAAATCGGTGACTACAAGCAGTTTTATCAGGCTACTTACCATTATTTCAGTTAAACTCTATAAAACTGTGATTTTTCTCAATGATAGTCGACATTCTGTACCTTTCTCGGCAACAAACGGAAATGACCATACAAAAACATCCATGAAATTAGGCAGCCAATACGGATGTTCCTGATTCTTGAACTGGCGTATATTCATCTTGCCCTGTTCGTACTTGAGAATGGCCGCTAAAAGCCCGCAAGTTTTGGTTATTTTTGATCATAATCAAATGCCAACATTCCATTAGCCTACAGTATCACGTGGTACCTTTATTTTGGTAGACATCCAGATAATTCGGCGCCGAGAAGACCGTGATCAACGCCGGGAACCCAGTGGCTTTATTCTCCTTGTACATCTTATAGCCCATATCTTGAACTTCATGTGCACGGATAACCGACAACAAATTATTCCGGTTGAGGAAGTCGCAGACCGCGGGATACGTGTAATAATACGAGCAGCCGCGGGTGGAGTTGTGCGTGAAGAAGTCGTTGGTCTTCTCGTTGCCAAAATCCGTGTTGGGATCCGCCCAGATCAGATCGCACAGCGGCCCGTGGGCCGGCGGCTCGCGGAAGCGGTCTATCTACAAAATTATCTGTGAACTAACGCATTAATTCAGCGGCAAAACGTCTAACAAACGCATAACAAAAATACACCCACACAAAACTTTTTAAAACTCAAAAACTAAAGTACTTAAAAATAATAAAAAATAATTGAAGAAAGCCTTTGAAAAAGTTATTCGAAGCAACTACAGTACTTACTTAATGCTAAAAACAAACATTCAACAGAAAAAAGCATGCAGAAGACATTAGTGTTAAAATCGTATAATTAGTAAACTCCAAAATAAATCATTACTGCAGATTTGAAATACAGTAACTAAGTGAAAAACAACAACGTTAGCTTGAAAATGATGAGAAGAATTCTCAGTTATAAAATCATTGACGTTCTGTGTATATGATCGTGACCTTTTAAAAAGTTTTGAATGTGCTGACACGAATTTGGAGCAATCTGAAATTGTTTGTATTTTGAACATCAAACAGCCTGTTTTTAGGGAATGCATACCTTTAGAACGTCGCTCAACACTTGTACTTCCGGTGAGATTCCGCCGTGAACACAGAAGAACTGTCCGTTCAGCAGCGCAGCCAACGGCAGGCAATCAAAGGCTTCCATGCACACTTTGTAAAAATGCTCGGAATACTTGACGGAACATTCGGCCTTGAAAGTGAAATGCTCCGTTAGATGCCGGCACTCATGATTGCCGCGTAGCATGTACAACGTGTTAGGATGGTGGATTTTCTGCGCCATCAAATACAGAACGCACTACAATAACATCAAATAAAAATAAAGTCTCAATCACTGTGCGGAAGAAAGATTATGTCGCAGCACCGCAAACGAACTTCGACGGCAAAATACCCACGGTCGACGTAATCACCGAGGAAGAGATAGCGCTGTGTATCCGGATTCCCGCCCACTTCAAACAACTTGATCAGGTCGAAGAATTGGCCGTGTACATCACCGCATACCGCAATCGCTGAAAAATAAAGTTTATACATTTTTGCATAATTATAAGAAGTTCTAATACATTATATGTTTGGTTTTTTTAGTAAAAAAAATTAAAACTTAGGTAGAATTAAAATGTAGATGCATCTTTCCGAGCGCTTAACCACGCAGCATGATTTATGAGAGCAAATATCACAAAATATAATTCGGAAGAAACGTGGACATACTGGCCATGGGCGCCGTAATTTCTATGATGTTCGGTTCTTTCTTTAATATGGCCGCTCCTTCCTGGATAACTTTGACTGCTGCTTCCTCTTCCAGGCGTCCTTCGCGGGACATATGCTCCAGTAACAACGGCAACCGCGGGCGACTGGTCGCTGGATCGTACACATCTTGTACTGTCAGCCGATAGGCGGGCGGCATTGGCAGAGCTGCAAAGAAGTGATATTCATTAACTGCCAACATTACGGTAAATTATTAATTTATGTATATACAAAATTACAAACCCAGCTAAAGATAAAAACATTACTAAGACTACGGACTACGGAGTAAAATAATCTCTGGCAAACGCATTACAGTAATACAGTGGGAGAGTAATTTGTTTCCAAGCTTTTACTTCGATTTAAATCCCACCTGCACTTTGAAAACAAGACTTCGCAAATTTTTATTCCGCATAACAATAACAATAAAATAACAGGAACGTATTCAGGAACAATAAAAATACCTTTTAGCAGAGAATGTAAAAATAGACTGGTCTGTAGTTCGTATGGGCAAGACGCACCTACTCTTGATTACGCGGTCCATGGTATAATTTTTCCATTGAGCCGGCGATATAGCAGGCAGGGAGTTCATGTTCGGTCGAGCAGGCCCGGCCGACTGCAGGGACAGTAATTCCTCCAAATGACAAATCAGTGACAAACCAATTAAACTGAAAATAATCAGTGGCACTTTAGTACTGCATTATTATTGGTGATCAAACGTGTAATGTAATCCATTCCCAAGCTGCGACGCATGAATCGACTCGCTAAAATTCTGCAGTATTGAAAGTATTTGGAGGCATCATTCGATTGGTTTAGATCAGGTGCAATATGAAGAAGAAGGGTTGGATGACATTCACAAAAGCAGTGGTCATTTTGTGCTGCTAAAGTCAAAACCATCAGTTAAGCCCATATGCTTATATCAACGGGGTCCTTGAGGGGTTCCGCAACGCTGCATATCCATGTTGCCAAGGCAATCCAGTTCCAGACAGCTACTTCTCTATACTACGCTGTCATAACTTATTTTCGTGTAAATGCCTGTTTCATGAAGTACGCACCTTACTGCATGTATGTATTCGTATTATTCCACTCCACTCTCACAGTGTATACGTACTGATTGCACTGCATTAAAACTGCAATGTCTTTTATTCACCAAAATAATTGTGAGCAAATTGTTAATAATATTGTCCAACGGATCAGCATTAAATCGCAACTCGCACCAACTGATTTTTTATAGAGTAGCCAAGATATACCGGAAACGGGCACTCTCATACATCAGTTTCAATAACCTGGTATTGTGATAACGCTGCAGCCTCGCTGCAGTGGAAAAAAAACAATAAAGCACAAAAGATATGTATGCGCATTAAAATGAGCGCCGAATATTCAAGCTGCTTAGACACATCAGTGATGGTTATAGCGCCGCTATTTTCCCAGCGTACAACAGGCAAACTAATGGACTCAACCATGGTCGGTCGCCGGATGCTGGTAACATCTCGGTGCGTACCGGTACGGGCAGAGGCGGCACATCCGGCGGCGACACTCGGCTGTCGTGCTGCGTACCGCTCAGTACCGGCACCGTGCGATTCTCCAGCCAGCCTTTGGAGCCTTGCGAGTACACCGTCTCCATGACGAACGACATGGTTGCTTGCAGCCCCCCGGAGCCGCCGGGCGTGGTGCCGCATGCCGTGTAATGACAGTTTTCGCGTTCGTTAGATGGAAAAATTCATGCAGTATCTCGAAAGTTTTCAGTCACTTTAGTACAGATCTGTATACTGTAAACCGGTCAACCGTATATCTGGTACAATGCTTGTATGTTGTTACTATAATGCAGAACGAAGTTTTCAGATATGGTTAGTGTGACTTTTAAAACTACAATCGTACAATAAAGCAATAGGAATTATGCAGCACACAAACAAGTTTTCATAAAAAAAAATAAATAGCCGCAACTGTGGTCTGCTGTGACCATAAACGACGTTTACTGGAACATAAGGTGGCCAAAATACGGAGAAAATTTTAATAACGTGGTAAGTTCTCACCCGATAATAAACGAGGCAGCTCCAAAGAGGACCCACTGACTGACGCCTGAATTCAGTACTTCTATACATTACATACAAAAATTTGTATTCACTGGATTGTCACTGTACCGTGGCTCTCTTTCCGGCATGCCAGTGGCCCACCGCTGTCTCCGGGACATCTGCAACCCGAGGTGAGTGGTCAATATGATTTGCCAATTTACCGCCCAATCAAGTATTATAATTATGCTACCGCAACAGTTACGAGGTGGTTAGAACTGTCAGTTCTAAAAACGCTGCAAGGTCACGAATAAGCTACATACAAAGTATAACTTTGTATGTAGCCTATTCGTGACCTTGCATCTTACCTCATTCGAAGCGCTAATAAGCACTTCGAGTTGCGATGCTTTAAGGGATTTGGCCCGGTACATAGCACCAAATTCATGTACATCCACGGGAACTTTCGCTGTCGCGCACTTCCAAACACTTTTCTGCATTGCTTTATGGTACTTTTTAGGCAAAAGAATTGTATACGTAGTTGTGAAATCCGTTTGCGCGCGCAACATCCGGTTGCGGAGTTATGAGGGTAACAAAATTCCAAAAAGTTTAAATGCATTCAGGTGTACCAAAAGTCTCATTATGGACCGATCCCTTTGAAATTTTGCACTTAAATGCACATAACCATGAAGACTGTTTTGGTACGGATCCAGATTTGCACGATTGGTTTTTAAATTTTAAAATGAATTTCAAAAATTTTAAAATTCATTTTAAAATTCGAAAAAAATCGTAGAAGTCTGGATCCGTACCAAAACAGTCTTCATGGTTATGTGCATTTAAGTGCAAAATTTCAAAGGGATCGGTCCATAATGAGACTTTTGGTACACCTGAATGCATTTAAACTTTTTGGGATTTTGTTACCCTCATAACTCCGCAACCGGATGTTGCGCGCGCAAACGGATTTCACAACTACGTATACAATTCCTTTGGCTACAAAATACCATAAAGCAATGCACAAACGTGTTTGAGAATGCGCGACAACGAAAGTTCCCGTCAATGTACATGAATTTGGTGCTATGTACCGGGCCAAATTTAATACTGTTGTAATTTATTAAGAATTTAATACTGTTGTAATTTAATACTGTTGTAATTTAATAGAGCACTGTTGTAATTTAATAAGAAGAGTGTTCCGACGGCGGTACAACACAGTATTTACGCACATGCTCTTCCCGGTGTTGTTTTCGCCCTTAGCCTGCCCGGCACACACCCAACCCGGTTCCGGCCGGAAAGGGCACGTTGTCGCGTTGCGAATCGGCGAGGCTAACTGCAGCAGTTCCGGCGGTGCGCCACCCGGCTCCGTCCGCCCGCATCCGGCGGCGTAGCACACTTCTCCTTCATTTAGTACCATATCGGGTCGTGGTAGACAGATCGGCTGCACCCCGTTCGGCGAAAAGGAGATATCCTATAACAGCGTAAGCTGACCTCTCTGGATTTGTGTACAACTGGCAAAAATCTTCCTTAATATCTTTCAGCATTCGCTGCAATCGCTCACAGATCCATGCTGTTCATTAAATTTTGCATACGCACATACCGTGAATAATAGGAGTAAAGCAACGTCGATGGACTTATGAATAAAGACCTTCTGGACCGCAATGGACGTAGCGTCCGGTTGTCCTCCGCACTTATGCGGCATAAAGGTCACCGATGCCACCATGTTCTTTCCTATGCTACAAAACGATGCCGTGTACAGAACATCAACGAAATTCAATGTCAAATGAAGCTAAGCAATGCGATGATACTCAATAAAGCAGTCAATACGTTAGTCATCCAAATTTTACGAGATCACGCACGCCATGATTTCCGCGCGATCCCGTACAAAACCGTTAATACAGTGCGCCGCCGTCTCAATCCACCGGGGAGCCACCTACATCAGTATCTTCTGTTCTGCAGTATTCAGCACATCTTCGGTACTTGGCGTTCAACATACCACGGAGCCTCCGCATGACGCAAAAATGGATTCATTCCCGTACGGACCGCTGAGAAGCTGCACATGCCACGGCCAGCTGTTGTTCCTGACCTATTTTAGGCGAAAACCGAGCGGCCTGTGGCACCGTTTCCACTGAGCAATATTTTGAAAAATATTTCAATTATATCAAACATTTTAAGAGAGATCGTACCGGCGTGCCGCCGAAGATACGGAGGTTCTCACTCGCATCGATCATGCCGGTGTGATAACCGCAATCCATCGTGCAGATCTCATCTTCACCGTCTGGACACTGTTTTACACCTGTGACAAACGTCACTTCAAAGCAGTGACAAATAATTAATAATTTACTGTAGTAAATGGATTTCCAGCACATTTTACGTATTTTGCAAAATCATTCCAGTACCTTCTTAATTTCAGTTAAATACCTGTACAGTTCTACAGTACCATCACAAATTTGCTCCAGTGTGATGCACGTCCGATTGGCTTTATCTGAAGGACACAATATGGTGGCGGCGCGACCACACGAGACTCCTATGACGAGCTACACATCCAATTTAAAACAAAATACACGATAAATGTAGCGAAAACAAACTTCCATACGGATGAGCTCCAGCTGGAACTGATTCAACGTAGCGGAATTGTGCCCGATAATCGGTTCGATGATCTGCAATACATCAAATCCAGTCAGTGCAAATGCAAAAAAACCTGGCTTATTTGCCGGAGGCTCACAATTGTGTCACCATACGAGCGTATTTCAAATGGGTCTTTCCCGCAGGCGAACTTAATTGGTGCGGCGGGAACTGCAAAATCCTGTCGTCCGAATTCCACTCTACAGTCTACAATTTAATGTTGCGGAATCTCTTACACTTTGTATCCCAAATATTGACGCGTTCCCCGGTGCAGCCCTCATTGTACGCCGTGGACGAGGTGCGCGTGCCAAATGTAAAATTCACGGAGCGCAACTAAAAAACGTATTTTACCTACGCTTACCAACATGGGAATGCGTACAACCCTACAGTGCAGCAGGCATAAAGCTATGTGCCACCTGAATCGCTTGGTCCGGCGCTGTAATCTGGTATGTGTACGTTGTGCCCTCGGGGAATGCTGCGGGATACTGTAAGGACTTCAACCGATATGGAACCTCTGGATTGAGGGTAATCCGTTCGGAAATGGTTGTGGGAATTGCGTCCACCCAAACCTGGCAAAGTGATGCGCAAAACAGGAATATTACAGATATCGGCTTGACACTGCTGTTTAATAAGTACGACATGATTGAACCACTAGTGTGACGTTAATATTTGCAGAGTTATTATCATGCTGCTGAACTGAGTCATCACCACCAATATTAAGGAGGAAGCTATTATTCATTCTGACGTGCTGTAATTAATATTGCAACTAAGAGATTACTTACTGTAGTAGTTCAATAACCAAAACAGTAACTGTTACGCGTAATACGTAGTACTTTTACCACGCACTGATCGAACTTGCTACGATGAGCAACTTTATCCGTAAGTGTTAAAAGCTCCCACGTTGCTACGAAGGAGCGTACTAAGTTGAACTGTATCCATTTACTTATGCTGGTTAATTACACTTTACGAACATTAACCACGGCGAAATGGCGCAGCGCCTCGTTGTTGTATTCCTCGCACAGGTTACTGTGATACTCCTTAATCTACCTGGATACAGCAGCCTGGGAGATGTTATGCCCACGGTGATTTCCGAACGGATAACGCTGGATGCTAATCAGCCTTACCTGCTGAAATCCCTGCAGTACCCTGCACGATATCCTCCTGGAACCGTGTACGTGTACTCCATCAGTGGTGCAGGCCAACCTATTAAGGTGATACTGCATATTTTAAGCAGTACTTTTCTTTCGCTGATATAAAAATTAATGATCAGCTATGGGCGGAGGTTCTTCGTACAATATTTTGTGTGCTGTTTGCAGATTGCATTTAAAAGCTTTTCCTTCGGATTATTAGGACGATCGACACAGTATAATGACGGCTGCACAGGAGAGCGCGTTAACATCTGGGACACAAAATGTATGAAGAAAATAGTTTTTGCTCGATTCTCCGCGTTAATTAGACCGTTGGGTTTACAGCTCCAGCCGTGCCTATTAAATTCGCATGTGGAACGTCATCGGAGGATGTTGTATCCGACGGTGATACGATTGTACGTTCGAAAATGTATTTCCACGAAATGGCTGCGCAGTTCAGTCGCAGCTGAGTCGCATTTTGCAGATCATCGAGCCGATGGTTGGTGACCTTCCCACCGCTACTAACAGCTTCCTGTTGGAATTAACACGTACGTGAGGAAAATGGCTTTGATTTAAATCATTTACTAATTGTTGACAGATGACAGGTGTACAGTGTGGTCGCTCGACGCCCCTATCGTGCCCTTCTGAAACATCCAAGTGCATCACCCGAGACCAGATTTGCGACGGTAAGTAATTACATCGAAGCTGAACAGTACGGCTGGATAAATTCCGAAAAATACAAATTAATAGCAGCTAACAGAAAACTGAGAAAACCTCTATTTGTGAACGTTTATGCGCTAATTTTGGCAGGAATTATGCAGTGTCCACAAGGTGAGGACGAGATCTGCACCATGGACTGCGGCCAGCATTCCGGTGCGATTGATACCAGCGAAAACCTGCGGATCCTCGGCGGCATTCCGGTACGGTGGTAAGCGATGTATTTTATTTATTAGTTACTTAGGCAGGTTAAGGCTCGGAAATTCTAAACAAATAATAAACTACGGGTTATCAACATAGCATGCCTCGGTACCGGAATTCTTAGACCGATCATAACCTTATTGCCGCGGTACTTTTTGATCACCCAAAAAAATAGTATCTGTACGTCAACAGAACATCCTAGCATTCGCAACAGAACATCCTAGATAACTCACTTTCACCACTATTTTGATAAATTTAGGTACAAGAGAACAGCTGGCCATGGCACGTGCGTCTGCTGATTCCCTATCTCGAAAATAACCAGGTCGTGTGGAGAAACTGCCAAGGTGCCGTGGTAGGTGACAAACTGTATTACAGCAGTTGCAACCTTTTACCACTGGGTTTATGCTATACGCTTTATTACACAGATAGCATCACGGTGGGTTATGACGGCCGCACAGTGCGTAGCCAATTCTGCCAGGGATGCGGCGACTATGAAAGCGTAAGTATGTTAATGGCCGCGCTTTTCCGACCAGTCTACCGGTACTTCTACCGATAAACGTATACTACATACTTTTACAAATACTTTTGCTACGGGTTTTGTCTGCGTGCCTTCAATGGCCACAGCAAGGTTTCGTCTTTAACTGCACTGAACAAAAGTGTCAAGGAGAATTCTCCCGCAAATATTCCGCTTGCAAAGCGTATCCTATCGTCCATTACAGGCTCGGTGCAAACAACCTCATCTCGGTGGCGATCATGCCGCACAACTGCACATTTGACCATACGTTGATCATGACGCAGCGGATATTCCTCCATCCTTTATGGCAGACAAAACGGGATGACTCGCTATTCTACGACATGGCGCTACTCTACCTGTTTGTCGTAAGTATTCGCTACATCGTTTTCTACAATGTGTTATACCGTTATTCGGCATGGTTCTAGGATATTCCCTTCTCGGACGCCGTGCGACCCGTCTGCCTCCCGCGGCCTAACACGGGAGCGAATATCGGGGAAACGTGCTACGTAGCTGGCTGTGGGACGACCAGTCCCGGTGCCCGCGACCAACTATTACAGTCCGCACTGCCTATCGCACCTCTTTCGACGTGCCTCGGGCATTTTTGGCCAACTCCCGATAAAGTCTGTGCTGCCCCCACCAACGGAACGAGCGCGTATGGCAAAAGCGTTTTCCGGCTGTGTAATACAAAAATTTGGTTACTCAATAATTGCCTTATAGGTGTGTGTGGGGCACGGGCGGACCGTTGGCCTGTCGAAGGGAAACACTCGGTAAGACGCTTACATTCGTTAGACAATCATTCGCATCTAACTTGCAAGGAAACAAGAGGTTAATGAATTGGTTGCGCTGGTTTTAAGGGATGAATCAATGGATCCTGTCGGGAACAATTTCATATGGAGATGGGTAATTGTACAGATATTGTCATGGTTGTTCAACAGAATTGCCGGTACAAGGGGCCAATTTTCGTAGGCCTGCACGAAACTTCACAACTTTGTTGTATATTGCACACTTCTAGGGACACGAATCTATATTGAAGTTTTCTGAAGTTCGCAGTATATTATTAGTAAAGTTTTCAAAAAACTGTTTCGTGTTTATTATTTTTCTTAACAAAGCTTGCAGTTTATAATTATAAAAAATCGACGCCATTTTGTGTACTTAATTTTGCTTTATGTACTTAAACTTTGTCACTTATACTGTCGGAGGATTGTAGTCATATACTCATATACATATTGGTTATGTAGAATAAATTTTGAGAGTACCAAAAATTATTTATTCTCCAGTGTATTTGACAGAACATTTTTTTGTCAGATGTATGAGCACCCCAGCCGGGTTTGCGGCCATCCCCATGGCGATGCCGTTCATCATGCAGACACTGTACGCTCAGAGCTTCCAGGGGTGGTTTGCCAATCGCACGGTGCCACGAATCGGCGATCTGGAGCCCGGTGGCACCAATCAGACTGCCAGTCAAGACAGCGTGCCGGTACCACTGCGATCCGAACCGGGACCGTCCTCCTCGGCTGAATGGGTCGTTCCTCGTTCGTCTCAGTGGGTCGGATTATTGTTAGCTCTCTTAAGCACCGCACTTGATGCGAAGTTAATACAGAGATAAGCCCTCCATTTATCCGTGTTTTTATTGAGGTTTTATGGTGTTTATTTGTCTGTTTCTGGTGCTTGTCGGGAAATCAGAGGGTCAATGTACATAATTATGAGAAAAATCAACGTCCTTTTGTTAGGTTTTTTGTATTAAAACAGGATCGAGACACATAACAGCGCATAAAAGTTAGCCACACTATGCAAGTCTTTAGTAAAAAATTCTCTCGCAGGATAACATTGCCGGCGGAGGTATCAGTAGCGTTCACTCCTTCCTGCATTCTTAACATCCTGTTCCCGTCGATCAACGGGGTACTGGACAGCGGAACGGTGCGATTCGTCAACCAGCCTTGAAAACCATCCGCGAAGACGGTCTCCATGATGAACGACATGACCGCGGGTACTCGCAGGAACAAGCTCGGTGTATTGCCGCACATCGTGGCCAGGTCTCTACAGGCAAATGCTTTACCGGTAACGTCTGCTCGATGCGCACACGGGTGTTTCTAAGGCGGTCGAGTTGGCCGTATTACGGCCCATCACTTACCCCAACCCCGCCGACACTACTCCAAACAAGATTCATTGATTCGCACCTAAAAACATGATACAATTGCTCAATTCAAGTTTCTGGTAATCATTTTTCAATTTATCAATAAAGTGCTTTGTTTGCGAAGCTATTCCCTTTCCGGTGGATCGCCAAACCAACAGATCGGCTGTCCAGAATTGCAACGGTAAAGCCGATGTTTACTGTGCTCGCTTCAATAAAAACGCCTGCTTCAATCGGTTTAATCGCGTTTAATGTCACATCCACTCTTACGTACGCTTTCTGCGAACGAGCTACCGATTCTGCAGTGCATTTTAAGGAATATCACGGTAATAGGTGGCAGAAAGGGTATACTGTCCTAAGTCATAGGGATCACTAAAGCGTTGTCCGCACCTGGGCTATCCTTTTGGCATACAAGTGGTCCTCCGCTATCTCCGTTGCACCTGGCAAAAAAATCACAGTGTCTCACTAACCCAACAATTATAAATCATTCTGCCGTACATGCTCTTTCCACTTTGACTGTTATCGTACGCTTGACCGGCGCATAGCTTTTCCCGCGTCAACGGGAATCCACAATCCGAATCGCGGATGGGCAGCGCCAGTTGCAGCAGATCCGTCGGCGCTCCGGTCTCGGTGCGGCCACACCCACCGGCGTAGCACATCTCGCCGACGGTCAGCACAATGTTGGGCAGCGGCAGGCAGATGGGCTGCACGGTTGTCGGGCTAAACGCAATTTCCTGGGACCGATTGCTAAAAGTGACCACTATGATGACACAGTGCGGAATCTTACAGAGGATAAAAACAGTATAGCAGCGTCCCATACTGCGCTGTGCCCGATGCCCTTCCATAAAGGGTGGAGAAAGATTCGCTGGACGGTAATGGATGTGGCCGTTCTGGAGCGACCGCTGTGCCCGTTGCCCTTCCATAAAGGGTGAAGAAAGATTCGCTGGACGGTAATGGATGTGGCCGTTCTGGAGCGACCGCTGTGCCCGTTGCCCTTCCATAAAGGGTGAAGAAAGATTCGCTGGACGGTAATGGATGTGGCCGTTCTGGAGCGACCGCAGTTGTGCGGCATGAACGTAACCACGGCCTGTGGGTTTAATCCTTGTCTGCAGCGTACCACGTTTAGATCAACCTTCTATTAAGATTTCCAGTACAAAAACAGCAGCAATGGGTTACGCCAATACAGGTACATATTCCAATATCTTTGGTTATTTTGGCGTACGCAAGGAAATTGACTCAATTCCTCTCCACCCCCTGTGACGTAGATCACACGTGCTGGCGTGTAGACCATGTTAACTGCCATAGAAAATCTACACGCCAAGCCAAACCACGTGTTACCCGACCAATCAGGATTGTTGGTCCAGCCTTTGGAATAGTGTCAATTGGTGCGATTGAACACCAGCCTATCAACACAATGTGCCGCCGTAATGACCCATTTGGGAGCGATCTGAAAAGGAGGCAATATCCTCTTTCCATCACGTACTCAGCTTAACCAAAGCCAAATAAATTTTACGTTCGTGCAAAGCGTGCGCAGCTCAGATTAAGTTTATATCTCACGTATATAATAACCGCCATCAAACGCTTATCACAGTGCCACCACATTGGCCGTACAACTGGTATGAGGCGTTGTTGTTGAATGGCCCAGTCCGCAGGAAGACTTGCCAGGGCCAGCTATCAGGTTGGGCCTGGTGAACAAACAGTTTTCCGTCTGGTTAACTGGGATATTACCGTCAGAATCCATTTTAACTACCTAAAGAACTTCAGTAACTAACCGCTGTCCCACCGAAGATGCGCAGATTTTCAGCCGCGTCGATAACGCCGGCATGGTGGCCGCAGTCCATGCTGCATACCTCGTCCGAAGACGGTATACGGTCCGACTGTACCGTATACCGTCTTCGGTAGTATTGTAACTACAATAGTACGGTAAGCTGAGCTCGGTTAGCTCATATATTTTAAATGAGTAAGCTGCCTTCGTACTTATTAAGTCTTTTAGTGTATGATGCGAAGCATTTCCTATAGGCTATAGCACAGTGTAGAATTTATTTCTGAATTTCTGTTTTGGCCACGCCCTGCTGACCATGGCACATGAAATAGTTTTTTAAGCATCCTACATAGTTGCTCTACCTTTTTGCAAAAAATGAGATTTTTCTGAATTTATAGCCTCGGTATGTGCCCTGGTAAGGTTTTTTTCTGATATCATACTGTAGTTGTTGATTGAGATACTGTACATAGATGCAGCGTTGGACAAAAACAAGCAGATGCATCATTTCAGCGTAATCTGCGAAAAGAAGCGCTTCTTTGTTCGGTCTGAGTGTTGGCGATTTGTGAGCAATTGAGCATTATCATTCTATGTTCGTATTGCACTTGTAATTATTTGTTTTGCTTATTGGTTTGATTACTTAATTTCTGAGCCGCGGACCGACGGGCCGAATTTGAGTTTTTTGTTATTATATAACTGCTATCTTTGGCTTTTCGTGAATGCACGTTTCACTTGTCGGTATTAACGACAACTGTCAGCAGATTTTCCTACCGTCACATATTCACATATTTGTGCCTGAGTCAGACACGTCCGGTTCGACCGATCCGATGCGCACCCCACCGGAGCGGAACGATTGCACGGCACCGCTACAAATATGGGGATAGATTAAGACGTTCTCTGAACATTAGCCGGTGTACACATCAGTTCCATCTGGAAAAAGTATTGCGACAGCATGGCCGACATCGCGATGGGTTGAATAATCTGCAATGATAAAATTATATTTTCACTGGCCCAGAGCTCGATCGAAGTCGATTTTGCCGAAGCTGGATGATACGCACAATGGTGTAGCTGAAAGATACAACTTTCACCGGGTCCTGACCGCATGCGTACGCTATTGGGTTGGCACGAACTGCAATGTAGTACCGGCTAAGTTTAATGTTTTACAGCTGACGGTGAGCCGAAATAAAATTTGGCGTCGCACAAAATGTAACGTAGCGTTTAGTCTGGGTTCAGTGAATCGCGCCTGACGGACACCGACCACGTACGTACGTTGCTTCAAAAATCTGATAATAATTATTATATATAATAATTATTATATAGCACCTAATTAAGCGTACTTGTACGTGCGGTAGCTTCGCAAGAAATAAGATTAGTACAACATGGGTGCGATTAATAATTCAACTACCAGCTGTACTGCTGTAAGTACCGGTACGTACAAGTACAGGTGCAATCAGCCTGTTAGGTGTATTGTACATACTCTGAGCATCCCAAACGTTGACGCGATCGAAGTCGCAGCCGTCTTTATCGGCTTTGAGTGTTTCGTATTGTGTGCCGTAGGAGAAGTTGTTGAGCGAATCTGAAACCATCTCGATATATTAGCGTTCTTCAAATGCGACATGATAACGTTAACGTACTTAAACAAGTGACCCGGAACTTAAACCAGAGCCGTGCAAATGCCGAAATTAGTCTTTTACACCAAGCTACGGTTGGAGCACGCTTTTTAGTTTTCAAGTGAATTGTGAAAATCTTAAAGTTTACTTGAAAAAAAAATAATGATCTTCATATGAGTAAAATAATAATCTTCATACCTATGTGCATTTATCTGCGAAATTTGACGAAGATACGTTCATATTGGGACTTTTAGCAGACCGCTTCACGTTTAAATCTTTGGGACATTTATTTCTCCCAAAGTCCAACCGGATGCTGCGCACACAAGCGGTTTTCCCGCTAATGTAAGCAAACTGTTTCTTTCAAAACCTCATGAAGTCTAAGCCTCGTTGTGGATTGATCTTCGAGCCTTGCTGAATAACGCTCATAAATAAAGCGGCTTTTTTGCAACGGACTGAGGATTATCGATGGATCTTATTATTTATGAATGGATTTTATTATTATTTATCAATGGTTGCAATGGATCTTATTATTTTCAGATCTACTCGTGTAGATGTTATACCTTTTATTATATCTCCTCTTATTGTACCTCCTTATAGTCTTATTATACCTCCTTAAACAGGATGTTAGCTGCCCGAAGCGTAAACTGTTTTAACGCCAGGCTATACAGATACAAAATCACAAACCATTGGGACTTACGATTCGTAAGTAACGGCCCTGGAATTTTATATCAGTACTGTACTTTATATCAATTTCGCCCATAAATAACTGATGCTTTGTCGGCTGTCGATGTGTTTCGTGTTTGTATGTTGCTGTCATCACATGATCACAAACTTTGATTTCTACGCTTAAATGGCAAGTGTATTGTCGTCGTTACCGTAATTTTTATGCTTGCAGAAAAAAAACGACTGGAGTGTAAAAGCCAAAAATCCTTTCGAAATACTCGTTTGTAAAGTTGCTGTCATATCAACTTAAATTCTACGTAGTCATACCACTAATTCATGCCACTGAGTCATGCCACTGATTCTTCGGGAATCCAGTTGGGATCAGAACGATTCGCACGTCTTCGTCACCATCGTCTTCAACCATGTCAACCCAAAATCCGCAGATATTTTCACCTCGCCGAAGTATGTGAAGGTCTCTCTGTCCCCGTATTTTTACGAACTCTACTTGTTCGCCGAGATCGATGACTTGCGCAGCATCGCCGAAATTTCCTCCAACCAGATCGTCTTACGCTTACCCAAAGCCCGATCCCAACGGTGGGAATCACTGCGACATGAGAAATCTAATGATCCTGAGATTATGCGACAAGTTCGTGCAGAAGCGATGGAGTACGCTGCTGCGCGTCTCACTGCCGAGGCCGCAGGCAGAAAAGAAGCGAAACGGGAGAAACAAGGATTTGCCGTTACGGAACACACTGCCGTCGAGACTTCACGGAAGGCGCTTCTCCAAAAAGCAAAAGACGAAGAAAAAACCAAGACCTTACAATCGTACTCGTTTTCCGATGAGCCAGGAAGCGATTCTACAGTAAGAGCCCCACCCAACGAAACAGACGAGCTCTCCGACGAAGAAACCGAGCAGGAACTTCTTCGCGAACTCGGATTGCTCGAAGACCCTGTCAACGCCAAAGACCCTACAAAATCCGAAGTTCCCAGTGAAGCCTTTCAAGAGCTTTTACAGAAGATCGCTGCAGTTGATTCCCGTCGTCCGACAAAAAAGACAGCAAAGGTCACCAGTCTCCCAGACGTCCGCTCCGCGGGTACCATCACGTTTACGCCCACCGAGCGCGTCTTCCCGACACCGCGCCGAGAATCCAAAATCGCCGAAGAGGAAGAGTGGCTGAAAAAGCAGGCATCGTACAAAACGCTGCTCAACAGCGAGACCACAGGTCTGAAACTCAGTCCCGCTGAGCGCGACCCCGTCTTGCTGAAAAGCAAAGCCGACAGTTTTCTCCAATCCAGAGACTACGATTCTGCGTTATCGTGCTATGGATTGGCGGTGTATCTCGGGTGTAAATTACCGGAGATTTTTTTAAATCGTGGGTTGTGCCATCTACTGCGTGGGAATCTCCATAAAGTCCTGGAAGATATGGAGAAAGCGTTGGAGTATCTGGATCCGCCGGTGGAAGAGAACCGGCGTCAGCGGATGGTGGCGTACTGGCGGCGCGGCATTGCGTTCTTCGGACTGAAGTTGTATACTGAAAGTCTAATCGAGCTCAGTGGTGCGCTGAATCAAGGGGAGGTATCCGAATTAGAGAAGGCCGCGCAGAAAGTGCGACATGTTGTGGAAAGCGGCGAAGAAGTGCACGAATACAGTTGGATGATGGTGGAAACCGTTTCACACCCGGATTAGGCTCATACGCTTATCGATCTGGCCCTTTTTGTCACCTCTGTTTGGGCTCTAGCTGCAAACCAGCTGAGCGTTTCCCAGCATTGTGAAAAGTCATTTCATAGCTGACCTTTATGTATCTCTTATGGAAGAAGGGATGCTTGTTGGCCGGTCAGCGCCACGACCTACTAAGTGGATTTAGTGGCAGGGTTGACTGACGGCATGGCCTAACGGAACTGTGCGAAGGATGCCAGCTGAGCGTGTTGCGTAAAATGATGTTATGTTATTACTGTAGATATGACTTGTTTTTGGTTTTGTTTTATTGGCCTTGTTATTTTATTGGCACAAAATGCAGTATACCAGCTGTATTTAACACAATTCCCATATGTCGCTGTTGTGGAAAAACACCACGCGGACCAGTTGTAAAGCAGTCCACAATGATATGCCTTGCAAAATAAAGTGCAGCCTTTTCAGTACCGTATTTAGTTTGCCTGGCATCCGATACAAGAATGCCACACTGCTGAAGCTACGTGCTCTGCACTCATGTTGTATTACCGTGTCGGCGGTATCGCTTCTCCCTTCTCCGGATTGATGAACTCCGTTTCCACGGCAACCTGCTTAATTCCCTTGCATTTCTTACTTAAGCACACTTTCTTATTTAAAAATAGGTGCTAAATCTGTACTGTATTGTGAACTTTAATACAGCAACAAAGAACAATAACAACGAGAAAACTGGGAATTAAAATTAATTTAAATGTTAAAAGTTGGTAGTTACGCCACGATAGAATAATATTTGCTGGCAGCTATTGATATTTAATAACTTTTTTAATCCTGATGAGTTCGGTTTGCTCTACGGCACTTTGGAGAATTATTTCACCGCAGTAATTATTTTCAGAAGACGCTTTATTAACAACTAAACCGTCACCACAAACTCTACGAGAACGCCTTTTTTGGGAAACGGGAAACAGCGTCGCGATTTTCATACTGAGATTATTTTCAACTCACGCTGCGCTACGTGCTAATGGTCTAATGCTAACCGGAGGCTGGGGGATTTCGGTAGTTTCGACTCTCCAGTTTCGAGAGCGCCAGTGTGACAGCATCCGGCCATAATTTACCCCTTAACTGCATGCTGCCGAATTGGCCTCCATCTTTTACTGAGTATGGACCCGGTTCGCGAGGGCGTTCTGTACTGGACCATACGCCTAAATGGCTGCATTGGGGACTGATCATGGGACAGTCACAGTCGTCCCTCCATGCGTGTGTCCTATGCAGGGAAATTTTGGCCGGCGCAGCCTCCTTCAAACTGCGCCTTCTGCCGAGCAATGCCGAGACTGTGCCGCCAACCGATATTACCTCGACCGTCTGGCGACGGTCTTTGAGATTGTTAACGCCGCAAGCACGTTTACGGGATTTGGAGGTAATATTACAGTACAAGATCCAGCATTTTAAACACAAAAATTTAAAACAAAGCGTGCCGTCGGAAGGTCAAACGCAGCTGCCTGTCTGTCGTACTCGATATCAACGTAATGACGATCTAAAACTTTAAGAAATCCACCGATAACAAAACGCTAAATGCAAAATGCTACAAAGACTTTACTTACTTAATTGAGTCTTCGTAGCATTTTGCACTGTGTAAGCGGTTCACCGGTTAGTTTCTATGCTTTCGGCTTCTATCGCGGCTGATAGTCCAGAACATTACACAGGACCGTAGACAACATCCACCTAGAAATATATTTGTTCAAGTAATTTAACTGTAATTTTTCGATAGCGTTGATTGGGTATGTCGACCACCTATGGACGAACCTCAGCCTGGTATCCATCTTTGTCTGGTCCTTCACCATCGCCATCGGGACGGCGCAGTTGGACGAGCATACCACCAAGCCGTCGACGCGTCTGGCTACCGCCAATCTCTTTATGTACCTCCTGCTCTTTTCCGTGCTGACCAGTGCGGGTCCTTTGGCTGTGATTGCGTATCAGTTTTGGGTGGAAGCGTACAACGCCCTGACGTCCGATGCAACGGTCGACGTGTGGAGAGCCAACACTATGCCGCCGGGATCTGTGCGGCAGGTAGCGGAATGTGATTCCCAGGAGACGCTCAAACTCGCGCAGACCGCACTGCGTGCCAATGCGAGTTCGGTGCTGGAAGGGTGTCGATACGAGAGCGTCCCGGTGGTACCAACTGTAAGTGAACGAAACCAGAATTTCTGTCCATGAAAGCGTGCAAGTTGGATTGCTGTGCATTCGGGTCCCGACAATATGTTGTTTCTTATACTATTCATTTTTGTATTTTAAAATTCCTTTATATTTTCTTAAATTTTACCGTATTTTGTTTTTTTTTGGGTTTTGTTTTTTACGTAAGTTTAATCTTTCCATTTTTTTAACAGTTATCATAGTTAAACTTAATCCCATTAATGTACTTTATATATACTTTTATTTAATCGAGCTTTTACATTTATTGCCTTTTGTGCAGAATTTCTTTTCCTGAGCTTCCAGTTTTGCCATTAACAACGAACACATTGATCTGGGATCTTGAACGCCTTAACTGTTACGGTCTGTTTATGGTGGTGCATTCAACCAAATCCATTTTGCAGTGGCAGTCATTGAGTATCGCGAAATGGACAGCGTACGGTGTGACCTTGATCAGTCTATCTGTGGGCGTCGCAGTCTGGTTGTACGGCGTGCACTGCTATTTTGCGCGACTGCGCCATGTCCAACGCATCCTCGACAACGGCGGCTACATCGACTGCATACCGTCCTATCTCAGTTCGGATGAACCTATCCATACAGCCAGCCATATCGGCGATCCGGTCCTCGAGAAGAAATTGGCCGAATACTTCAGTAAAGCGGATGCCGATAAAGAGAGCCTGGAAGATTTTCTTGAGCGCACCATCAATGAGATTTGTCGTAGCGGGCAGTCAGAACTTGTCAGTGATTTATGTGGTTATAAAAAACGGCGATAACAGCTACAAGTCATGTTTATCAGTTTTGATGTTTTTTATTCAAAATTCAAAAAGAAATACTGAAACCTGAAAATACTGAAACGCGTGCTATTCAAAGAGATTTTTGAAAACTCTAAAGTAAAAACAATGTATTCAGCAGTCGAATACAAACAAACGTGACAATCAAAGAAACCATAGATAAAAAATCAGTTGAATTCTGCACTCCGTGATCTTTCATAAAAGTTCTTCCCGACTCTTCGGATGCGTTTTTTCCTCCTCCGCAGTCGCAGTACGCACTCCGATGGCAGGCGTGGTACGGCACGGATTTGACGCGAAACTCCTTCACACCGGTGTCCACATAGTAGGAATGGTTGTAGGAAAAGCTGCACGTGCACTCAATGTGGTGGTCGTTGGTAATGTGGTCAAAGATTAAGACACCGGTGCAACCTTGGTACGCCCATTGCGCATCTGCAACACAAAATGACAGAAAGTTCAGGCAACGATAATATGGAAAACAACGAGAGACAACAATAAAAAGTCAATAATAATCGAAAGAGTTCTGACCTTTAGAAAAGTACAAATACGAAAAGTTCATAGAAAAATACAAATACGTGACCTTTAAAAAAATACAAATGCAGAAAGTTTATAGAGAAGCAAGAGAAACAATAGAAAACCGACGATGAAATTTTCATAAATCAATATCGGCCTTTAAAAATCACAGATGCAGAAAGTATATACTTTTGAAGTATACTACATACAAAAAGTGAGAAAAGCAGTGCAAAACGATTCTATTCAAAGCAGTTCAGAAAATCGCCAAAAATGTGATTTAAATTAAAGTTTTTTTAGAAAGACGAAATCTCCTTATATTCGGTTAAGTACCGTGAACACATGCGGGTCCAGGAGGACCTCGTACCCGCAACACCGTATTGCGAATCCGCTACCTGGACAGCCGACTTCGTGAACGGACACTCGCAGGGTCCGTGGGCAAATCGGCAGCTAATATAGTCCACATATGCCGCGAACGGCTCCGTCTGCTGGAGATACGGTTGCAGCTCTTCATATTCATACTCCGCAAAGATATCCAGATCCCACGTCGACACATTGAACTCCCGCAGATCGTACACGGAACGGCAGAAGCACATATTCCCGTCACTCTCGGCGTGGTAGATGTCGGTGGCACTGCAGTTGTAGTAGGCGAACTCCGAGGGCTGACTATTCACCGCTGCATACAACGGTAATCAGCTTTAACAGTTCGCTCAGTGTTTTACTGGTGCATCTGTTACCTTCTTGCAACGCTGTCAAATTGCTGCAGTAACACGACGTCCAGAGCAGTAAAAAGCAAACGAACCAGGCAATGTAATTATTCTGTGTGACACCGCCACATGAGATCATCAGAGATGAACAGCCCGCAACAAGCAAGGTTCCTCATGATTCACGCTACATTTTCTGTTAGTCACTTCGATCATAATCGCCGCAGTAATCAACGGTAAATTTCCAATTTGTTGCTTGGAGAGAGTATTTTGTTAATTTTTCAAATAATTTAATTATAATTAATTGTTATTTTCAACGGTTCATACGAAATTTATTTTTTTAGAACCAGCCATTCCCGGAAAGAATAACAATATTCAACACAAATATTTACACACAAAATTAAGGTGCTAAATTTAGAGCATAAAATCTATAAAGCTGCTGAAAAACAAACAGCCAAGCAGTGCAATTAAGAACACTCCACAACGCCATATTCTTTCGGGCAGAACTGACATTAAGACTAAGCAGGTAAGCTTCCAGTTCCTCGTCCAGCGTCAGTTGGACGTTCTGAAAACACGGCGCCGTTAAACACTTCACATCATCCTTACACGCCGCGACGGTGAGGTAGTCGCCGGACCGCGCCGGCACCGTGGAGCAGTTTTGGTCTTTATTGATGCATTCCCTGTATGGCTCAACTAATAACAATATCCTTATTTCAACGTTACGGAGCATAAACGGTTCAGCGCTGTGTGGATACTCACACTGCTCGGCATCGCTGCGTTTCACCATAGCAAACAGGCAGGTCTGATTGCGCTGGCATTTCTGCTGGCTATCATCCCGATTGTACTGATTTCCGTACAAAGAGAGATCCTTAAGACATTCGCGGGCGGTGTAGTTGATGCTCTTCGGTCCGCAGAAGAAACATTCGTTCGGCAACCCTAGAACGATGTTTTAAGAGAACTACCTTAACTGTTTGGGAAAGGTCACAGCGAAAACTTTACTTTGACTGGATATGAAGAATATGGGCACAGTCACCAAACCCAAAATCAGCTGGCACGCTGGCATCGATACGAGCAGACTAATGTCAGGATACGGTTGGCGAAACGCAGCATTCCAAATCTTTCCAAGAAAATGTGTCTCAGTGATCGGACGAATTACACGTCACGGCGTCAAATTGCAAATCTAATGCGACTCCTGTCTGTCACGCTAAGTGGCCTCATCGGTACCCGACTAAAAGCATTAACATTAAGTCACTGACTAAACTAGTGCCGAAATTTTTTTATGGAAGAATAATCGTAATAATTTTAATCGCAGTTACGGTATTTGTCTCGATTAGCACTAAGTCTTTTTAACTTTATAACACAACAGTACTTGCATTGCGATATAACTGCGTACATTCCAATAAATATGTATGTTGCTATAGGCTGTCCGCGTTGCATTTAAGTACGTAATCACGGATCGTCTTATCCATTAGCATAGTTACTTATTTGTTATTATTTTACTTACTTATTATTTAAAATATGGAGAGATAGCAAAGTACCACCATAAAGTTAAAAGGCGTGTGCTGTATTCCCATGATCTAAGCAAAAATGCATGGATATTTGTCATACTACTTCCTGATTCCATTACTGCATTTTGGTAAGGAAACCTTGCTGATCAAGTTAGCAGACACAATAATCCATGGCGAATTGTCCAAGGTTATAGCGTGGTGGCAGCGGATGGCCTGTATGGATCCACATGCGCCGTGCCTATCGTACCCACTGCACAGCTCGTGACCCCGCAAAAGGTATGTATATGTATTCCGTATTTTGGAAACATTTTTGCATAGTCTTCATATAGGTCCTTCCTGTAATTAATCAGTGGGAGATTTCGGGAAATAAACGTTTTCGTTTATCTTTTCTGAAAAAAGGCTACGAATATTGTAAAAGACACTGAACAACAGTTACAATTTCTATCTCTCCTCAGGAAATGGCAAAAGACTCCGTTTAGCCACAGTCTTTTTCTTCAATTTGCTAAACTGAAGCGCTTCTTCAGGAAACAGTTGAGATTCGGCAGTTATTTTCCGAAATGTCCCACCCCTTAAATACCTGAAGAACCTTGAGGAATAATGCGTATCTGGTAGTGGGACCGTGGCTGCCTGCTTAGGTGTTTGAACGCAGCTGCCTATTAAGTGGATGAGTCATTTGTGAATAACGATTATTGTTGGATTTGGCAGACAACGGGAACATGGTACGGCTACCTCTCCCGTCGGGGCAGCGGTCTCGCTATTCCGCGCTACAACGAAGTCCTGACCTACACCGGACAAGGCCAGACCGTCCTCCCGGGTTCTATCACTTCTGCGGAGGCGGTCATGGAGGAGATCTACTATTTCGCCGGCGCCAACGGCACGGACTGTAAAGCCAAATGGGCCGAGAAATACTTCACCATCATCGGCACACAGTTCGGGATCGGCATGACGTCCGACACACCGTCACCAAGTAAACAACCAAACCGTTAAAATCTTCTGAGTTTTACTGTGTTTTCTTATACAGAATTTGAGGCGACGTTCACATTGTACCAAGACTATGATACACTGGAGATTCTGTACCAGTGCGCCAAGCCAAATTACATCACCACACGGTGCGATGATCCGCACATCTTTGTCAACTCCCGGAAACGGCCGGATCAGATGAGCGGCGCGGATAAAGAATACACACTGCAAATTATCAACGCGGTGCTGGATCCGTACTGCTTGTCGCATAAGAGGCTGACCGCGGTTATTTGGGATTCTAAGCGGGAGACCTGTACAGTGCCGCATCCGGCGTTTTTTGACGATCTCGTCAACGGAGTGAAAGCTACTTTGACGGCATAGAAATGAATTTTTTAAGACAACCGTGGCCAAGCTTTCTCGGTGTTTAAGTTTGACGAAAAATGTGCGCCGTAAATACCTGTGCGCTTCATTCGAAAATCTTGCATTTTTTTTTAAAAAATAAAGAAAAAACTTTTTTCATGCAGCTAAGATTTTCACAAACGTCAAGGAACCAACTGTACATTAAACATTACCAAGGTAGATTTTTATTCAATCAGAAAAACCGTCCAACGTTGAACAGTACCAAAGAACAAATTAAAACCCTACACAATGAACAATTCCCAACCGCGCTCTCCGTTGTGGTCGGTTCAGACTTGGGCTCCTCAGTGCGACAGCCACTCCTCGAGCTCTCGGGCAGCTCCGTATCATACTCGTTTTCCTTCATCGCCAGGAAGCCCCACGAATTACAGCAGTCCGTATTGCACCGACAGGTCTTCCGCACCCTGTTCCCTTTCACTAATTCCCGGGTACAACGCGGCTCACCGCCCAGGGAGGTATTTTCCGTGCAGCGCTGCTCCAGGGAGCTCATCGAGGACCCCGTCATCGGCCACTCCGCTGTGGCTTCACAGAACTGTTGCGCTTTATCGCACTCGAACTGCAGGACCGCCTGGAAGTCCGTGCAGGAGACCGGGTCGTCCTCGGACCAGTGGTTGGGTCCGTTACAGTCGTAACAACGCAGGCACACCGTTGGCTTACTACTTAGAAGAGCGTAGACGATGGTCAGGAGAAGGGAGAGCCGCTGCTCCATTTATGCGGAGAGTGTATGACGAACCGCATTGCGCATAATTACTCCGCATTGATCATTTAATACTTTTCCGGTGACCTTTCACAAAACATTCTGCTCTTAACTTGTCCCGCTCGTCAATCAACTCATTTCTGCATCCCAAACATACTGCAATTCACAGCAGTGAAAAGCGTTTTTATGAAACAGCCAGGAATGCGAAAATCAAAGGAAAATTATGATTTTATTAAATAATACGTATTGTACGTATAATCATGCATTACCAACATGTGCTTGTTTGTTGCTGATGTTGCTGCATGAATGCGTGTATTCAAGCTCTCAGTAACGTTTGTGCAAGTTAATGACGTACAAGCTGGTGCGTTGCTAGGCATTTGTTCCGCTCCAACTGAAACAGGCCCGATTTGCACCCAAAAATGAGATAAAAATAATATGGAACGAAAATATAAAAACATTTACGAAAACTGTGGATTATAAAAATTTAAAATTAATGTAAAATAATATTCCAGTGTGCAGGAAAGCCGATATTCGGCACTTTTTACATCCTCTTTCTCTGTTACATAAGCGCCGTGAAACGCCCCACAACTTATCTGCAGTGACGAACCAGCACCAGAATAAAATAAGGAAAGATCGGCAAAAACATAAGACCAAGAAGAACACAACGCAAGTACGGCTCGCAACACGCTGATCCACACAATACAAGACACGATCGCACTTAAACGCAGCCCGACGGCGCTATCCCTCTCATCCATCACCACCTCCTCGGTGCTGGTCGTCGGCTCCGTCGGGTATGTCACCGGGCAGCTGGTCATCTCCGCCTCCGGCATCTGCAGCGGTGGCGGCGGCAGGATATTCCCGCGGCCGCACGTCATCATCTGCGCAAACTTCCATGCATTACAACAGTCCGCGCGGCAGCGACAGCGTATCACGTTCGTCGTGCGGTTGTTCAGCGCCGCCTCGGTGTGCAGTGCCCCGTAGTTGTTCCGCGTCACCAGAACCCCGTCAGCGAACGCATCACACTCGGGGGTCGTTTCATCTGGGCGCGCGCAGCCGCGTTTCAGGGTGGAGGGTTCGTTGGAGAGTTTGGGATCGCCGTAGCGGACTTCCACGTAGCACTGACTGATGGCGCCATCGCAGGTTAAAAATGAGTAGTCGGGCATCAGATCGCAGAATTTATTGGTGACCTTATCCAAGTTGTTGGGTCCCTGGCAGGTTAGGCATTTTAGGGCAATGAGGGTACGGATTAGACAGCAAAAGCTCCATAATGTGCGCAGGAACCAGTAATCCATAACTTAGCAAGCATCGTTACGCAGCGCGTAATTCACTTCCTCAGCCATATAATTCCAGTTGCTATGTACATCTTCGTTGCGCCGTCTGGTGTTTGCACCAGCCGTCAATCGATAAACAGCTGCTTTCTGTTTCTTATCTTCTTAATGTTTTGGAAAAAAACCTATTGTTAACAATATCCGTAAATGCCTATCAAAATTTTTAATGCTATCTGTAAAGGCATAAATTAAAGAGTTCGCAATCTTAGCGGTGTGTGTGTAACTAACAGTGTAATCAGTGTAAGTACTGTATGAGTTACCGTATTAAATTTTTCCGGTTGTCACTAGGATACACCGAAGCAAAATACCAGGTTAATATCCGTCTGGTGAGAATAAACTTCGAAGACGAAATAAACTGCTGACTTCTGTAAGTACGTTTACTGTACGCACGGTATTTCCATACAAACAGGCTACCTCCGCGCGTTATTTGACTGCCATTCCGTAATCATTCTTAAGACATACAGCACCTACACAAAAAGTTATTTAAAAACTGGGAAATATGCAGTTAGGATGAAGCGTTTACAGATATCCACCGTTCAGCATCTGCTATGAGTGCATTTTTTTTAAAATTTGCTGGTTTAACAATAAGTACTAAGTAGTATTATTGTTTTTACTTTTTACCAAAGGGTTTTTTATCCGTTAGTAAAAACCGAAGGATTTGATTTTTTAAATGTCGGTTTTGATAATCAGAAAAAATTTAAAAAATAAAATGATAATCATCGTATAAAATCGGAAAAAGTAATACAAGTAGACTGTTTTTGGCTTGTGTTCCGCAGGCCAAGAGCTTAAAAAAATTTTGTTCGGGGAAATTCAGATTGCTTCTGTTAGGTGTACCAAGCTGTAATTTAAGCAGTGGATACAATGTCATTTCCCTGGTGTAACGCGCTGCTTCCCTCCATCATTACCTCGTCGCTCTTCGTCGTCACATACGCTATAAAATGCTTCGACTGCCGGCGTCCCTACGCCTTCCTCGACTCGATGCAGTGCGAGAACTTTCAAGTCATGAAAATCCGTAACTGCCCGAACACCACGACCCACTGCCGCGCCATGGCCGTCTGGTACTATAACACCTACCGGCCCAGCACCCTCACCATGGGCTGTGCGCCCCTCGGCGACATCGCCCCCTCCAGCGCGGTCTGTATCCGCAGCCCGGAGACCACCAGCAACGAGTACATGAGCACCGTCTGCTACTGCAAAACGGACTGCTGCAATTCTTGGCGTTTCTTAACTCTCATGAACCACACAGATATGCAGCAGCTACCCAACGCTACGTCGGCGTGTACCGGGAACCTCATCCCGGATGACGGGATTGATACCGAGGAAGAGGAACCCGGAGGCACGACCTGGTCCATTCCGATGGACCATGCCAATAATATTTCTCAAAAAATCTTCCTAATTTTGTTCCCGGTGTTGCTAAGGATATGAAGAACCTTCTGGAAAGAGTTTTCTGGATGATGCTTTTATATGGAATTCCAGCTGTTGTTTTATTCGCTCGCGTGGAATCCCTGCGGTGTTTTAATTGTTCAGGAAACGTCACGGATACCGAACCATGTCAGCAGTTCGCCAATTTAACTGTGGTGGAATGTGTGGCGAATGCGTGCCAAGCGTCGCTCTTGTTTGATGCGGAAGGCCTCAATACCGAAGCGTATGTTCTCGAATGTGCTGCGCTGGACGTAGCCGACGGCCGCAGTCAGTGCCAGGATCTAGCGCCATCGGAGGATCAAAACGGGCGACGGACCTGCCGCTGCACGACGGACTGCTGTAACTCATGGAACCTCACTGAACTAACAGAGCTAAATCTACTGTACCAAACACCAGCGATGCCTCAGTTCGGTTGTACCGGAAAAGCATCGTTGGTGCAGCCAGATGCAAAAAGCGGGGATTTTCTTACCCGACTGGTTGAGGTTAATGTTACAGATGTGGAGGACTCGGCGCGCTCTTTAAGCAGTTCCCTGTATTTTCTGTTATTGGTTTTTACAAGAATAATGACTGTGCCGTGAAAAAAGGCCGAATATTATTGTCAAATACCAGGAAAGAAGTGAAGTAAATATAATTAACGAACGATAAATAGATCTACTTGGTTTTCTTTTTTCCTTTCTTGGCTTCCGGTTCCGGTGGCGCCGGCTCCCGGTACGCAAAGGGATCGTTGGCGAGCGCCGTCCCTACCGCATCAGCTCCCAATGTTTTAATCAAAATTTCATCGACTTTTTGCAGTTGTGAACCGAGGCGTTCGCGAAGGTGTTTCAATTCCACATCAACCTGGGCGGCGATGACCTTTTCCAGTTCGGCCAGGTGTGGCGACTTGGTCGCCGCATCTTCTGTGATGAAAAATAAAAACACGTAACGGGGAACTCATTACCAACGCGCATTTCATTCATAATCGATCGAATCGGAGAAGAAAAGTGTTCCAAAAAAGCAAAATAAATTCATGAATTTACACGAAATTTACCCGTTGTCGGAGACACTTTGTCGTCAACGCGTTCCACTTTCTCCACGTCGTTTGGCGCTGCTTTGCTGACGGGTGCAACTGCGGTGGGTACCTGATTCTCCATATCGATGTCCTGCAGAACCTCTTGTAAGGTCATCGGCGCGTTTGTTACAGGATTCATCATTGTGATTTTGTCTATCAAGAGAAAGTCATATGAACGCTGCGCTGGATCAGCATCGGTGTTAAACCGTTACCAAACGAAAGAGCTTCGAATTCTTCCGGTGGAAAGCGTGGTTCTTCCCTTCGCTGGTAATCAATTGACAGATCCATAATGACCTACTAAGACCAACCATGGTGATTACTCCGATCTGAACAGTAACAAAATTTGCGTTGCCGTGCATAAAACCGAACCGTTGGCGTAAAAACGTGTTTGTACATATGGAAGTAGCGGATGTAATTGCGGATGACAAACTGCCGGGCGTCCTTGGCTTGCTCTTCGGAGAAGATCCTTGCGGACCACGGTGGACGCTACGAGAATTAAGGATTGATCTTTTTTGGATTGACCGAGAACGGGACGAGAACGGAACGAGAATTAAGGATTGATCTTACATATCAAACACAAAAAAAGCTTATCAGGGAAATTCTACGATGTACCTTAATTACATGAAGGCAAAATAAATTGTCCATGTATTCCAAACATTCCACGAGATTATCGACCGGGGTTTCTAAAATTATTATTCAAGTAAAAAAAATTGCATGATAAATAAAATACAAATGGCATAAATATTTTTATTCATAACAACGACGAACACATCCTTTACCTAACGTTTTCTCGTGCATTTCCTGTACGATCCCAAATATCGATGAAGTCTGGGCAAAATCGAACTTCTTCTGTGTGGCGTATCGAATCACCTGACAGTACAGATCCAGCACGATAGCATCCTGTGGATGCGCATCGTCATCCAGCAAAGCGAAATGCTCACCTAAAACACTGTCATGCGAAACGTTCACTAAAAATTTTCACCTAAGGAGCTTTGATTTATGCACATACCTTCGTATTTCCTTCACGTTGCTTGCTGCATGGAGCTTCTCCACGGCAGGAAATGGTAGGTGCTTCCATACGACTAAACCTGGTTCCCGCTCACAGGGCTACCTGATTTGCACAAAGTCTCAGCATAAAATTTACTGCATGAAAAAGTAAACATATTTCTACATTTCTTGAAGGAAGCAATTAAATTATTACAGATTTATGACCTTATAGAATGGTTCCAGGCCGTGCACCACGGGAACGCGGGTGCTCCGTAAAGGTCGCCGTATTTCCGTGGCCTTAATTTCCTCGATCAGGGTGTCGAGTTTGGTTTTCACCGTTTCGAAAACTTCGTTTTGTGATACTTCAGGGGTTATGTGCTCATCTGCTGCGGATGATCGAACTAACACGAGAAAAACCGTAACTTGGAACGCAGGAGCAATGTACGATATAGGAAGTATACCTGAAGCAGGGGACGCATTCGCTGCATTCTGTTCGGTTAAGACCGCTATTGGATTATCCGCGGTTTTATCTGTATGACCGTCTTTCGGTTTAGCTGCATGTTTTTCCTTCGGTGGCATGTTAAAAAAAATGCGAAATATACTCAAATAAAGCGCGTTTCTGCGCTGGGTGAATCTGATGTACAGTCATTGTATCGGATTTTTTGCTGTTCGCGCGGTTGCTAGAATACGATTATGGCCATCTGGAATGCACATACACCGCTATGGAAAAGCTTGAACAGAAAAAGAGGAGTGTGTTTTTATAATAAAAATTACGCTGCCAATTTCGACGAAGATTTGAATAAATATGCCGAATACCGGTGTTTTTTTTTTTATTAATTTTTACCTACTGACATTTAATTATTACCTAGGGATTCACTGACAACAAAAAATCGCATTCACTTAGGAGCGTAGGACATCTGGACAACTCGAAAACAAACGCAGTCTGCAGCTGCAGTATAACCAACACCATTGAAGGTAATTGAACAATCTAAAATGCACGATATACGAATGGTCACTCCTCCATGGTTTACGAACAGTTTAATAGTCTAAATGTCATGTTCTTCATAAAGTAAACGAATACGGAGAAGAACGGCTGCAGAGTGCGGCGGCTCCCAACAATGTCAAATCGCCACAGTATGCGGCAGCCGGTCAGAATGTGTCTTTAGACTTTAGGTCCGTTCAAACCGCTTCCATCGCAATCCAGTTGTTGCCAAAGCTCTTCATGCAGATCGGTCGGAGATGTTACCGGCAAAAGTACTCAATGCAGTCAGCATTGTGAATATGAACTGAATGCAGATCGAAATGTGCCTTTATCAGCCGACATTGCGTTCGCACCATTTCCGTCAGGTAGTGCAGCGTCATGTGGGACATTTTCTTCGGCCGCACTTCTGTCAGTCCGTCCAAGCACCACTGCGTTCCGTGATCCTCTGGCGTCGGACGCGGCTTAGCGTTGTGCAGCATGCACAACATCTGCAACCAACAATCATTTCACTGGAACTGCTTCTGACAATCGGTTTTCTACTATAACTTTTATTAAAGAGGTACTGTAGTGTCAAGTAAATTCCGGACCATTTCGTAATGCGTGATACCTTGGAGTTGTATGTGGGGTTGAGCGTTGCTCACTATTAAAAAATTGTTCCTGGTTCGAAACGGCTGTCTATCTGCTATCAAGATTTATAGACCTGAATCTAATCAAAAATAAATTCTCACAGTTTATGTTTACAAAACATGCAAACAGTATTACGTGATAATATCTAGCTGCTGGTTCAAAAATTGCTTTGTCGTACCCGCACGTACTACTGAATATGGTACCGATAGAAGTTGTACAATCCATAAGACCACCCAGTTATGATTCATCATGACGTTATGAATTCTCTTTATTTTACCGGCTAGCTGTTCTTCTTTACAATTTCTACAATTCATTCTTGTCTCAGCTTGTTACAGCTTGCATCAGCTTGATCAGCTTGTTCCGCTTGTTAAACCCTTGTCTAAACCTTGCTCCCTGTTTTGCACTGTTCTTGCCATTAAACATGCCGTGAACTTCCGTTGTTACGTTCAGTAATTGTGTTACGTCAGTAAGAGCAGTCCCGGCCAGCATCGTTGCCGGCCGTGCCAACCTTTCATCCCAACAGACCACACAACATCGTGGTACGGTCAACACGCCAACCCACTAGAACAGCAGCCAGATCGGTTACTGTTACAGTAAGAACTATTTCAAATTGCTTGGTCAGCCAGTTCATATGCCTATAGTTAGTGAACCCACTGAACGCTAGAGCCGTTCATACAGCGCTTGTCTTGCTGTACGAAAAAGTGCGGATTTTACTTGACACCACAGTACATATTTGCGTCTGTATTCGTTTGGAGAGAGTATTGTACATCAACGTGCAACGAGCAATCGCATGAGTGGAACGCTGCTTGATACGTCAGCTGTCGAAGATTACATTAGCATTTACTGTATTGCTATTTGGTCCCGGCGAAATAATCTGCTCCTATCTAATTTAATGCCATTTGAAATTTGTAGCCTACCTCTGCGTGATAGTTATTGACGTTTTGCCAAATTCGGACAATCCATCCTTATACCTATTACAAATGTATGCTGGGTATGTACAAGCTTGTCCGGTAATTTCCTACGTAAAGGTACAGCTAGCGCAAAATTTGCGCTTAAAATGATGGCCACGTCACTACGCTTATCTGATTGGCTAAATGCGCTCCGCAGTTAGATCGTCCATTACCACACCGACCGTTTCTTAGCCACCTTACGCCAGGCAGTTACTGTTATTATCATTGAATTATATGGGTGTACCAAGCCACCAGCCAGCCAAATGCAAGTTACGTGTTTCAACAGTGTGGCGTGGCGCGCCGTAGTGTGAAGTTTGGCGTAACACGCAAATTTGTGTAGTTCGCTGTATTGATTCGTCAGAAATTACCGGACAAGCTTGTACAAGCTAATTTCTATCGTAAAGATATAATTTCAGGTAAATTATTAAGGAGAAGAATGAATGATATCGATAGTTTATATTTCAGATCGTTATTTGACATGCATCAGACAAGCTGGATGCATGTAAAGCGTAACTAGTGTGGCACGGCGCGCCGCAGTATGGAGTTTGGCGGAATCCGTAAATCTGTATTGTGTTAATGCGATAGAACTATGGTACAAGCTTATACACATTTTCCCCATAATTAAACGCTCCCTCGCGGCGGACCATATTCTTACCTTACGGTGTGACTTGGCGCACACAGTCACACCCACAAAGTGGTGTTCGCTGACGGACAGCCAGGCCAGATACCGCGACAACAAATCTAACTGCTCTTTACGGAGTGCCGGCAGCGCCATGTCCATAACGTTCCACATCGCGCTATCCAGATCATCAGCCAGCAACACGCGCCCAGTGGGGATCCTAACAAGCAGCTTAGGCCACGAAGCTTCCAGCATAGTGAAATTACTACTAGGAAAGTGCACTCGCTTCTGGCGGGCACTGCATGACCGAAGCGTAGCGGTAAATTTATACGATTATGAAGTATGCAAAGATAAATCACGGTGAGGTCTCCCAGACATATAAATATTCCGCTGTTCTCGGAACATGGCAAAAATTTTGGATGAGTCATTTTTTCCGGGTTTATTGAAAAATTTCTCCAAAGCCTACTTCGAGAAAATTATTGCTGTCTCAGTTACGGCAACTGCCGGCGGATGCATGAGTTCACCATCTGTAGACGTTTTCTGGACAATATTTAATGCAGTTTCCAAATTTCATCTTTGACGAATCGGGTATCTTCAAGCCATGTTTGTTTTACCCGGTTACCATTCGAGTAGACGACGGTAACTTCCCGACGAAATACTTGCTCATTTGCACCGAGCGCGAAGCGGGAGGTGCTGCAATTAACTGATCGCCAAGAGCATAAAGTTGTCTGACGCTCACGAAGAGCGTCACGGCTCACTTTTCCAGTTCCACAAACCCAGTACCACTACTCAGCGGTATTGGCGCCCGCGCTCGTGCAATAATGCGGTTAACAACCACAGCTAGTTTTCTGCATTAAGTGATTGTTAAATGCGGTTTGATAGCTTGCCCATGCCGGTATTGCGCTTGTCCCACTGAGCAGTTGTTACCGTACTTCCGGGCTTTGTATTCAAATTCATGGAGCGGTTCAAACATTCAAAGTTATTTTAGCAGCAAATTGTGTAATGGTAGAAGGATACTGCTGTATAGGTAACCAAAAAAGAACTCATGGTTGTCGCAAGCCACAAGTATAAACTGATTTGCACCTTTTACGTTTTTAAGTAGGGTGATGGTGACCGATGAGCCAATGCAATCGTTTACGTATGGACCGGTATGGTGTAAAGATAGGAACGCAAAATGGAAACTTAGAATTATTTCAGAGAAATATATTTCTGAAACGTCAGTAGGCCACACAGCAATTGCATCTGTATACAGCTACCGGGCCTCCGGACACTTTACAAAGAGAGACGGTGGCCTATGGATGCCACATATCACATTTTACACCGACGTTCGTGCCGTTCACCGACGGACACCGCGGTCTGCAAGCGCCCTGAGTATGTCTGTATGCGCGCGTGGGTGCATTTGATAGTAGGGAGGCCGCGCATGTGTGCATGAGGTGGCGGTGACCGACAGACACCACAGTTTGCAAGCGCCTTGAGTATATACGGCCAGCGCGCATGTGTGCACTTGATAGTAAGAAGGCCGCGCATGTGTGCATTAGGTGGCGGTGACCGACAGACACCACATTTTTCATGAACGCTGAACATAGAGGACCTTCGCTACGCTTCGGTCGATGATGAGACTGCAGATGCGCTTTACAGTTGACCAGGTAGACGGCATCGCACACACCAGTACGCAGTGCCGCCATGAAATCAACGACGGTACACTTGCTGGTGGCGAGGTCACCCCGTTCAAAGCGCATCACCAGATTTGGTAAGCGCAGATCGTCCGGCCGATGCATCGGGCACGCCGTATGGTGAATGTCATTTGTGCCAGTTTCCATCATGAGTTCCAGGCGTCGGCCTACCAAGTAGACTGCGTTTACGTGAATCCCGGAATTGCGCTTCTTCACGAAATGCAGGATATCGACAATCTGACGGTAATCGCCGGCATCCAGTCGTCCATGCCGCGTCACCACTATAAGCCGTTTTGTCGTTGGGCCCAGACACTTGAAAATGGGAGCCAGCAGCATGTAGGTTAGCACACCACCTTTTGGAAAATCCCCGCCCAGTTCGTGTAATCAGGAGATTCGTGGTCAGCTGCGGCGCTTGTAAGATGTTGTTCCATGTGTAGCACACGGTGCGCCGTTCAGTTTGCTTTAATGCATCCAAATAAGAAAACACCTCCAGCAACAGGTCAACTGTTAATGCGCTAATGTCACACGAATTCTCGATAAAGTCAGGTTTTGTCATCGTTGTTGCCGTCATCCGTGAAAGAAATGCAATCAGTTCCTTTTCGAACAGTTCTGGATCTATCTGCACATGCGGAAATTTATCAGATTCTTAGAGTAAGCAGTACACAGTCAACGGCTACGAGAACGGTTCCATTCTTTTACTGTCGATTCAGCCTTTCTTGCTCTTAGAATTATTCGGCTGACATGTGCCGCTTACTCGAATGTAATTTATGAACACCAACGAAGGTTACCGGCAGGCTACCGATCACTTCGGCTGTATAGATTTCGGCCTCATCCACTCCGGCCACGGTAGATCTCTGCTTAGGCATGTGAAAACACGAGAAAAAATAGCACAAGAAGTAACAACATAAGAAAACTTTAGAACTTAAAAAAGCAGAATAACTTGGTACACGAATATAGACGCCGAAATGAGCGATGGCCAAATTGAGCGCTGGCCGAACCGGAATGACCATTAACTGGAGCCGGAATGACCCCTGACCGAAGTGATCGCACGCGGCCGCAATGTAACGCAGCCCATGTGATCGGATGCATACCTGGAGAATGTTCTTCGTGAAGTACCGTTAGTTATCGAATTCTAAGACCTGGGTCACAAATATTTCGAACGCCTCACAGAGGGGCAAAATTAAAATCCTATCTACTGCGCCCTGGCAGTTCTCAGTGTCAGTTGCCGCCCAACCGGTTTACGAACTATGCTTGCGAACCAAATCTAATTCGCGTCTCATATTCGCGGTTACACTTATACGGACAGAAGTAATTACGGAGGCGGACTAAGAATGATAAAAGCACAAGGGACAATCAAGGAACATAGAAAGTTTCTTTACCGCAAACGGTTCCTGCTGAAGAATGTACCACAAGTTTCCATCGGTAATACCCACGCAGCCCGCCTTCCATTTCCCATCTACCAACCATTTTTCACTGTTTAAGCGCTTGAGCAGGTCTTTGCTGGATGTTGAACAATTGTAAAGATGACTCGGTAAAAACACGCATATCTTTACATATCTCCGCTGGGTCACGCGTTCGGGATCCTTACCGTAGCAGATTACGGCTGAAATAGTCGAAAGCAACAAGGAAATCAGACACGCTGTGATTCTTTCAAGACTTACGTACTCCGCTTACTTAAAACTGCATTTCGCCAGGCGATATTGCCTGTGCAAAAACCTAACTGAAAGTGCGTATTATCATGCAGTGTGCAGTGAAGTAGGCGGGCGCATAACAGATTAACTATGCGCTATGAAATTTCCAGACGCATAGCACTTTCGAACATAAAACTATGTCACATGTGATATTATGTAGTGTGAGTACAGGGCCGCACCTCTTCCGAAGCAGGAATATGCATTTGGAACTGTTTGACCGATGCTGGTCCACCACATCCTGGGCGTTGCCCAGTGAGTCCGGTTCAATGGGAAAACGTCCGTGCGACAACAGCATTCTGCATTCCACCATTGCACCACAACCATATCATACATACGGTAACTGCCGGCATCCGTAAAATACAGTATTTCGGCTGGGAACCACGTCCACGGTCTGGTTGGCGTCTCGCGTGTTAGCACCTCGATAGGAATGGGCAAACGGCGATACCGAAAAATGTCCGCCAGGTCGTTCTCGTCCTGTGGAAGTGGGAACAGGAAAAGTTGGTTGAACGACGCTAGCTCGCGACGTTGGTTGGGACAGAGGAAGTCGATAACGAGGCCCGTGTCCGCCACATCCACTACATGTCCGTAGCGAAGAAGGCCGTCGTCTCCCAAAACATCGACACGGTTCCAGCGGGACACTACATTCGACATGGCTGATGATACGGTTGATGATGATAATCACCGGGGCGGCACGAAAACTCTGGATAGTTATCTAATATTAATGACAGCAAATGCACGATGTACCGTATTCTCAAATTATTTACTAAGTCATGAGCGCGCAAACAGCCGTGACAGGAGAAAACTGGGGAAAATATTAATTTCAGATACTTTGACTCGAGTGTGAGTACTGGCGAAATAAATGTTGCTGATTGGGCTTTAAAGATGTTCGTTTAACTGCGCTAAATCGCTTGCGTTGTTGATCTTTTATTTAAGAGTCCAAATCACTATTTTGACTATATTCTCAGAAGAATGTTTTCGTTTGCATCATTCTTGGCAGTTCTCGTTTGCCGAATTTCTGTCAACCGTTATATTAACGGCCGAGATTAGAGGAAATTGTGTAAGCACACAGTGAATTTTAGATTTTCCTTCGAAATCAGTTTTATTACGAGTAGGGTTGTTAATGGTGCGATTTGGTGCGGTGCAGTGAAGTCACGGTGCAACTTCTAAGTAAAACCGCACCACAGACAACGGTGGATCTACAAAATTTTCACCGCCGGTGCGGTGCGGACATGGAAATTCCACCGCGGTGCATTTCACCGCATCGCACCGCACCGGACCGGACCGGTGTGCACCGTTCACAACCAATTCGGTGCGCACCGGTAAAGTTTGTAAAGATAGACTTTTATTACTTTTCGCGAGGCGCACGCTGACTTGTTAACTCAGTACAACTAACGTTATTGAATATAAACAGCAACACAGGAGAAGAGGCTACAGTAAAACAATTTCCTCTAATTTTTCGTGATCCGGTATTGTACCCATCCCGCACATGGCACTGGCAGTTGCCTCTTTGGATCTGGATGGAAATCCGCTGCCGGAATTCTTTCGCGCGTGGTTGTCCTGTCTATCCAAGTGCGACGGGGAAATGCGTTATGTGTTATGGGCACGATCCCCGAGCAGGATAGCATTGAAGAAGTGTTTTCGTTATGAATTTTGTTTTAGTACTCAGTATGTACTTGTATGTGATGCTTATTAAAAGTAAGAACGTCCTGTAGCGATTGCGATAAGTATCCTGCTTCATCAACCAGCTTTTTTATTCCATTTCCCCAAGTTTGTAATGTATTTGGTACAAAAACAGTACTAGTAAATTTGTAACAAAATAAAAATTCTCAGTTTTTGTCGAACTGCTCCTGATATTTGTACGAAAATCTCGTCATTCCTCCTCCAGAACGATCACTTGCTGACAACTCGACAAAACTGTATGCCAAGATTTCAAGCACATCACTGCCTGCACCGCGTCAGACAGCAGACGATTTCTCTCTTTTGTAACGAGCTTCCCACTTTTCGAAAACCAACGTTCTGACTCAACGGACGAAACGCAGCAACTGAAAAAATCTACCGCCATACGACTTAGTCCGCTGTAGTTCTTGCTGTTTCTTTTCCAATAGTCCAAGACGTCGCACTCAGGCTCAATCGCGCTGCCCAGGTAGCGGTCAACTTCGTTGCCGGTGGCAACAGAAGTTGTACTCATTCGGCTCAAAAATTTGGATCTGATTGATCCAGATGCCGCTGGTATGGCTGGCAGCGGTTGAACATCCGCTTCGTAAAAGGAGTAATACTTTTTCAGCAATTCTGAAATCATGTAAAATACTCGTAATTATTTACTGTGAACTTCAGCATCAATTTTGCTTATCATGCGGTTGTACTGGCAATCGTGCATAAAAGATACTGCGAAAAATGGCCAACATCCAGCGGAAGATTATTAGAACATCGTTACTGAGCCGGAAGTTACAAGGTTTACTTACCGGTAGCCTCTTTCCGCTTCTCGGCACTTTCATGGTTTTCGATTTTTACATATGGATCAAGCATCTGACCAACAAGAACAACTTCTTGATTCCATCCATCGCCTTCCATTGCTACCAGTTTATCTCTCATTTTTTCTGCGACATGTCGAATCCAAATTATCTAAAAATTTACAATTCAAGTTATGCTACACATAGACATATTATACGCTACATAAACGAGCAAATATATTATATCAACCAGCACATACCGCGTTAAAATTGTACTTGAACGATTCCAAATGAGTCTGCATTGTATGGAAACAGGGTTTCGCAAAATGGAACGTCGGGTAGTCGTTCCCGGAACAATCACGAGTGACCTGATCCAAAGGCTTCAGCAAATCGACCAGACATTTTACATCCTCCCACTCCAGTTCAGTCAAGATATTTTTCTGCACGTCGGCAGTAACATGTCTACTCAGGAAGCGTCCTAAATCGTTTCGTGCCGCATACGCTTCCTCCAGCATCTTCAGTTTGCTATTCCAACGTGTCTTAACGTCTAAAGACAATTTAGCGTCTCGTTGCTTCGTGAAGGCTCGATACTCCTTCTTGGCTTTTGGGCGCTTTACATATTTCACCATTTCTCGCACACGCTGAACTTGGCGTTCTTTATCCCAAAAGCAGACGTCCACCATATTATGGGTGATATGGCAAAGGCATCGAAGACGGAACTCAGGCACTGCAGACCGGAAACATTGGTATAATATGAACAGCGCGGCCAGAATGTCACAACGTAAAAGTTGCATACTGTAGCATAAATAATTTATTACTGCTATGCTTTACCAGTGTACCTCTGGCTTTTCCATTCCCGTCTGTTCGCTGCATTTGCAGCCAAAGAAACAGCTCTTCGCAGAAGGATTTCATTACATTCGCCCCGTCCACTGTAATTCCCAAGATCTTGTGCGCGATGCCATAGCCGTTTACAATTTGTGCGACAGCGGTCTTGAAGGTGTTGGTGTTATGCTCGATGACAGGATCTATAAAGTCCAGAAGTATTCGGACGATCTTGAATTCATCATTGACCCAATGTGCGGTAACGGCCATGAAAGATTCCTGGCTGACGGACGTCCACGCGTCGATGGTCAGACTGACTTTTCCGGGAGTTTCTTCCAGAACTTTTTTAATCTGAAATATTGATAGCTATGCACAATAATGGACTTCATATAACCTGTACGCCTATGGCACGGGTAGTACACGCTTAATTTTTTTGCCATGTGTTAGGTACAGTTTTTCCACGGTATGCCATAGTATCCTGTACGTATCCTCCAAATTGATTACTTTTTTGAATCACTACAGTATCCCACCGCATCTCTGAAGTGTTCTTTGTGCATCCAGAATGATGTAAGTTATGTGAATACTTGACGGATACATTAAGGATACGTTTTGATGCTGCAGGAACTGGTGACCTTTAAACGCGCATTCAATACGATACGAGAGAATGATACATTTAGGATACTGTGGGATACTGTGGTTTTCAAGATGATACGCATCCAAACATCACTTGTCTGTAGCATGTATACAGTATACGTAATTTGTTTGTAGTATGTACTTTGCAAGAAATGCAAATATGTTAACAAGATTCATGTGGGATACACAAAGAATAGTGCGGAGATGCGGATGGATACGATAACAATTAAACAGAAGTAAAAAAAATGTAACAATACACGAGGGAACAGAGAGATACGTAAAGGATACCGTGGGATACGGCGGGATACTTCCGATACGATCAAAAAGAGATTCATCGAAAATTTTAACGCGTACAAAGTTGTCAAGGTCTGAACCTGTTACTTCGATTCGATTTTCGCGGTGGAACAACAAGACATTGTACTGAACGTATCCCTGCTTACGTTTTCCAGCGCAAACTGTTCTTGTCTGTTTACGTTGGTCAATGACCGTAAGAAAACAACAGGAAGTTATTAAACGTTACTAACAAACTAAATGGCTACAATTATTACGCATTCTTTTTTACACGAAAAGTTTATACGCATTTACGTAGTGTTGTGAACTGACATACCTTAAGTTTCGTGGTGCTGTACTCATCCAGGATGGCCTTTTTCAAAGTTTGGCGGCAAGGAATCTCGTAAACCGGGTTCAGCTCACGAAACAGTTCAACCAGTTCGTCCAGATCAGTGATACGAAAGGACAAATTGGCTGCGAGTATCAGCTTCCGAAGCAGTCCATCAATACGCTTTTGCTTCTTCTGGTCCAGTTTCGGCTTTCCCAGAAAACTTTCGGGTAAACCACGTTTCTGCCCTTTCGTATCAGTGGCTAGCTTGCTGCTGTGTTCTTTTTTTACGTGCGCCCATAACGCTGAAGTGGAATTCGTATCCTTGTAAAAGTTTGCACAATAACGGCAGACGAATTTCTTTTTAGCTGTATCGTGAGTGAAATGGCTCCATATGTGTCCTGTTTCCCAGTGCACCGACAATGACCACTCAACCGGATCGTCTAGGCAGGCTGTAATGTTAATGACCTAGATGGTCGTTTTCATGTTAATGAAGAATTGCTGTAAAAAGGGTATAATTATGTATATCTATGATATAACTATATCTGAGATAATGATGTATTGCGGATACAGTAATTCGACTGAAAATTAACTCCACTGAATACTTGCTCAGCATCCGCCCGCATTTCATACCTGCATTTATACCGTCGATGTGACGGTTCTGGCATTTCCAGGAAAAGCTATTAATAGAAGCAACGCTCACAAAATTTGTAATTCGTAATGGTGCTAAGTCTAACATTTAGACGCAAGCGCGGCCAGCACGCGAAGATTATTTCTATGCCGTCAGCAATATAAAATAAGCACTATCACTCATTGGCGGGTTTAGGCGTTTAGTTATTTTTTGACTCAGAACTTTTCGTTTTACACTTAAATGAAGTCGGATCGCAAAACTAATACATATTCGGAATCGAGGAATTTTTTCTGATACAGAAACCATTTAAAAAAATAGAATTTTCGTTTCGTGACAATTTGTATAGGCCGCTAACATGCACTCGGGGCCTTCAAAAATTGTATGCAGCTTGCTCGGTGTTTGGTGCCGTCAGCGCCGCCTCCGGGATATCCGACATCGCGGTGTCCAAATCATCGATCCCACCGATTTGCCAAACGGGAGCGCTAACTACCAGCTCAGGCACTACATCCTACCTATATGCACCGCACTAAACCGATAAAAGAACACCTTCTCGCTCTTTTCGACTGGGTGCGCCACTTATAGCTCGGGAGCTGTAAGTAACCTTAGATCGATCACCACGTGCCTTCTTTCGTTAAACGTGCGAATACAGATGCAATCTAACAAATACAAAAGAGACATTACAATCATTATAAATTTAACAACCAGCGGAAACATGCGGCGGAAGCACAGAGAACATTTGATCTAAATTAGCCGAGGCTGGTGCCGTTCCCAGGATGGATGCCGCATTTCCACGTTGGATTTCGATGCTGAATCACTGGCGCAGATATTCCGTTGCACGTTTCACCAGGTTATTCACAAATATACGTAGTATTGCTGGGACATTGCCGCTCTACATTAGTAATTTAGTGCGGACAGACAGAGTCAGTCCTGATTTCAGTTCCGCTCTACAATAGTGCACACTGACTCTGCCTGTGTGCACTATTGTAGAGCGGGAATGGCTGGGAGTATGCAGCGATTGCGATCTGTGTGATGAATGTGTATTCAACTTGACTACGGTCAAGAAAGAGCGACAAAACTGCTACTCTTCTTCCCGCGGCTATGCCGGACTAATAGGACAGGCAGAGGTGTGTACGTAGCCTGGCTGGACTGTTCACTGACCAGTCCTCTTCTTCCCCACTAGCGAGGAAAACACTATCGATCCATAATCTGCCAAACTGAAAGGACAGGAATGCGCTATTTGGATTACTGTAGTGGCATTCTCTGTGTCAAGTGTACCATTGATAGACTGGGAGCATGCCGCTGAAAGTGTAGCTGCATGGATCGTGCCATTTCAGTTTGGCTGACACCATTGTACGTACAGAGTACATTGTGTGTATGTGATAACTGCAACTGATCGGAAGAAATAGCGTTGAAACAAGAGATTATTTTCGTGGGACCTTTTGTATTTAGATGTTAAAAACTTGGAAAGGTACCGTTAAACAGTCTGCTCACATCAATTATCTATACGCTCCGCTTATTCTGGATAATCAAATTTATTCCAACGTATAAAACGAGGAAAATAAGGCTGAAGAATTATCTCGAATAGTTGTGGGAAAGGAAGCTGGAAGAGAAAGGGGCCTGAGCTATGACTGCAGATGTGGGCGAATATTTTCCGAATTCCAGATTTAAATATTGGAGCCGTGGTGTGGAGACCTGTTTTAGAAAGGCGTCCAGATTTTTTCCTCGGTGTGGAAATCACTTCGGGCCAGGTGGTCAAACATGCTGTAAGCATTTTAGCCCTCGTTGCAAAACTGTCCAGAACCGGGCAGGGACTCACGATACTTTGCTAATAATTTGTAACCACTGAATATAAAATTACCCAAAGTACCCAGCGCCGGAAGTATTATCGTCAAGCTTTTGTCCTTGTTGGGCCGAAATCTTAGGATCACCCATTATATACGCGCTCACACACGCAGTCGTGTATCAACTCAGCAGGTTGCCCGCCGTGTGGCGCAGCAGGTAGTCACGATCAGAATTGTATTCGAAAAATGTTTTTGTAATTAATGAAATTAATTAATTCATTCTGCAGCACTGCGTGGAGGCGTATCTAGCTGGTGTGGGAAATTCAGTGCAGGCTATAGCCGCCCATTACGCCAGTAATCCCACTGTAGGTGACAGCTCGACGCCAAAACCATCCATGGGGGCAAGGATTGCTGCAATACCGGCAGTAAGCTTTTATTTAATCTTGTTGTCCATCTTATTCCTGTTTCGTATGTTTGTTTGCCACGTGATAGCTGCAAGACTGCAACAACTGAAGTATTACGAAACGATTTTTCTCTGATTAAGCAAAAACGTTTGTTTCCAATAAAAATTCTTTCAATTTCTGTTGTCATTCGTTGTTTGGAATATATATGGTCTAACTAATCACTATTTCTATTTTCCAGCAACCAAAATGGCATCCATGCTTACGATTTGGCGCCCAACAACTATCGAAATTATTGGTCCGGATTAAAATCAGATTGGCGGAAGCTGGTCGTAAAACAATTCTCTCTTTATCTGCATGGAATTCAAAATTTAAAAACTGGGCGAAAGATGAGAGATGAGCCTAAAGGCACCGGTCTGCCTAGAAGTAGAGGCTACGATTTTTTGGAGAACGATTACACTTCCTCGTATAGTTTAGCTTGTTTGTTTTTCAGTCATCCATTGCATTACAATGTTTTGATACTTTCACTTTCCACGACACGATTCGAGTCATGTCAGCTGAGGAAGAGCTACAGCTCACCAGAAAAGTTGTATTTCGGCGCACATTCAGCAAAGACTGAGACTTGTACCACTGAGTATGATAAAATTTG